ATGCATCAGTTTCTGCTTGATAATTCTTCCATGATGTACAACTTACATAAGGGGTTCATCTTGATACAGTAAAAAGAAAGCTCTCAACAGAAACATTCATAACAGACAAATTCATCCACCCATTTGTGTCATGTTTGTTGTCGCGTCCCAGCTCATCTGGGTCCTTTAGCAGAAGCATTTATTTTTTGAGGAAACAGCATTATATGCACCCCTTTAACAAACTTCCTGTCTTATGTTTAAACAGGCTTTGAAGGTGAACAACATCGTCAGTTAGATTTATGGAGTGATGGGCATTCTCCTTTTTGAATGGATCACTACTGCCGTCATCAAAAAAATTAATAACAAGAAATCGATTGTGAAACACAGGAGCAGTCACTCAAGAATCGCTTCAAAATAGTAGCTTAGGAAACATCTCTGTATCTTTTAGAGTTAAAGAAAAATAAAAGTACTGTTCGTTTTGTCGGAGTATGTGCATTCGTTTTGTCTGCAACTGATCTTATGAAATGCTCAAGTGATTATGTACTACACAATCACTTGTAATTGTTGCTGTCTCAAACTCAATCCATTCTTCATTTCCTATAGGATATTTTTTATAAATTTTTCCGCGAAAACTTTCGAAAAACTGTAAAATCCCCCATAGATTTCATGTTTTTGTGGCATATATAAACGCGTGTCTCCGCGACCAGTTTAACATGAGACATCGCGCTAATAAATAAACCTCGCGTGGTAAATTTTTTTTTCGCTTTTTGTCTTAAAGCAGCTGAACATTGCTACGATGCATTTCCTCCCTGATAAGTAAAACCACGAGTTTGGAAATCAAACCATAGAAATGCATTGCTTTGCCAGTGAAAATCAGACTTATACAGGAAAATGACTTTTTGGCGTTGAGTCTTGAAAGTCCTTAAAAGGCCAAGAAAACCTACTGCTGAAAAATCTACTAGTGAAAACCCGCGTAGAAAACGTCCGGTTTTTGTCATGGAGAATATTTTTTGAAGGAAAGTACGGTATTCAAAGCACCAACGAAATGGCTTTTAAAAGGACTGTAACTTTACGTGCGAGTTTTCGATTTCCCGCCATCAGATTTGATGCGCCCACGCTATTGTCGTTCAGCGGATTCACGCATGCGCATGCAAAATGCCCTCCTGTTGTTAACAATATTTTTGACAATTGTTTCATTCGATTCATTAATGTAAACGTGTTCATTAAAATTCATAACTCTTAACTATTCATACCATTACTGCTGGATCGGAGACGTGGAGGCTGACGATCTGTTCTCTTGCTGTCGTCAAGGAATTGTACAACACTATTGCCCTGTTAAATATAATTTTCCCCAAGGTTAATTGCCTATTCACCATTTTCACATAGACCATAATGCATCTTATTAACTCCCCCCCCCCCCCCCCCCCAACCCCGCTTCACAAAAAAACATTTGTATAACCATTGTTTCCAATTTCTCCTGGATATTACAGTCGTCCCAAGAAGAGAAATCGAAGGCAACGGTTATGCAACAATTTTTTTTTGGGGGGGGGGGACGGGGGTTAAACAAGGTGCATCATGGCCATATGATAATGGTGAACTCCAGAAACTATAACGGGAATGGGTACAAGCTCTTGGCAAAACGATTTTCTGAGATCATTTGGGTGGGCAAGCGTATTCTAATGATTGGTTAATGGTTGCCTTGAATACCATCGGCCAATGATAACTAATGCTTGTCCACCCAAACAATCCCAGACGTTACTGCACCCAAAGCTTGTACCCATTCTTCCTAGAGGTTCTAAGGAGAAGAATAGTGAATAACATTTAAAATTTCTTACTAATACGATAAGATACGACATTTTATTTAGCGTAGGGTTTTAGGTCAATCAGCTGGTTTACAGGTAATCCATGGCCCTAGCGGATAGCTGACTGTAAGAGCCAAATTCATCCTGTTTTATCAGTTTAGACATCAAAACCTTGGAATTCAAACCAATCCACCAAGAACAGAGGCTTGTTTCTCCAAATTCTCGATGACTTATCGTCTTACAGGGTGTTAATAGCGAGTTTAAGCAACGTGAGGCGTTTTCCCTTTTCAATATATCTCTACGCTGCCAAATTAGAAATGCTTAGTGTCTCTGCTCTTTTTGAGATGACTTGCCCAAAGATTTAAGCGAAACCACTGCCGAGTATTGCAACAAGTCGACTTCTGCTTGACGTGCATCCCTCAAAAACGTCTATGCTTAAACATCTAACTTTACCAAATCTTTCTATCCTTGAAATCAGCAACAAGTGATCAAAATATTTTCAAGTTACCTTGGAGTGTCAGAGACTGCTATGACTTCTTTAGTGGGTAATGAATCATGACCTAATCTGCTTTCCTCCTACATGAAAGGGGAGGAAAATAACGAGTTCAGTGTATAGACATAACTTCGATACTCTCTTTTAATAATTTTATTGCATGATGGTCAAATTGCCTACAACAGCAGGCAACCTCGCCCTCGGATAATTTTCTCTTGCCTTTTTGACTAAAGAGTTTTCCTAACCTCACATTAACGTTTATCAATATCAAAATGTTTTAACACAGGAAAGAAAGTGTACATACAAACTTTAGAGGAGGTGCATGTTGGTCTGGTAACTTGTACTGCGACTTGTCAGATGTTAACAGGAAATGGGAGGAGTCCTGTATTACTCGCTGCATGTCATTCAAAGAGCGTAACATTCTGTTGATTGTAATTTCAGTGTAAATTGTAACAGATGAATATACAGGAATCATACCCTTTTTTGAACAAAAAATTCATAAGGACTTTTCAAAGACTTTCAAGGACACATTTCCGACTTTTCAAGGACTCCTCTCAGTGCAAAAAAGAGCCTTGAGTTTATGCCTTTATTAGTTCTTCCACAACATGAGCGATTTTATCCTGGTGGTCTTTCTCTGTTTGCTCCTTTTAGGCACTTAAGAATCTGGGTTGGACAAAGTTAGTACCGAAATTCAAGGACTTTCTAGCACCGACTGCAATTTTCAAGGACTTTCAAGGCCTTGAATTTTTGTTTTAAAATTCAAGGACTATCAAGAACTTTTAAGGTGCGTGCGAACCCTGAATATTGCTATTGCTCTGCAGGTGATGAGGTTGGGACAGAGTGATAAGTAAACATATTTTACAATAACTGAGCGATTTGGCCAAGAGCTATGGTCAATAACAGTACAGACCACGGAAATGACATGATGGTTGCACAATAATTTCTCTTTCTCTTTCTTGCACGCCCAATTTTCTGAGAAACGTCAAGGGAAATGGACATCAAAAACAGCACTGAGAGTTCTGAACATTTTTTAAACATTTCTATGGTTTATAAGTCAGAGTATAGACTATGGACAATTGTTGTCTACTTCTTAAGTGACTTTAGTATCACAATGATCACCAGTGATTGGCGCAAATCACTCTTCACTGCAGTCAAAATGAGCTAAAATGTTGCAATCAATATCCCGAGTCACCACATCACGCAGGGGCACCCAACGGCAATTTTCGGGAAAATATCTGTTCGGAAGACGATTTGAGATCTAGAATTTTCGGAGCATTTGTTGTAAAATTTCTTGCTTGCCTGCCTCTCCTAGGATTTTCGAACATCTACAAAATGGTATAATTACCCATTTTTAACGGATTTTGACCTTAAAAAAGGCCACCTAGAATTTTCGGGAGCCTTTTCCTGGCTGAAATTTTCGAGAAGGTAAGTTTTTATCCTTATAATTTTCGGATTACTAGACTTTCAGCTAGGAAATCCGAACAGATAGAAAGTTTTTAGGGGATAAAAATATGCCTATATTTACCGTTTGAATACTAAAATACGTTCAACAATGCTATGTTAAGTGGTTTTGAACTATATCCTCGTTGGGTGCCCCTGATCACGAGGCGAATGATAACCCTTTCTTTACTTTTTGTTACATCCACCACTATGTAAAACGACAATCTCTTTCTAGACATTAGCACAGACCTTGTTGCATAATCAATAACCACAAAGTCTTTAGCTGTTCCAGTGATGCCATCATGATGCTGAAACAAGCCCAGATTCTGGCGAGCATTCGTCAGGAGGCCATACAGTTTTTCAACAGCAAAGCTTGAACTGCCATGGTGCTGAGCATGTGATTCAGCCAAGGAGAATATTATTTCTGCAGCTCTTCAAAACAGACACAAAAAGCAAGTTAACAAATCCATTAATAGTCTACAAACTAACAAGCAGGACGGACTTACCAAGAATCCTCTGTTAAGCCCTCCAGGGGCTTATTTATTTCAAACTCATTTGAGAAGGGGGGGCTTATTTAATTAAGCAATTTAGATAAATTTGGATAAAGTCGATATACATAAGACTGTATAAGACTCCAAATAAAATATTGTCTTGTCTTGTCTTGTCTTGTCTTGTCTTTAGACGATGGTAGCAGCTCTCCATCAAGAACAAGAATGCAAAATGAAAAAGCTCAAGTACAAGAAGTTGGAGGTCATGCAGCCGATGAAGAAAAACAAATCTGAACTTCCACCACATGAATAAACCATCATGGATCAATCCACACCAGGTTTTACAGTCGAGATTGATTAATACAGTTTATCATTCATTAGTGAAGAAAAATAAGGGGGATGGGAGGGAAGCCCAAAAGAGAGGGGGACTTATTAACTTTCTTCCCTTGAAAAAGGAGGGCCTATAAGAGAAGGGGGGGCTCAATCGAGAATTTACGGTAAATGTGCGAGAGTTGGAAGAGCCCTCACATTTATGTATTCAAATTACAAATTAATGACCAAGACACCTTAAAGAAATCCAGGCTTGACAAGAATAGCTCTTTTCAACTAAATGGTCACATGGTACTAAAACACCTTACTGGTGTGCAAATGACCCAGTAAAGCAAGTAAAACAGAAAGAAACTACATCACCTAAAACGCTAATTTTCTTACTTTTCAATTATTACAAGATCTTACTGTGTGATAATGGTGATAATCAAATGCAACGTAATTAATTCATTGAATTTAGCAGACTAGTTAGAAGGCATTAATACCTGTGGCGTGACTCCAGAATTCTGTCCATACTTTTGTAAAATGGTCTTGAGGTGTAGTAACCACTCCAATAATGATCATCCCTGTGAAAAAGGTTATGTATTTAACGGCCTTGTGACATACACTGTAGGTAATACACATTAAAAGTCATGAAAACAATACTGTACAATTTTAAATCAAGCATTCTATTCAAACATAGGCAAGCAGTCAGACATTATCTATACAGAGAGAAGGGGGTCAAAAGACTTTGATTAACAAAGGAGGGATCATTCCTTTTAGAATGAGTGCAGTTACACCCTCTGGCTCAAATGCGGAAGCAAAAATAACATTTATTTTCTCCTGGGGGTTACACATAGGCTACATTTTTTTCAGTACTAATTTATAGTTCACAACCATCTGTACAAGTCCTCTAACACCATTCTATTGTCTGCTGATATAAAATAAGCTTTAAAAAGCTATCATCTATCACTTCCCCAAGTAAAGCATTGTTCACGACAGATGGCTTCACACACCCAAATAACAAAACTGTTATAATGTAGCAGAAATTGGCCAAGGGAGTAATTATAACTGCCTTCCAGATCTGAAAGGGGGATTCAGTTCAATTCCCCCATGGTCCATCTAAAAATAGCACACACTGTATGCAAATTAATAGTAGTACCTATCAGCATATGTGTAGAAATCCCCACTTAGGGCAGGAAAACCTTTTGGTTGACTTCCAGGCGCAGAACCTAGTAAGAAATAATGGTTTTGATTAGCTCAACTACAACACTAATTTCAGGGTTTAGCCATGGAAAGGAAGAAGAGGTCAGATTAGATTTCATTACATTAATCACAATCAAAATGTAAAACGTGAATTTAATGTAAGAGCAAGTACACATTGAAGTCATACCAGTGGTTTTATACAGAGCATTGAAATAGTCACTTAGAGTCCCAAATTGCACCTATGAAAAACAAGCATATGCTATTAACAAGAATTTAAAAAAATTATTATTACCAAGTTGGTCACGTATTTTTAGTATGGTGTATAAATGAGTAAAATACAGTGGTCAGTCTATGATCAGGTTTTTTCCCTAATCGACCATCTGGCTTCTTAAAACCCTGATATAGACATAACAAGGGCTCAACCAAATTTCCCATCTGGTAGTCCAGGACAAGTAGCTTTCTTGCCGGGCAAGTAACTTTTAAAGCTTATTACTTGACCACTGGACAACAGTCCAAGCTAGTGATACTCTAAGAAAATTTTTCACTAAGACAAACAAGTAGTGGCCCCGGGCAAGCAAAATGGAAGAGCTGCTTGTCCAAGGACAAGGTACTGAATCAAGTTTGTTTTTTAGCCCCGCATAGCTGGTTATCAAATGAGGTTAAGTTACTGCTGCGAGACACTAGCAAATATTTCACTCCTGTAGTGTTTCCTATGAACAGATTGAAAGTTCGTGCAGTATGTTTCACAATACACTAATCAACTGGGCAGCACCAACAATTGGGGACAAAAGTAGTAGCAGTTGACACACTTGTCTAAAACAAGTGCTTTTATCAACAATAATATTTAATTCATTTGTTATTTCATTCTGTTTAAATGCCATAAATCCCCCAATCCCAAATCAATGTTGTTTGTAGTAAACGAAAGACTCGAAGGTTTAAAATAAAACATTGCTTTTAGGAGGAAGGGGGGGGTACAGGGGAAGGGGACAGATATGTCCACTACGCAAAAAGGGCCATTGTATAGAAGTGTCTCAACACTTTCGTTCCTCATTGTAGCAAGCTTACAGGATGTTCTTCATTAATCTGTTTATCTTACACCTAGGTCTTGAAAAAATGACCTCGCATAATTTTTTTAAACTTTGTTCAACCCTGCACTTTCACGATGATGTGGTTTTATGATGCCACCATGAAGTAGCTGTGTGCACTTTGCCATGGATAATAGACTGAGATGAATGGTGAATAAATAAAACATACTTGTAAAGAATTTTAAATAAATATTTTAACTGTATTTCAACTCCATAAATTATTTGGCATGTAAAATCAGAATGCTGGTTACAATTTGATGATTAATCATCAAGTAACATAAAAACAGGTACCTTGGCCTTTAGCTCTGGATGAGAATTTATATGATCCATCAGTCTCTGTGGAGGAGAATTACACAAAATACCAAGCACTGATGACACAGCCTCTACATTTAGTCATCAAATACAATTAACCTTTCTGTTTCCATGCAAAAAAGGAGAAGACCCTAGGGAGTTTACTGTCAGGGTGAAAGGCAGCCTATTCTCCACTCAACGCAACAACGACCTGCTTCTAATCAGAGTGTGAACTCAGTCAAACTTGAAAAATTATGCTCTCTTACCTGATAATTACCATACTGAGCATTAATTTCAAATGTTGTCTCATATCGAAAGTCATCTCCCAATGGCACAAACAAGACATTTGTCCTGTAGAGTTGTGCCTTCTTTTTGTACTGATCTAGTAGCATTCGTGACCTGTAAGAAAACAGAATGAAGTCATCAGAAAGTTTAAAGGCATAGCTTGTTTCACAATATTCCAGGCAATGTGTCAACCTTTTCTAAGTGCCTCTATGCGAAAGAAGTCCTTGGGGATACAGCATTCCAAGAAGATAAATATAATATTGTCAGATCATGCAATGGAGGCTTCTGACACAAATTAAGAGCTCTGGGATGGTAATCTTGACCAAAGGGACTGGGGGAGTGTATTAAGTTTTTCTCTCAAAAAACCTATTTTGGCTACCTTTTCATACGGAAAAAAAAATACGACATCATCCATACTATTCGACTACACATCCTAAAAATAATCCTATGATCCTAACAGTTTTCCCCAAGACATTTCTCACAAAGTCTTGTAAATGCCCCCTCCAAAAAGGAGGAAAAAAAGTGACAGAAGTGGAAGGAGAGAAAGCATTATGCTTGCCTAATGTTGGGATTAACTGATGCTAAGCAATTACACCTGTAAAATACCTTTGGGCAACATTGTTGTCATCAATTCTTACAGGAGAAATTCTCCAAGGACAAGTAACACCACCACCAGGCAATCGGCGGAAATCAAACTGGCAGCAAATCTAAAGAAAGAGCAAAGAGGCACTGATTATTGATTCTGTTAGAGAGACTGAGACACTACAGAACTTAATTTCATACAAACCATCTAATAATAAAATTGGTGAAAGACTCCATACAATTATTAATAAAATCACAAGAAATCATGACTCTTATTGGCCTGGATTACTGGCAAGCAAATAATGCCCGTCTATTTTATTGAATTCATTCATTCAATCATTGATTTTGATAGGATCTTTCAAGTGTGAAGCATAAATGATAATTGAGAGAAGATATTTTTCTCCATAGAGCAGACATGCTTTATCCAAGACACATTTATTAGAAATAACACCAAGGTATTTTATAGTGCCCACTCATTCTAAACTGGTGTTGTCAGCTATGACCAAAAAGCTGTCAAATGCATTAAGCCTCTGGTGAGTTAAGCCTCAAGTGGTGGAGTATGTTACCAAAATAACACAGGATTTCTCATAAATTTTGAAGCTACTTTAATTGCTTTAAATATGGGCTTTCAGATACAGGGCAGCAGAGAAGGGAAAGGGTTAAGTTCAAAACAAAGGGCAAGATGTCACCTTCCAAACATACATCAATATTTCATTCTACCATACCTTGGGTTCAGGACCACAAGTGTGGGGAATGTCATAGCTGTAAAATGGCATCATGTGACAAAACATATCTGTTGATGATCCATGATCTGAAATTCAAGGTGTTAATTTTTAATTAATACACATAACAGATCTTGAAAAAAAACCCCGGACAAGTAGTTCTCCAACAAAAATTAATCATTAACTAAGACAAGCAAGTAGTTGCCCCAGGCAAGAAAAATGGGAGAGCTGCTTGTCCAAAGGACATGCTGGAATTCATGACAAGCTTTCTTTTGAACCCTGCATAGAACTCTCAGGCACGGATCCACACTGGTTTCCACCGCTTTACAGAAATCAGTCAGATTTTAAAAATATAATAAAATGCATTTTTAACAAAGAAAAATCTTTCCAAGTTGCAAGGCTTCATCCGAGGAGAATGGAACTGGCCAATATCCTGTCTGAATGACTCAGAAGCCCTGGAAAGGGGACTTTAGAGATAAAATCCAAAAAATTTCCTAGGGGAGCATGCCCCTTCGGCATTCTTTTAGGAAATCAGTCAGTATTTATCTTAGATCTGCGCCTGAGTAGCTGGTAGTCTCATGCCAGGATGAACTGAGACAAGGAAACATTTCCTTCAGCTATGCACTACAATGCTCGAATAAACACGTTAACCACCTGTGATAAAACAATAATGAAAACAAATAAAAAAAGATGCCTAGGATTGTAATTATGGGAGTGTGAAAATACAATATAGCAACACAATTAAGCCATATCCATAGAGAAAGAAAATTACATATTTGCACACTTAGCCTTTCTGAGCAAAAGACATACCCCAGTTTTGTCTCCACATGAACTCCAGATTCTTATCTTTAGCAAGGTGTTTCTTTACTTGATAATGAGTTCGTTGAATTAACATGGAGTGAAACCCCATGCGTCGCAGAAGGTATGCCATTGTGGGCGTATGCCCAAATGGATCAATTGCCCAGCCTGACATGGGCTTTATTCCTGGTAAAATATGGAAAAATAATGACCACAAAGTAGTTACAAGCCCCTATTGTTCCTTTACTGTACTTTCTCTCAAAGAATAATTCCTTTACTGTTACAAGCTAAGAACAATTCTGTGAGTGATTAAGAGGGCACTGTAGGCAGCTTCTTGTGCCATTTACATGTAAACCTGGTCCAAAACAAATGAACTTTTGTGAGTGGAGATGTAAAAAGGTACAAGTGAGGACTGGAAGACTGTTGATTTCAGCATACCATAATTTGTTTAGCATAATCCCAAAATACTGCTCTAAACATACCACTCCACCCATATTACAGCAAGGAGCCCAAAAGTGTGACCGCTCTTGATTTATTCACATTCTTTGGTACAGATTTAATCCAATCAGAAGACCGCTGGAAACTGTTCTTGACTTCTGATTGGTTAATGTCAGCAAGAAAGAATGTGAGTTAATTACACCGTAAAGTAGGTCACACTTTTGGGCTACTTGCCGTGAATGTACCTTTTGATAATACTGTTATTTTATGTAATAGTAACAATCTACAAAAAATACTACTCAAAAATTAAATCAAAATAAATTATTACAACAAAAAGCAAGTTTATCACCTACAGAATATTGTTAAAAGGATGAGCACAATATTCATGTATAATTATGTAATTTTATGGGAGCCACATCTTTTTTTTTTAACTTTTGCCTGTGGCTGGTTTTAATGACTATTCAAATCACAAACTGTGTGGAGCAAGTTAGGGGCATCAGGTTGGTCCTCAATTGTATAGTAACCCCCTTAAACTGAAAGGGTGCCAGAAAAAATAGCCGAATTGACTTCTGATAAATTCAGACATGTAGATTCTCTCTCCACATAGCCTCACCTTTGTTTGTAACACTAGGGGAGAAGTTGTCATCGGATCGAGTCAACAAGGACCTGTTTAATGCAAACCTTTCTGATACCTTTATGGACATAAAGAATAAGGTTTTATGACAATTTAAAACTGACCTGAACCCAGATTCTTTGCAATCCACTGATGCCCTTCAATCAACTGATCCAGCATAGCATAGTAATGAGTATTGGCCTCATCATTCATGACCCACCCACCAGTTACAATCTCTAGTTGACCACTGCTTAGCTGCCTAAGGAATATAATGTTAATTTGGTGTGTTATCAAGAAGTGAACTTTTAATCAAATAAGCCAGTTTGAGGATTGGCCCTTTGTCAGGAGTGAAGAGTTATGAATATTACACAAAGTAAATCAACATGTACATTCTCTCCACTTTGTCACCTAGGCAAATATGCTGCAAAGGTCTGGCCATTAATTTTGTATATGGCATTATTCAAACTAGTTGCTTCTTCTTCGGAGGAAAAAGTAGCCGACTTCTCTGAGAAATGTAGCTGACGCGTTTCGTTGGTCGTCGGTGGTTATTGAAACCCTTGTATTCTAAACATAACTATTCAGTCAGATTAGTCAAAATTTAAATAGTATGCACGAAGGAGAGGGTTTTTCAACAACAACGCTTTCAAAAACCATGTTTTATTGTGAACATGACTTGTCAGGCCATGGTCCGGCCAGCCAGTTCTGACTTTTGAAAAGCACCCTAAGTTCGAATGTGGGAGTTCAAACTTTTTTTGCCAAAGACAATTTTGTTAGATTAATAAAATGATGACAATGCCTTTAACAATACTGCATGGATCACACCTACAATAACATGTAACCCCCTTATCGGACCTGGCAGCTGTAGGTATATTTTTATCTTGCCACCATATACATGTAGTCTTCCGCCACTTACAGAAACCTCCTTAAGACTGACACCTCCGGAAAATAGAACTCAATGCAGACACCTCTCGGACTAAACATCTAAAATGGTCATTTGACATTGGTCTCAAAAACATCTATCCCAGAAAACGTTGGTTGTACAGTCAAACCCAGTTAACATGGACGATGAGGGGACTTTAGAAAGTGTCTGTATTTGTCCGTATTAAGCAGGTTGAATTTAGAGACAATGTAAGGGCTAGGGACAAGGAAGACTGTCTGAAATAACGAGGTGTCCACATTAAGTGGGTGTCAATCAACAACTGCAGGACTACCTGGGTCAGTAAAGCATTTGAATGCAAAGCAGGAGGTCGGAGGTTTGATCACCAAGCCCATACTAATACACAGGGTTTTACATGTATAAAGAAAAAGGGATGGCCTTCAATTTCCATCACTAAATACAGTTGAACCTCCATTAAGCAGCTACCCAACTATTGAGCAGCTAGTAATCAAAGTCCCAAAATGATTGTAAAAAAGAATGGCAGATAACAACTCTATTAAGTGGCCACATTTTGGCTGCCCCTTGAACAAGAGTTCTGTCACCTCTGTCAAGTGGCCATCAAGAGCTTGATACCCTTAGCTTGGCTTCATGTCAAGAATAAGATGGAGGAAAATACAGTCTGAGATAGAAGATGACAACCGATTGTGGATCAGTAATGCTCCCCCGCATTTGCTTCTATGTTTCTGCTAAAGATTATGCTAATTTACGACAGAACTCTATTGAGCGGCCAACCTCCTTTAACCTTTAAGTCCCAATACTGACCAAGATCAAATTTCTCCAAACAATATCCATACACTGTCAAGAGATAAGTTATGAGAATTTATAAAATGATCACACAAGAGAAAATGCCTTCGTCCTTGATCTATTATCAAATTCTCTCAACTCATTCTTTACGGAAATGTATAGGGATCAGTTTGGAGAATTTGTATGTGGACACTGGGGCTTAAAGGGTTAAGCGGCCCCTTGCCAGTGCCTCGCGGGTGGCTGCTTTATGGAGGTTCAACTGAAATGCCAATAATGAAAAAGTTCTTACTCTAGAGCAAGCTTTTTTCTTTTGTCATCAACTTCTCCCCACCACATTGAGAAATAAGATATTTCTGCCCAAATGAACTTTCTTCTTTTATCTACTGCTAAGGCATCAACTACATTGTCTAGAATGTGTCTTGTCTGCTGATTGTAATACTGGTCTAGTGTCTTGATCCACCCTAGCACAAGAAAAAAAGACAAAAAAAATAATTATTCATAAATTTCAACATTTTTAGTCTATTTCCACAATCAAATTATTTTATTACAGAGAAGGGTAATTGGGCTCATATCAAACCCCCGACCTGGAGAGGCTGCTCTTAACATGTCCTCTCATCCTTGCCCAAGCCAGCATGGTTAAAACTACCATGGGGGCAAAAACCCCAATGCCACGGCTCTTGAGATCACTAAAGGCCTGTTAAAGGGGCTGTGTCACGGCAGTCCAGTTCATTTTGGTTATTTTTTCCAATTACTTGCCCTCAATCACTATGGAACTTAAACTAAGCAAAGACATTACATGTAAGTGACAAAATCAGAGATCCGAGACAAACAAATATGTCTCCTGAGCATTATTTTTGAAGTTGCAAGCAGCGGGGATCAACTTTGAAAAACTGTTAGGCTGAACAGTTTTCAAAAACCCTAATTTCGATCCGTTTCAGTCTTCTTCAGTTTTGCCCATCCGTCGCATCTGTTGTTTCTGTTATGTTATTTTAACCTTCCTTTAAAGTTTTAAGCGGTTATCTTTATGTTTCTCTTAATTTAACGGGCATTTTGTAATTTCCTAACATTTTAGCTGAATTTCGTGACACAGCTCCTTTAAAGTTTGCATAATTTGTTCTTGTGACTTGTATCACTGTTGTGAGAAACAATGGCTGAGACAATATCATTGCCAACTATAACACCCCACAGAATAGTCATTTTCTAGCAATGCTTTATTAATACGTACATGTAGCAGCAAGCATTGCATTTTCGAAAGGCTGATCTGTAGACTGACTTTTGATTCATGTGGCTGGAATCCTATGGCGTAATCATTCAAAGGAAACCTGTCTCCAGTAGTACTTTCAATTAGTGGTACTATACAATGTAATAATTTATTTGGTACATGGTTCTTATTTTGAGTCTGAAGAGAAAATCCAATTCATTTAAGTGGTGTCACCATTTAAATGAAACTTCTTCAGTAGTACTTTGGCATATCACCATTTGTTTTTCACGATTCAGTAGAAAGAAATTTGGTATTATTCTTGAATTTGAACTTTGATACTCTTAAGTTTTCAGTTTGGAGTTATTAAATAGCAAATTTTGTCTTTGCTAAGTCCAGCGGATAAAACTCATATCAAAGGTCATACCAATGTTGATCACTGGTTTTGAATCAAGACAAAACTGCATTTACCTGGATCATTGTGAGAGTGAGGGACCACAAATACGTTAAGCTGCTCTTTATCAAATTCACTGTCATCATACTTCACATCCCAGCCTTGTTTCCATGCACCGCCATCAATATTATCAAATGGCATTACATCAAACATATCCAACATCTATAATAAATGGATGACAACACTGATATGATAACAATTAAAAAAAAACTAAATAGTCTAATTTTAAAAATATTATAAAATATACCACTTTAGAAACGCTTACACAAGATCCTAAAATAAACAAACTATGAACTCTCGCGAAGCTTCTAGAAAGTCACGCTAGTCACACAATACAATTTTCCGTAACACCCTGTAACCCTGAAAAATCTTGTGCGTGGGTGAGGTGAGGTAATTTAGAAACCAGAGGCCATAAGCTAAAAACATACCCCATGTAAATAGCATATTAGCATATTATTTTTATGCCCATTGGGCAAACAAGTTTTAAAAGTTACTTGCCCAACAAAATAAGCTACTAGTCCCACACAACTGGATGAGACTTTTTTTAAGCCCTGATGAAGAAAAAATGTACATAATCTGAAAAAAAGGATCAAAATGGTGCACCCGCCCTCTAAGAAAAGTTTACCTTCACATTTGCTGATTTTCCTGATGCTGTCGCTGAGAACACACAGCCATTGTCAACATCTCCACCTTGTACTTCAGGCCTTCTTGCAAGAGATTCACCTTGTTTGCCTGGTCTTGTCCTCCCTAAGAAGTCTTCACGCTGTTTATTGTCCGCTGGTTTGCCACCATGGAATTTTATTTTGTCTACAGTTCGCTGCATACTGTTCATAATTTTGCCAGTTCTTTTCAAGTTCCCTTCTAGTTTACTCATATCCCTTTCAAGAACTTTCAGAGGATCCTCAACATTTTGTTTTCTCTAAAGGACAATAAAAAAGTAAAAATATACTAAGTTAATGAAACAAATTAGGTGTGTGAGTTTTGGGAATGCTGATAGGCTTTTTTCAACACTTTTATGCATCAGTCACTTGAAACTCCGGCCCCCCGACCTCCGGGACTTAGCCGGGAATTTAACATTGGCCTGGTGTAAAAACACCGCTAATTTCCCCACTCCCTGGGCCATGTAGTTTGTTAAAAGCCCCATATAGAAGGGCATTAGTTCCAATCTCAATTTCAACCGCTCTCTAGTGTCCAGCGTTGTTCCTTGCCAAAAATGGGCTCCTTTCCTGAACAGCAGTTGGTAATCAATCCTAAAACAGTTCAGACTAGTCACGGCTGGACTTTTTTCTAGAGACAATCATATATTTTGAACTATACTCAGCAACTGCGATGAAATTTGATTCCTGCACGTCAATTCAATCATAGTGTATGTAAGACAACTTCCAGTAAGCGACCACTGAGTCATCGCATTTCGGATCGTCACTTACGGGAGGTTATACAAACAGACCTGTTAATAGAAACTCTTGACTGAGTTCCTTCAAATATTTCATGAAAAATGTTACCGTGAGTGCCCGAGGATTCTTTCTTACCTAATTCCTGAGAACAGAAATATAGGGCCATAACAGAAAAATGCGGTTATCACTTTATAACATCTGTACTGTATACGCTGTGGTTCAATTTTATCCTTGGTTTAATTTTTATTAATTTTCTTTTGTTTCAAACTGACTACCACACATTACCATACATAAAAACGTTAAGAAAATAAAAATTAAACCAAGGACAAAATTGAACCACAACATAATACTCATAAGTAGTGTGCTGCATTTAACGTAGCTTTTTCACATGGGGTACAAATAGTCTCAAATGTTGTGACCACTCCCCTTATTTTTGTCATTAACATACATACTAGAATCAAGTGCGATTTTCGGATGTTTCATCATCGTGTTTATTTTTTCAATGTAGGACTGAAGTCATTGTTTTATTTTTCTTAATTTCTTAAATTTTTCTCTCATCATTTTACTTTTTCCCCAGGCAGTTCAGCAAAGTTTAATGCGTTTCTGATCAAAACATGGCTTGAGCAAAGGATCAACGAAACAGCTATTTTTTCCTCTTTGCGATTATTTCCAATTTTCTATTGAGATTTGTGAGCCCGGTCCTTGTGAGTCAATGCTCAACCAATGAAGGATATTTTTGCGTGTGTGAAATCTTAAACAAAACGCAATCAGTAATACTCATCAAGAGAAACTGGTCCAGGGTAGTTGTCAGTGGTGAAGCATACACGTCACTGTCTCCGGTGTAAAGTCTCAAACCACTTAGACCTGAACGAACATTTTGAACAAACTTCTATATTCCAATACATAATATTTCTGCCTGACACCTTTCCCTCTACAAGGTTAAAATTTGGAGGACTGTCTTTATGGGTCTTGGGCCAGAGATTTTGTCTGGCTACTGTAAACTGCCACTTATAAGCCCAGCCCCCAGTTATAGGCCCTCTACCTGTACATGAAAAAATACATCCGTCCCCTTTCTAGCCCCAATTACAAAAAAAGCACTTTACAGTCTACCGGTAACTCTCCTTACAGACACCTTTATAATATGGACACCTCTCAAAGGAGAGTTTGTTTGGTCCCAGAGATGCCAAAAATCATACATTCCCTACCTCTATAATAAGGACACCTCTGTAAAGTGGACACTTGGTTCTGTCCCTTTAGTGTCTGTATTAAAGAGGTTGAGGTTGAGGTTGAGGTTGAGTGTCAATGTATTTAGCACGAAATTACAAATAGGCGACTCTACTTTTACATCTCCTGCTGGAGACAGGACCTCCAATATAAGTGGTCATCCAAGCCATGCAAAGGTCTCGCCATTTGCGGAGCAAAGGCAGTATCTTCATTTCTCAGTTATTTTAAGACTCTGACTATTGGTCCAGCCCCAGGAATCGAACCCACGACCTCCCGCTCTGCAGCTAGTCAAGCACTCTACCAACTGAGCTCATCTTGCCCCCCTATGAATTTGATTTATTACATGTATTTGAACCTTTATTAAAAACCAGTAAATGCAAAACGTATTTTGATCTGCACTACTAAACATATGTAGCTTGTTTTGAGGCATGTTTTTCTATTCCAGTTATAAGGCTCTTCAAACACCCCCTTCATCTTCTATGCTCAGTCTGAATCCTGTTAGCTTTAAAATTAAGACCTATGCATCTAGAGCATTCGCTGTCTCAGCCCCCGAGCTTTAGAACAAACTATCTGACGACATACGCTCATGCGAGAATCTAAGTCTTTTTAAGCATAAACTTAAAACCTACCTTTTTAGGAACTATTGTTTTAGTCATTAGGAAACATTATTTGATTTTATATGTGTTTTATTTAAATTTAAATTCATTTTAATCAATATTTATTTTACCGATAATTCTAATTTTTTCACTTCATTAAGCGCCTAGATCATTACTGCATAGGCACTATTAAAAATGTTCTTCTTCTTATTATTATTATTATTATTATTATTATTATTATTATTATTATCATTCAAAGATGTATAAGCCTAGGGCTTATAAGCGGCAGTTGACAGTATTTTAGTTATGTGAGCCTTGCTTATTTTCTCTTTCGAAAATTAGTAAATAATGATTTTGCATTCTAGAAACACTGCTCTGCAGCTTGGAAAAATAAGTTTCGATTCTCCGCCCACATTTTTTTATTTCCTCAGCTGTATCCTAACAGGTGGTTTAACTTTAATAAATTACCATACTTTTATCTGAGTTAATCAATGAATATACATAAATAAAATATCATTGCCTCTACTTTTGCTCCGCCACAAAAATTACTCCACCTTTCAAATTTACATTCTTTAGAAAATTGCAAGTAAGTAACTTCCAAGAAATTAAAACTATCAACTTAAGCCAGCTGGTCATTTTTTTTTTTTTTCAAATATAAGCTTACCGTTAACTTTCAATCTAACGTTTCAGCAAACATCTATAATCTAACACACACTGCAACCGCACACAAAAATAAACAATACTTTTTTGGTATTCTCATATTTCTCAGGCTTCAGCAAATTCAAAAACTGAATAAAGAAAAGTCATAAATGTGCAAGAAGAATATTTAGGCTTATATTTTTATTAAACTATAAGCTTTAAAGATTTATGGATCGACTTTCTTCTGCGATTCGATGTAAAAACATTCGCGGGAATCTGTGTGCACTTTTTACTTTGCATGCACACCGGCTAAGGATAACGTTTCTATTCAATATTTATAAAAAATGCGCATAAAGTAAAGGATCGACAGAAAACACTTTCCATGCAGCCAACAGGATTTCATTACAAGTAGCAAAACCGGCAACAAGCTTCAGAAATCTCACATGATTTCATTCAACCGATATTCATATTGTCATTGTATGCAAACGAAGATGCAAAGAGCTTTTTACAACCGTTTTACACCAATTCATCCCTTTCCGTCTTTTGGTAAATTAACATCTTATAATTATTCGATGGACGTTTAAATAAATACCTTTAAGCTAAGAGGTCTCATAAACAGCTTTAGGGGATGAATTGAAAGCCACGACGTGTAAAAGTTGCATGGAGAATTATTTTTGGAGACCTTTGCAACCTACCTCAGCTTGGAAGATTTCTTGAGAGGTGGGAAGCCGTCCTAACTGATCTACTACCAAGTACATGGAGAGAAATAGGACACAGAATAGAGCCCCACCAAGAAGGACTATCCATTTTTTCATGATCAGCTAAAAAACTATAAAAACAAATCTATAGACTTCAAATGAGAAAGGAACATGTCTATTCTAAAAGTTTGAGGGCATACAAGAGACTGGATTCTAGCGCCCAGTCCTCCGTCGAGTGACGCAAACTCACATGGTCGTGAATCAGAGTAGTCGAGAGCAGATTTGACGAACTCTTTTTTCATTATTATGGAGAATTTTCAAGAGCTAAAGGATACAAGAGACGAAATTAAGAGCCTGCTATCATCAGCTACGCAACCTCGGGTTAAAAAGCTCCTACAAGATGAGCTTGCTCGCGTAGAACTCGAGACCAATGCCGAGGAGAAACGAATCGAAAATGCAGCTTCCCCGGAAGGGACAAAGAAGCAGCCGTCGAAGAAACCTCAAGTATCCTTAACAAAAATCACATCGTACGCTTGGGATCAATCGTCAAAATTTGTAAAAATTTACATAACTTTGCCAGAGGTAGAAACTCTCCCGGAGGAGAAGATTTCTTCTAAGTTCACTGGGAAGTCACTGGAGCTGAGAGTACTTGGCCTCAAGGGCAAGAACTACGAGTTTCAGATGGTACACTTGTTGCATCCTATTATTCCTGAGTCAAGCTCTGTGAAAATAAAATCAGGAAAACTAAGTATCCTGCTGAAGAAAGAAAAAGAAGAGAATTGGTCTTGTCTGACAGTGACTGAGAACTTGAAGAATATAAAACAGCAGCAACCGAAGTTTGATGAGACCAAGGATCCTGGAGAAGGGATAATGGATCTGATGAAAAAGATGTATGATGAAGGAGACGATGAAATGAAGAGAACCATTGCAAAAGCCTGGACAGAGTCAAGAGAGAAGCAGAATACCATGGACTTCTAAATACAAACATTGCGCTTTACCGTCAGGGAAAGAAAGTGACTTCACCCATTAACTGAGTCTTTATGAAAGCAGATGTTTTTGTGCCATAGGAAGATCACCCCTAGTCTCCTTCGCAGTTGTTTTAGGCTCATCACGCAATGATTGTTACGTGATGAGCTTAAAAATGGCTGTGAAGGAAACTAGTTCACCCCCACCTCAGGGATAAAGAGCTGGTGGACTGCGGCGGGACTTAATCAGGGGCACCCAACGAGGATATAGTTCAAAACTACTTAACATAGCCTTGTTGAACGTATTTTAGTATTTAAACGGTAGATATAGGCATATTTTTATCCCCTAAAAACTTTTCATCTGTTCGGATTTCCTAGCTGAAAGTCTAGTGATCCGAAAATTATAGGGATCAAAACTTATCTTTTCGAAAATTTCAGCCAGGAAAAGGCTCCCGAAAATTCTAGGTGGCCTTTTTTAGGGTAAATATCCGTTTAAAATGGGTAATTATACCATTTTGTAGATGTTCGAAAATCCTAGGAGAGGCAGGCAAGCAAGAAATTTTACGACAAATGTTCCGAAAATTCTAGTTCTCAAATCGTCTTCCGAACAGATATTTTCCCGAAAATTGCCGTTGGGTGCCCCTGCTTAATGGGTAAAATCATCACAGGCATAGTTTTTAAGAAGAATGGGAGAGCCTTGAGGCCTTAGTCTAACTGAACCTGTTCTGTGCTTCTGATTATCCTGAAAATATTTTCTGGCCAATCAGAAGTAGGCAGTCCAAATTATCTGGAATTGTTTCTGCAAGAGTATGTGGCCAGAGGTGCTACCAGTTCCCTGATAAAGCTCTTCAACAATTTTACCCTCTAAGTCGCATCCAAACTACATGTAGGTACCTTGGGATCTCAGCCTCAAAAGTATATGTAGAATCTTGCAGTGACCCATTATATTATTGTATTATCGCATGAGAAACTATTGTACTTCTAGGAACGTTTCAAGAAGCAATAGTCTAAAACTAGAGTTCATTGAGAAGTTCATCTTTGTTCTCAAGGTTAGCTAAGCAAATGATTGGCAAGCACAAGCAAAGACTCATATCATGTCTCAGTCGGAAATTAAGTACACTAGGAGCTTTTGTTTCTCACTCTTAAGATTTGGTCGGAGACAGTAGAAAAGGATGTATTGTGCACTGTTTATAGTAAAAATGCAATGTTGTGTTTAAAAGTGAATAAATAAGCAGCTTGTACTGATGAACAATTACTGTCTAACTTTTCCTCTCTTTGTAAATGCAGTATTTCGCAATAATTATTGGATTTGGCTTTTGTATAATTATAATAATGCAGATCAAGGAGGGTGTTATCCACCGATTCAGAAGACCAAGGTGGATAACACACTGCAAGATATGTGTTATAAAACTGAACCCAATGTTTATAATTTATTCAAAATGTAACCAACCTCAAAACACCCCCCAACGTCAAAGACCCAAGGGGGCTTATTTATTTCAAGCACATTTGAAGAGGCGGGGGCGTTATTTGAGATGGATGGCTTACTTTATTTAGAAAAGATGATGGTATCAATATTCTCTATAAAAAATAGAATGCAAAGTGGAAATGCCCAGGCACATGAACGGAGAGGTCATGCAGCCAAAGATCCAAACAAGCAAATAAGCAAGTAAAAAAGAGAGTTTGCCTAAAACCTGGAATCTGGAAAGCCCACACTAAACACCGAATGACTCTGAAGTTTAGTGACAAGGGTTAGGAGGTCTTAGGAAACTGAGTGAATCAAGTGTCAGGTCAGTTTGCCCAATATAATCTAAATGAACCTGATTCACTCAGTTTCCTAACCCTAACCACTAAACTTCAGTCATTGGACGTTTGGCATGGGCTTTTCGGATTCCGGATTTTAGGCAAACCCTGAAAAAGAAATATTGATTTTTGATTGATTAATTCAGCAAGCTGCAGACATTTGGTTCGGACATGGTCACTTCCGGCTTAACCTTTTTGTTCCCAGGGTCTTCACTTCTCCTCACGGTTATTAACAATCAAGCGTCCAAAGAATTGTGGGAGAAAGAGCGGCGGCCATCTTGATCAAGGATATCGTTTGGTGTATTTTGGTTTTTGTATTCCTTTATTGAGATGATCAAGGCGATCCTTGTATTCAATAACCATGGGAAGCCACGGATGACCAAATTCTTCACTCATTATGTAAGTATTGTATCCTCCAAGAAATGGAGTTTTCTTTTTAAGAGCACGAAGTAAAAGTAGGTAAAGTTGTGTGTGGTTCATAAGAACCTTCCGTTCCGTATTTTAACCTACAATGTAATCATACATAAGATACTACAACTAGTGGAAATAACCTATGTTGTACTGTCTTTTGGGCTGCCAAAATTCAACTAGTAAATTTGCGACAACACCTGGCCTATGAGAAATTATGAAGGATAATGCGAAAAATTGCACTTAGAGGCTTACTTCCACTTGTCCACTTCACAAACGCAAAAACTCCGTAGCTTTTATAAAGTAAACACTATTTTAAATGACGTTAATTTCTGCCTTCCAACTTTATTTTAGTGTAGTTTTTCCCGTTATTTTAAGAATGAGAAGCCATGAGTTTAATTGCGTTCAACATTAGGAGAATGCAACCTAAACTGAATGTGAGAAGCCTGGGCACAAGCATTTAGCAGAAAGAATCTCGTTTTTAGGTTGTTTCAACTACCGGTGATATGTCATAGCCTCCACGGGCAAGGTGCACGTGCATCTAAAAGGATCAGAATGCGCGCAACTGTTCTTTCTTCCACGTTCAGCTTTGCTCACTTTCTATCAATCAATCAATAACCTTTATTTATCCTTTATTTATAAAGCCTATGGGGTCGAGCAAAGCAAAAAGAAGAAATACAAAACTACTATTATTATCATTGTACAGTAACTAATTTTTTTACAGACTAATTATAAAATATTACAAGTAATTAGAAATTAGTATTTACATCACAAATTATAATAAATATTACAACGAAACCTGCATTAAGTGGACACCCTCTATTAAGCAGACCGTAGCCAAAGTCCCCAAATTTATTTCCTTATTCTAACTTTCTGAGCTGAAATAGCTGCTCCATTTATAGATCTGGTAGTACAGTGGAACGTCTATTCAGGGGACACCCTCGGGAGTCAGGCAAGTGTCCTCTGAATAGAGGTGTCCCCTGAATGATGGTCGGAGTGGGGTTTTTTAATAATTAGCCAACCAATTAAATATTTTTATTTTATTCTGCCTCTGAATCTGCTACAGTCATGATTTCAAGCAGCTAGATAAAATTATGTGTAGAAAATCATGATTCTAGGCATATCTCTGTGATATGGTATGTTGAATTCCCACTAGTACATCTTAAACAACAACTACAAGTCATGAACTAAAACTCAACAAACTGTTAAAAACTTGGTCCAATTATCAATTGCCCTCTTGATCTAGTTCACTTTTACTTTCCTTGCATTTCATGAAAGTATTGTGGGTCATAATAATGCAATTTTTTGTTGTTGTTTTTAACAACAGTTTTGGTTGGATTTCCAGTGACTTCACATCCAAATGAATGAATAATGTGAGAAGTGACAGTTGTGTAAATTTATGCAAATTTTGTGCAATCAATCATGGTGCATTTCTTTACCCAATATTTTTTTTAACAAGTATTTCTACCTTTATAATTTCTTTTTGTCTGACTAGTTGGGTGATACTAAACCAATAGAGTCTTTGCCCTCAAGGGCGATAGGTCAATAGCCCATTCAGCTTTGCCTCATGGGCTATTGACCCGTAGCCCTTTTGGGCTACAGGTCTAATAATTTATTGTCAAGTATTAACTATGGTATTATTTTTCTCATAATGAGCTAACATAATTTTAAAACGTGTTTTGATTTTGATTATATCAGGACTGTGGTGCTTATTTCGGGGCAGCAATTGTTGACTTTTTTTTTCTCCCAAATGCGGCAATTAATCAGGGGCAGTTCTTATTTGAGTAAATATGGTAATGCACCTCTCAAATTTTGAGACAAGTTTTGAGAAAAATAGGGTGCATCATACAAGAGTATAACATTCTTTAATTATGTTTTTTTTTCAGTCAGAAGACATGCAGCATCAGATCATTAGAGAGACATTTCATATTGTCTCAAGGAGAGATGACAATGTCTGTAATTTCTTAGAAGGGGGAACGTAAGTTATAACTTCTATTTTTCTCTCAATCAGATGAGGTCATGAACAGAATATTCTGTTTTGCGTGTAGATAATGCCAATAAGTATGAGGTCTATTACTATCCAGGGGGGTTTAAAATTCTATGGAAACAGTTTTTTTTGTTTGGAGTGCCGGTTATTCTCTCTACTTACATTGTACCCTGCTGAATAAATAGGTTGGATTGGCCAAGCAAGATAAGGGCAATGCCCAGTTTTGTCTGTACACTTATATTCTGGACTTGGTGGTTTACTTGTGACTTTTAAGAGTACTGCATCCTGATAAAAAAGAGGTTTTAAGACAATCTGTTGAGGGGGGTATTATGCCTCCCTCTTTATGACCATGCTATAAATGAAGTATCATTTTGTAGATCATTATCCATCATCACTCTGTTGGTCGGGTGGGAAACATTTTCTGAACTTGTGCGAAGGTGTTGTAGTAGTAACAATTTTTAATTTGCTTTTGCAGGTTGATTGGAGGTTCTGACTTCAAGATAATTTATCGTCACTATGCCACACTTTACTTTGTTTTCTGTGTGGATTCTTCAGAAAGTGAGCTAGGAATTCTTGATCTTATCCAGGTATGTTTATGACTATGTCCTGTTAAATGTTGTTTAATCTACTTATGAAAGGGTGGAATCAATTTTTGGATATGAATTTTAAATGGTAAACAATAATGACAAAATTCTGCTCAAAATCGTATGTGTCTGACCCAACAAATTATACACCTTAAGTTCTACCTTATCCTAAGGATCATAGAAAGAATGATATTTTCTTAGCTTTCTAATTTTGATTAATATAGAAAAATGTTATGTATGGTTATAGTTGAGCATTTTGCTCTTGCGCTTGATGCTGTTTTGTTTTATTATCAAGTAAAACAGGCCTCATTTGTTTAAAAGGTGGATAGCACTATTCAACGGATAATTCACTCTCCAGTGGATAATTGTCAGGGAAACAAATTGCAAAGTTACTCATTGGTTAGAGATTTATCTAGGCAATAGTGTTATGGACCACTGAACAAATGGGGCCAGGAGTTTTTTAATAATTTGTTTTGCTTGTTTTGCTAAGTTTTAGACAATTGACTTACCATTTTTGTTTTGTGTGTGTATTATTTTGTAGGTTTTTGTGGAAACATTAGACAAATGTTTTGAAAATGTCTGTGAACTAGATCTGATATTTCACATGGACAAGGTATGTCACTGAGCAACAAATGATGGCTAATTAACCTTACACTTATTTCATTCGTATGAGCTAAGTTTGGTTAAATTTAAGGATGCATTTCGTGATTTACACCTGAGTCATCAGATAAAAAAATCCTGTTTCCAGTTGTTTAAAAGATAGCGCCATACGCTGAATACGTAGCTATTTAGTGGATACGTATTGGGACACTAATATTGCGGTATCCACTGGATAGAGATTTATCTGATGGATAGTGTTAGCGACCTTTTGAACAGCTGGAGCCATTGTATCCAAAATGCAACTTTGCCGTGTGATCCACAATAGCAATAATAATATTATGATGGCAAAAAAGTAGAACATGACATCTGGTGATACTGAAAATTTATTAATCTTTGGTTATATTCTGGGCAGTCAGCTAAGGGATCCAACTTTGGATGCGACAATAGGAAGAGAAGTCCTTCATCTTAAGGTTCGCGCTAGATGAGAAGCTGTCTTGTGAGAGGCACCATGATTGGTGTCATGTACTAGTTTTGTCTGCATGAAAAGTCAATAAAACCACTTTGAACTGAGAATAAAGCAATAAATTATAGCTTCACCTTTGCCCCTGCCCTGCATTTAACCTTAGATCACGCTCAATTTTCGTTTCGCTTTGTAATAACATTCCGATGCGCAAAACATAAAGAGAATGTATGAGAACTGCTAAAATTGGGTCTGATCTCAGGTTACTGCGTTCCGAAATGGCAGATAAAATGGACAAAATAGTAATATAGGTTAAGTGTGTATTTACATTTCTTTGAGTTCCTGCTGGCTATGTTCATCCCAGTCCCTCTTTACATCTTTGTGTTTGTTGTTCAGGTTCACTACATTTTACAAGAGATTGTCATGGGTGGAATGGTGTTAGAAACTAATATGTCAGAAATTTTAACCCACATTGAGGCCCAAAATAAACTCGAAAAATCAGAGGTGAGTCCTCCAGTCTAGGAAGCCCAATTTTTTCATTATTTTCCATACACATTTGTTCCTGTTAATTTATTGTTTGCATGTAAACCAGTTTTGAAGCCACCTACAGGGTTCTCATTACATGTAAGTGCCAGCAAACAGCTAAAAAATGTTCTACTTTGAGGTCTGAGTCATCTACTCTTGGAGAAAAGTGGGTAAAGTGAGAGGTTAAAGCCTCAAATTGCCTACATTACTTGATTGCCAAGCCACCTACTTTTACATCCTACCTGTCTAAAGTAAAACTTAATGAGAACCCTGCAACTAAAAATAGAGGACTCCAAGCTGGGTAAGAATTTTTTATCCATGATATTTAAGAGTTTTAAGGCTTCACATGTTGTGAGAATTGTGTCAGCACTATACTAGGATTCATCTCTCATGAGATTGGGGCACTCTAGGGTCTCTGAAATGATAATGGACATGTTTCCGTCCATGGGTGCCAGTATATTTAGTAATTTAAGTCGATTTGGTCACAACCAAGTTGATCTGAAGAAGGTTCAGCATTTTGTCACTACAGATGTGGTAAATTTTAAATGAGCTATTAACATTGCACTTTTTGTCTCATTTAGGCTGGTATCAGTGCTGCACCTCAAAGAGCCATGTCTGCTGTCAGAAATATTAGTCCTAACCTACACAATCTACCAAAACCCAATATAAATCTACCATCTATGCCTTCACTACCACATATTAACCTGCCATCCTTTAAATAGCCGTAGATTTATTCTATTTTTATAAGTATAATTATCAATATGACAATATCAATAAACCTGTAATGCTAGAGTTATTCCCAGCTCAAAGTAATTTTATTTTGGTGTTGTACAGTATATAAAATTGTTAGAATATTCCCAGTTGTTGTGTTCTTAGAAAGTTTGTTAGGTGTATACAGTTGACTCCCTTATATTATTGAAAACCTTGTGAACATGAGTCATTGTCATTTTAAATTAGCAATAGTCCAAACATCTGTACATTTTGTTGGCGGGGATTTAGCCACAGTCCGTATTTTCAGGTTGTCTGTAATGACTAGGTGTCACAAGGTGATAGTTGACTTTATTTTCATAGCCTGTGAGCAAGCTCTCCATTCCAAGGGCCAAGCGGAGCAAGCTGCACGAGAACATGCGAGCAAGAAGCTTGCTGCCAGGGGCAGGGGAAAGCCCATTCCCTCCCCCCCCCCCCCCCCCCCCCCCTCTTGTTTTCACGCCACCTTTCGTGGCTGATATCCCCTAATGGAAAGATTGCTTGCAGGTTAGTAGTTTCACTTTCTGTTAGTTTCAATAAGAAGGAATAACAAAACATCGGACAGTGTCATTGTCCAAGGAATGAGCTGCTAAAATCAAGTCGCTCTTTTATGGCTAAAACGTTTCAGTTAATTAGCGAATATCACTGCTTGTGTTATAATGAATGAAAACTTAAGAACATAATTGTAGGCTGATATGCTTGGCTGTTGCACAACTCATAAGTACACTTTTGCATCTACTCTTAACCAACTAGATTTTTTGCATTTTTGGTACAAAATTTTCAGCATTTTGCCTGTTAAAACTTTACTCAAGCGACCAAGTGAACGAACGCAGTACGGATGTCACGGTAAAGAGAAGCAAGGGCTGGCACCTTTATCAGAGCAACAACAATGTCCTCATTTTAATCTGCTTTGTTAACAACATACAGTAAATGTACATGTATGAGATCACGTCACGCTGCCTCGAACAATAGCTTGCTGTCTGGGGTTGAGGACTGTTGCTGCAAACACTGGATTAAGTCAGCTGGTGCAAGATCTGGAATAGACAACAGTTCTGCAAGGACTTAATATTGTTTGGTGGAAATAATACAAGATGTAGGCAAATCGTTGTTTACAATTTTGGCTCATTTCATAGGAAATGTTCATCCTCGAATGAAGCTATAAAAATATCAGATCTGACTTTTTAAAGATCGTAAATGAATCCGTTATAACCGATACGTTTGGAGAAGGTCTGTTTTAAAAACTCGATATTTCAGAAGTAATTAATGAGTCATTAGCTTTTTTGCTTCTGCAGTTTCCCTAGCCTGCGAAAACATCCGTTTCTCCTCGCTCTTCGTAGCCGGGGACGTTTCGCGCGAAACGTCCCCAGCGGCGAAGAGCGAGGAGAAACGGATGTTTTCGCAGGCTACAGTTTCCCCAGCTTGAACGTTAGAAAACAGCTGACATTTCGCCACGCCACCGCTGGTTGCCCCGCAAAATGTAGAAATACCATACTTATGACGTTCACTACCCAGATCTCGGTAGTGCTTCTCATTGGTCGTGTCGTAGAGAAGCACTACCAAGATCTGGGTAGTGAACGTCATCAGTATGCAATTTCTACAATCTTTGCTCAGACGTCATTTCGAGGGAAAACCAGCGTTGGTATCACAAACTGTCAGCTGTTGTCATCTGCAATACACTGCCCAAACCCAATCTCGTCCCCAGGGTTTTCCCCTCCAAACCCTGCAATGAAGTCGTCAAAGATGACTCGGTGAGTTCTGGACTTAGTATAAAAAGAGTGACATTTACTTTGAAGGCACTAAAGCCGTGTCCCTGCCAACATTTTGCTACAATCGGCAATAAAAATAGTTGGGACACTTTTCCCAAAAGGTCCTTTCGGGAGGTTTTCTTGACTTCAACAGTACTTCCACGGAAAAAGTTTTCCATCCCCTCACCTCTCAAAGCAATGTTGAGCTGCTCTTTGAGTTGCATGGGAGAGACAACAAACGTCCCAACTTAAAATTTGAGGGCGAGGGGTGTAGACTGTTTTGCTGCCGATTGTAGATGGACCAAATCTATCGTAGTTAACGAGTTCGTTTTTTGTGCACTAACTAGCTCGTTTGCATACAAATCTATGTCGAACATCCCACTAAGACATGCGTGTTGCCTGAGTGGATCATAAGGGAACCAATGACCCCCTTTTGCTCCAGAGTTCTCCTTTTTGCTTTGTAGAACTCCCGGGGGGGGGTACTCCCTAATATGGGCTATATAGGTATGTGCGGCCCCAAAGGGAAGGGTTTTTCAGCCGTTTTGGTCATAAATTGGGTATCGATTTTGGGTATTTTGCCGCCATTTTGGTCATAAATAGGGTAACGATTTTTGCACTGTAGTCTTGAATGCACTGTTTTAGAAGAAGCTACTTCCTTATGATGTCCCCCTCCTTCCATCCGCGCTTTGCCTTCCTCTCCACCGGCTGCTTTGTAGGCTAGAAAATACAAGCAACAAAAGCCCTTCACAAAATAGGGTATCAAATTTTTGGTTAGGTAATAAATAGGGTAGGGAAAATCGCAGATTTTGGTCATAAATAGGGTAAGGGTTTTAGGAAGCGGGCCGCACACCCCTACCCAATTTTTCTGCGAGTACCCCCCCCCGTAGAACTCACCAAGACTAGCCTGCGTAAACATCCGTTTCTCCTCGCTCTTCGCCACTGGGGACGTTTCGCGCGGAGGAACGTCTGCGACTCAGCGACAGAAATTCCATACTGATGACGCAAATCAATGTTTACAAAATAAATCCGGTAGTCATGGGGTTCCAAACATAAATTTGTCCAATTTTGCGAGTCTTCTGGTCGATTTTGGTATACTGTTGTGTTCATCTACAAACGAGCTCCAGCAAAACTCAAATACTTCTTCTAGAGAAGACTATATTCCACAAATATTGACTCGGTTTTGTTAGAGATTCTTCATATTTACATTTGACCTTTGTGGCCTTTTGTCTTTTGTCTGTCAAGACTGTCATTCGTAAACAATAGCTAAAACAATGTAACTACCCCGTTAGACTACGAATCAGGCTGACTACGAATAGTCCCCATTTTTCCTCAGGGATAGTAGAGCGAGCGAAACGCGAGCGCGCGTGAAAATTACCCCACGCGAGAAAAGGCGACACGCGGCGGGGAGAGAGAAAAATGATTTTTCCTCATTAGGGAGCTTAAGCAGCAGCGTTTTTGAGCGACGGACGTCAACCGGAAGTGGACTTTTTGCATCATTGGGGAGTGGTTTGGTTGAAACTCTCGGGTAAATCGTCTTTAAAAGACAAAAGAAACTCAGCAATACAAGTTTGTTAGCGTCAAGGCATATAGAAAGGGAGAAGGCCTCACTTCCGGTTGACGTGCGTCGCTCAAAAACGTCTTTTAAGGACCCTAATGTTATCTCTTCCCGCCGCGTGTCGCCTTTTCTTGCGTGGGGTGATTTTCACGCGCGCTCGCGTTTCGCTCGCTCTACTATCCCTGAGGAAAAATGGGGGCTACTCGTAGTCTACTACCCCGTCGACCAATCAGCGCTTCAGACCGGATTCCGGACAGATTTTACGTCATCAGTATGGAATTTCTGTCGCTGAGTCGCAGACGTTCCTCCGCGCGAAACTTCCCCGGCTACGAAGAGCGAGGAGAAACGGATGTTTTGGCAGGCTAAACCAAGACCCGATAAGCTTGAATTGAACAAAAGCAGGTAAATATTTATAGCGGTCGTGGCTCAATTCAATTTTGTTGCTCGTATAAACGCTTGGGAGGACAACTACTTGGGAACGATATTCAGGGGACCGATCCTCGCATTACTTGATAGCCTGGCCACAAATAAGCACAATTCAGTCCTTAAGTGTGAGGTCACAAACATGGATTTGTAAATTTATGGCGCGCTTAATTGGAATATCCACGGAGAGTGTCATGAAAACCCCTCCTTGCGAAAACGAATCATCTCATTGCGAACTGGCAGAGAGATAGTACTATTCTTATGACTCCATTCAAATCCTTTTAAATTTGCTTTAGTGTATAAAATGTTATCAAATAGAAACTGCATTTGAAGATTAAATTGTGTCGAAATGGTTGTCGACGATAGATTTAGAGAGCGGGTACTGGCAGGGTGTGTTCCGAGGACGGTGGCAGTAGGTGATAATCCATTTGGATTGTGTAAAGTGCCCGCCACCTTTGAGCGACTGATAAACAGTGTGTTAGGGAACAAGCGGTCACAAATTGGCTTGATGGCATGATTGCATACACTGAATGTGACTCTTAAATTCTATTTTAATACACGGTGCCCGCCGTCGTTGTCACAAATGGTACATAAGGGAGACAAGACCTCTTTGATGAAAACTGACGAGCAGTCGACGGGTCCACCGCTTCTGTTTCTAGACGCACTGCAGTTTCAGACTATTTTCTACCTCACGATTTTTCATCTACCCATATAGACCTCATTCCATGAGGAGAACTCGTGCTCATAAAGCTCAAGAAGCATATCTTATTACGGAGGAGGGATGAAACTCGAGCCCAAGGGTATCCATAAGAGATAAACTCCGTTGCATCCCTAGACTTAGGTGTTGATGGGACGCTAGAATCCACCTTGGCTGTAGAGGGGTTGGGATATACTTGACCCATTTTCACTGATCTCCTTCAGCACTTTAGTTCATGATACCATCACATAATCTCTCTATGCGTACCTCGGAGAGGGGGATGTGTATGCCGTTCAACCTGATTCAACCTCCAAAACCTGGAGTGCGGCGAAAGTTACAGCTCCCTAGTTCTTGGAAGGTACGAGAAGCCAAATTTCGTCTTATTTCTTTTACTTCTTCTCGGTCGATCAATCTTTAGCGAGGACGCCAAAGGAAAATGAAGCGCTGACGAACGTAAGAGTTTTAACTGTGTTGTAGTTCGGTGACAATTCCACGATTCTTTGAGGAGGTTTTGCTATCGTAGCGCAGAATGTGAGTTCTTGTTTCTTGCTTGTAAATTTTGCTTATAACATATTTTGGATTATGTGGGAAAAAACAGCAGTGAAGCAAAACCTGCGAGTTTGCATTAAGCACAGAGTAAAAGAGCTTTCATTTATTTCCTTTATCGAATAAAATACCTTTCAATACCAGAGGATCCATTCGTTATAAAAACGTTTATACGAAAATACGCTTAAATTAAGGACCTGCTTATTGAGGCTTTGTGTAATAAGTTAACCTAATACCTTTTTGTAGGTATCGTTTACAGGAAATTGACCATTTTTACCGTCTTAGCAATAACTTGAATCCAGCGTAAGTTACTCTCTTAAGGTGTTCCCACACAGAAATCAAAAACCATAAAACACTACATTATGTTGCATTAATTTATAACAAGCTTGCAGCAGGCCAAACATTTTGGCCCAAATGTAAATAACCTTTTATGACAAACTCTCAATAGGCATATCAGGTATGATGCAATCAATGAAAGGCTAGGGAGGAGTTATTTTCACCTCAGGAAAAAGCCAGTAAAGACTTTCCAAACTAAACAAGTAATTTTAAATTAATTACACATTTCTTCTGAAGAGTTATGGTATCAGAGCTCCCAGCGATTGAAATAAAGGTGTTTTTGGAATCGGCTTGTCTACATTTTCTAAAATGAATAAAAGAATATACGACCGAAAAAGCATGTGTTAAAGCCTAATACTATGGAATTCCAAAAACAAACGCCCCCCTTTACTCTCATTGAAGAAGCCCGCATCACAAAGTTTTCTAAAGATCGGGGCGTCGGGTAGTCACAACTTTTGTGAAATGCTGCCAGGACTCCTAAAATAACCACTACCTTCGAGTAAGCCGGTATCTCGGGGGACTGTTGCTCAAGAAATTCTACTGTTAAGTCTACAACAAGCATTTACGCCTATTACGATCCTCGTCTTTCATTCTTTAATAGTCTGTATGGCAGGCGCAAAAAGGGGAGAGGGAGAAAACCGCTTCCTCCCAATCCTCTTCCCCTTTGGAGGCCTGCTAAGCAGGCTATTCTTTAAACAATAGTCATACAGACCTTATAACTATGTTACACATAATGTCTCTTTATATCTTCACTTAAACAACTTGAACCAGTCTTAAGGTGACGTTACAAGGGACGATCTGCAACGACGATTTTTAGCGCAACACAGCGTTACAACATTGTTGCGACATCGTTTCGAAAGGCTGCAACATTGTTCCAACATTAGAACCCTGTGCTGCGCCAAAAATCGTCGTTGCGAATCGTCTCGTGTAACATCACCTTCAGGCGGACTGAGATAAACGATAATTTGGAATCCATCTTTAACACGTGGCTATATGTGACACAGTGAGAGTTGACTGCCGGTATTGGCACTATTATTTCAAGCACGTTCCTGCGCCAAGCCAACGGTTAATTCTGCGAATAAGTAATTTAAGAGTTAAGATTGTTTAAAGATTATTTCGATTTTGATTTTGCTTTACAACCGACAGTCCATAGTCCATTTTAATGTGCCTAACGCTTGTACTAAAAACATTCTTTCTTTGTTTTATTATAGTTTTCTTTTTTCCGCACGGCACAAATACTCTTCAAAAATATTACTTTTGCCCAGTCTTCATCGGCCATGTGCTTGCCTGTAAGCTGGATCCACTCTGCAAGTGAAAAAATGAAATAAATAATAAACTAAGAGAATAAAAAACCTTATTATAGTCGAATCTCTCCACATTAGCCATCTCGGGAAAAGACGTAAGCAGCCACTCAAAGGCCTGCAGTCTGCCTATAATAAATCTTGTTTCCCTCCCCCCCGCCCCCTCCCCACAAACAAATTATTGCATAAGCATTGTTTGCAATTTCCCCTAGTATACAGTCGTCCCAAGCGAAAGTGAACCGAGAAGTTAAAACAAAAGTGAATGCATGGACTGTCCGCCCAGCAAGAAAGTGGCTGATGGGTAAAAATAACTGTTAGAAGGCAACAGACTAGAACTAGTGTTCTTCTACACTGAACAATAATAAATGATTGGAAAAAAACATTCCCTCGCCCTTAAAACTGGAGAAGCCTTTGGTTGGGTGGAAGGAAAGTTTAGTGTCTAAATTAAAGCTGTTAAATGGCTGATTCCTGGCTAACCCAGGAAGGAATAACGGATGAGCTGTTATAAATTCAAGCAGATGTTCTACATTGATTAAGACATGCGACTTTTCACCTGCTTACTAGGAGATCTTAGATTTAGCTCATGAAAAGTTTGGCATCTCAGTGCATCAGGGCTAAACATAACTCATAATTGCTGGATACAAAAGTACTTGAGTTAATGGCTTACCTCATAACCTCATCAGGAATGTAAATATAATCTACAGGAATGTGACTTGACAGGATGCGAAGGGAGTGGACAAAAGTAAGTTTCCGCCAAAAGCTAGCACTAGTAATGTAGAAAAGAAAGAGTTTAATAAAAATTATCATAGTTTTTGACAAAATCTTGGCAGTTATAAAGAAGACATTCTTTAGTCATAAATCACAGGTGGATGGCCAAAAAATTGGACTAGAAGGAGTGGAGTGGGGTGGGGTGGGGTAGATGGAGGGGGATGGAATGAGGAGGAGTGGGGGTGGAGTGGAGAAAAGCAAAGTGGAGTGCAGTAGGGTACGGAAGGTTAGCATAGGATAGTGTAGGGTAGAATGGAGTGGGGTAGGGTAGAGCAAGGTGGAACAGATTAAGATAAAATAGACTAGGCCAGAGTAGAAATTAGTTGAGTCAAGAAGAGAAGAGCAGACTCGAGTAGAGAGGAAGAGAGTAGCCGGGAGAGTAGAGTAAAAGGAAAGGACAAGGAAGGGAAGTCATCTTCATTTATACAGTGGAACCCCGTTAATACGACCACCTTTGGGCCATGGAAATTTGGTCGTATTAACGGGGTAGGGTCAAATTATGGTGTAAAATGCTTTTAAACTACATTCTACTAATTAACAACCTTACAACCGCAATTCAATGCAACTGAACAATGTAACAGTAAACGAAACCGAGTCATGAGAAAAAACGCTGACTTCCTTCAGTTCCTAGTTATGAAAGGAAAGGGCTTGTGATTTGTCTCGAAGAGCCGTTTTCTATATTGTAGCTTACAACACTTTCACAGTTATTACAAAGTTCAAAGTTCTGGGAGAAAAGAAAAGGAAATGGACTTGAACAGAAAAGCCACAGTGGGAGGCAGCAGAAACAAGAAGGCAAAATAACTTTGAGAGCCTCGAAATGCTGCAAAGTGAAGTCTTTCAGATCTTTTGTATTATTTATTCATGCATCCTTTTTACTGCACACAGCAATTTACCAGATGTCATGCTAACCACTAACACCTTTGCCTAAAAACATTCAATAAAATATTAGTAATGGGTTATTGTTTGTCAGATTGTGTCTGTTTTCATTCAGCAGCCCCACCAAGCATTTTGACTGGTCGTATTAACGGGGTAATTTTATAAAGAAAATAACGACTCAGGACTCCCAAAGGTGGTCGTTGGTCGTAATAACGGGGTGGTCGGATTAACGGGGTTGTCAGATAAGAAAATGAGTGGGCTTTTGTTCGGGCCACAAAAAAGTGGTCGCAATAACGGGGTGGTCGTAAGGCGGGGTTCCACTGTACAGGATTATTCCTTCAGCACTTGTTCCGTCACGGGCACCCAACAACTGTTTTCAGTGTAATATCTGTTCGAAGAAGCAAATATTGCCTACAATTTTCTGTTATTTGAGAACAGCTAAAAAATTTCTAGACGACCGTTCCATTCATGTACAATTTTCGAAGCTTATCTAATAAATTCCCTACTATTTTCTGAAGTTTAATTTACACATTCCACTCTCAAGGATAGGCTGTTTTTAGCGAAAAAGGGAAACCTAAAATTTTCGGATTCAAAAATGAGATGGAGAGAGGAATCAGAAAATTTCTCACTTTCGTAATAAGTTACATTGCATCTAAAATTTTCGGAAAAATAATACTGAAGCCCATGTACAAGTGGAACCCCGTTATAACAGGCACCGACAGGCCAAAAAAATTTGGCCGTATTAACAAGACTTTTTTACAAGAAAACGTATGGCTGTTTTGCCGGGCGGCGAAAAAAAGTGGCCTTAATAACGAGGAGACCGTATTACCGTATTAGTGGCCAAAAGGCAGGGTTTCACTGTAATTTCGAAAAGACTCAAGTTCACTAAGGATGACCGAACAGATAGAGATTTTATAGCGATGCTTAGAATGCATATCTAGAGATCTAAAAGTATTCTGGACAGCCTAAAAAGTGTTTTCAATGTATTTAGGTGGAAACCGTCACTGGGTGCCCCGACTAGTAACACTGAGAAACGTCAGGTCATTCGCTTCTCTGGTAAAACTCATTCAAAAACCTCTGCCTGCAGTTCTATTTAACAAAAGTTACATTTCTAAAAACGTTATAAATCTTACTTGAGAAATGGCTTTGCAAGTGTAATAACTGCTTTGAGTCTAAAACTGGGGTGCACAATAAACATTTCTTTCATTTTTTTCTTCAGTCTACAAAGAGAAAAATAATCAATTCAAAACACTGGGTTAAAGAGTTTGGCTGTAACTTCACCGAATAATCTAGACACCTAGAGTTAACATGGTTCTTCAGATTGTGTCTGCAAGTACAATACTAAGGACTACTATAGCAGCAAGCATGTGCTGCTCAACCACACTCAGTTTTTATACGCCCTTTGTACAACAAGCAATAGATGTGATAGGACAGTACACATGCAGATTGCCAATGAGGATTATCGCACTGAGTTGGTTTTAACCATTTCATATATAACAAGAAATACAACTAACATGCAATTAAGATAATCATATTTTTACTTCCTGATTTCACCGGAAGATGATTAACCCATTCGCCCCTTGGAATTTTGCCAAAAAACGCGTTTTTAAGCTTACAGTCAAGCAGTTTTTTAATCATTGCCAGGCTATAGTGTAAAGAGCTAAAACGAACCACAAAACTGTTTACAGATCATGAACTTCGAGGTCTTCTGATCCAGGTGGAAAATATTAGCTTGTGAAGTTTAGGCATGCGCAGAAAGCAAAATCTCCAGACTTTTTCTTTTCGCTTTCTCTCCTCTCCTCTTCTTTCGCTTTTCTTGCCTCATTTTTTTTGCTTTTGCTGGTTATTTAGTAGGCTTCATTTCGGTGGGAAAAGTTCTGGGAAAAGCTTTTAGGATCTTGGGATTAGATGAAAGGAAAGGTAGGTGGGTAGTGACACAAGATTTTCGTGGAAATTTTCAGGTCAATGTTACATGGTTTTTTGCCTTTTTCTCCGATCTCCTTGACTGAATCATGCTCATTCTAGTGTGGTTTGAAAGATCTCTTTACCCTGCACAAGTTAGCGGACAAAGTTGTCCTGACTGTCAAAACTGATGACATCACTGGCAGTAAATATTCTTACCCTCCTTCAATATACTGGTAAAACCTCTTCATCCATGCAACGGAAGGCATGTTTTGTTGTCTTGTGCAACCATTCAAATAAACTAAGTAGTAATCGTCGTGGATGGCCAGCAGCTCCAGGGTACTTATAACATAACTACAGTCATATGGAAAGAAGTGTGAATGATAAGGCCACTTCATAGTTCATACAGACAGTTAAAAGGAAGGTATCATTTGATAAGCAGGGCTATCAGCAGGAGTTCAAGGTGCCAAGTGCAAAAAAATTAGGTGGAAAATAAGGCAGCCAGGATGCTTGTTTGGCTCTGTTTCTCTTTTGTTGCCAATAAAAGTGGCCAGGGGTAATGCTCATAGAAGCCACGGGAAATCCCTGGCCCTTAGTGACAGCCAAGAACATAGTAACATCATTGTTGTTTCTAAGGCAATCTTATAGGTGTGAGGCATTTTAAGGAAAGTGAGAGCAAAGAAACAAAATGACAGAAAGATCTACACTTAAATAAGATCTGATACAGCAAGGAGCCCAAAACTGTGACCTCCCTTAATTAACTCACATTCTTTCATGCAGACATTAACCAATCAGAAGTCGAGGACAGTTTCCAGCTGGTTTCTGATTGGATTAAATCTGTACCAAAGAATGTGAATAAATCAAAGCAGTCTCACTCTTGGGCTCTTTGCTGTAAGTCTCCAAGCATCAAAAAGCCACTGACAGTGCACTGCTGCTCATCTTCAGGGGGAAGGAGGAAGAGGCACAAATCTGATTTAATTTGGAAAGTTGAAAAAAGGCAGGTAAGAGGGTGGGAGTTGATTGGAGCCAGTGAGCCTGAAACAACATCACAATAATTATTACAATTATTACTTCAGTCTATGCAATATAGTAATCAGACTAAGCCATTGGCCGAGACAGAAACCAAAATACTTGAAAAATTCAACAAATGATAAATTTAATAATAATAATAACTCACAAGAAAAGCTGTTCCATGAGGAAATCATAGTTCTTGATACTTCTGTCTGGGAGGTAGCAGGCAGCCAATACAACAATTGTTGATTTCGTATTGCTAAAGTAACCTGTGAATAGTAAACATAAACTATAAGTGGAACCTCAATATAACAAAGGGCAAAGGGACTGGCAAAACTTGTCTGCTGTATCAAGATTTCATTATATCGAGGTCCTTTTCCATATATTTTACTATAATATGGGGGTAAAGAAAATTGTTCGTTATATCGAGGACTTTGTTATATAGAGGTTCATTACGTCGAGGTTCCACCACACCTTCAAAATGGTTAAACATTACGACAGCTAGTTCTAAACAGAGCAGGGATAAGTGTTGGTGTCATTACCCACTTATAATGGCCTTAACGGTCAACTATAGAAAATAATAATTAATAGCCTGGCATATTGACCCTTGTTGAAATGCTTGCCTGATTTCATTGCCACGCATATGTCACCAGCCCTATAAAAGCAAGGCTGACACTAAGGGCGCTTTTCACTTGTCAGAACTGGCCGGCTGGACCATTGCCGGACCAGTCAGTTGGCAAAATTAATGAAATCCGCTTTTTCGAAAGGGTTTTTGCTGAAAAACATTCTCCTTTGTGCATACTACTTAGGATTTGAGTGATCTGGCTGGATAGTTTTGATTACAAGTGAAATTATCATTACAACAAGAATGGTCTGGCCGGTCAGTTCTGACAAATGGAAAGCGTCCTAAGATCTCAAGTTTCTAGGTATATACAATTAGTAGGCAGGAAATGGAAAGCTAGTAAGTTCTTTATGTCTTATTTTCATTTAAATGTTTCATCTCGAAGTAGCTGGGGGTCTTGCACATATATAGTAGCCAGGGGAAATTCCCGATCCCCTACTCCAAGTGAAAGCCCTGTGAAAGGCAATCATTGTACCAGGCCCCAGTGGTTCAAAAGGTGGATAGCGCTATCCAGCGGATAAATCTCTATCCAGTGGATAGTGCAATAATTAGTTTCTCTAATACTTATCCACTGGATAGTGATTTATCTTGTGAATAGCCCTATCCAGCTTTTGAACAACTGGGGCCAGGAGAAGAAAAAGTTTCAATGTGCTGCCTTACCACCGTGAGAGATAACTTTCATGTAAGGCTCTAGAAGCTTCAAATCCAATATCTTGTCCCTTCCACTGACACTAACAGTGTACCAACGAAAATTATTTCTATCATCAGGACTCATTTGTCCATCTTGCTCTTTATTTTGTGGGTGTTCACTCTGTTCCTCCTCCCTATTCTCTTTTTCATCCTCTTCTTCCTGATCATCCACCATCTCATTTTCCTCATCTTCAAAAGACTCCTCATCGACATCACCTTGTTCTAGACTAAACTCAGTCTCAGACGTTTGATGCAGCAGTGGTGTGATTGTCTTAGGAGCTGAGTAGCTTCTCTGTAGCTTTTTCTTTTCACCTTATAATTTACATAAATTACACATTAATTTTATAAGTTATAAAGAAATCAAAGTAAAAATATTCACTTATTAAACAGAAGGCAAATCCATGTTAATTATCTACAGTGCAGCTTTAAGAAACTGGAATTTTATTCAGACAGCGCTGTAACATGTTCATTTAGTCAACAAAAGAAAAAAAACAAGAAACAAGGGACGATTAACAAAATAATACAACTTGAAAGGAGGGTCGAATCTTTAGCTCTAGAAAAGTGAGCCTGCTACTCAAGGTAAGCTGGAGTCAATGACACTGTCATTAACCACCATTGCCCACCTCTACCATCTATCTACCCAAACTATCCAAGGCAACTGTGTGAGCAGCTACCACCAACGTGTACTTACCAATGAAAATTAATGTACAGGGAAAATATATTTATGGAGTTGCAGAAGGAATGAAGTACTCCTAACCATAAACAGTTTATAGTTAAAGTAAATGGTACATATGAAATAGAAAAATATATTAAATATATTTTGTACTAAGAATAAGAGTTTACAGAAATTAATGGACAAATGGACTTTGTAATCCTGTTAATTTTCTTCTTTTACAAAAATGATTAGTTTCTTCTTTTTTGAATAGCACAAGGTGTGCCTACTGTTATATTACAAGTCTTGTAATATAACAGTAGGTATACCTTGTGTGGTCTTGTGTGGTGATTGTGGAATTGCATGTGTGCTTAGGTGTGTAGTCCGTTTCTGCATGTGTGCTTTGTGATGATAATTGTAATTGTTGTACTTTGGAATAACAAATGAAATAATAATAATAATAATAATAATAAAATTAATGTACAGTCAAACCCCACTTTATAGGCACCCACTTTTCTGGACAACTCGTTATTATGGACACCCACTTAAAACAGACACCTCGTTATTACGGACAGTTTTATTTGTCCCTGGGAAAGGCCTGTAAATTTTCTCTAAATTCAACCTGCTTAATAAAGACACCCATTCATGCGGAAAAATAGACACTAGTTTCTTGCCCAGTCAACAGATTCTCATAGAAAAATTAAGTCAACCTCACTAATGCCGACACTTCATTATGTGCTACTTGCTGTAATAGACTTTTCCTTTCCAATAGTAAAAAACCTTCAGTGGACAGCATGTCGATGTTCTCAGCGCTACAGTACACTGCACAGGATGATTTGCAGACGTCAACTTCAACCTATTTTGGCATCAAACGAGTTATGCAGAGACCGCACAGCTTTGATTAAGTAATCTACGGATGAGCAATTTTTGAGTCTTTCATAGATTTAGTCCGCGGAATGAAGGCTTTTTGAAGGTTAGAAATGTTTAATTTGATGATGTTTATGCCCTCTTTTATTTCTTTAGTTTTTGGTTCTAATTGAAGGTTTTTTATGACATAAGTAACATGATCCACCTAATATGGACACTTTCTATGGCCCCTTCAGCGTCCGTATTAATGGGGTTTGATTGTATTTACAAAGTGGGAGACAGGCCAGGAGCAGGGAAACACTTGAAGATTACCAGCCAAAATGACCTTACTGACAGGCTGACAAGCAAGCTGATGTGTGTACACAAAGAGAGAAGAGAACCCAAGTGTAGAAAGGCTGTCCCTAATGACCACCGCCCAGCACTGTTTTGATTTTCCCTGTATTACAATTAGGCCCAGTTCAAATGTTGATTTTTTAGGTACCAAACTTAATCCCCTCTATTTATATTTATGTGAAAAAATTTGGCCATGATAATTACAGTTTTTCGGCCATTGTGCGCTATGAGAATCATGTCCTGTGCTACAGGAATCGCATAGCGCGTGACGTGATTCACAGCTCGCGAGAGGGTGGTAAAAGGTCAATGTTTCAGTTAAGTCCAACATGTCTAATTTGGGTTGACCCATGAATCCATGAATTAAGTTCGAGTGGCCCACATGGAAATTTCAGCTATGGAACTACTTCATTTCAAAATTATGTCAAATTTTTCATCTGCCAAATCAAATGCCTAAATTACTATATTAATAATTTATTTTGACCGGCAGGCATTGTAGATCATTGTACATCATGAAAATGAATTGAGTCAAACATATCATTTGGGTTAACCTAAATAAGTATTGAGTTTGGTACATGAAAAGTTCGAAGTTTGAACTGGGCCTTACCCAAACAAAATAGATAATCAAAACAGGTCAAGTCACTTTATTCTCTGTTTACATACTAGAGACAAATCTACAAAAGAAATTGTCCCTCACCTGGTTCATCAATGATGCCACACAAGTCCTCAATGGACTGTGCCTTTCTTCTCATTCCTTGGATCCCAGTGTCTGCGTCATTCTCTTCAGCAATTGCTAAGAAAACTGGTGCTAGCAATTCTGTCCCAGCAACTTCTGCATGCTCATCAAAGGACAGTTCTTTAAGCAGTATCTTTTGTTTTCTTTCTAAAATCAAGTTTTTAAAAAAGTCTTGAAACTGCCAGTTGAATAGCATTCTTTTAATTTCATTTGAAGTCACAAAGTCAGGCAGGGGTGTAAACTAAGTTGAGTTGTAAGCAGTTGGTTCGTTAAATTTTATGTACATGCATGTATTTTTGATTAACTTTGCATTGTTTTCCTAATTCATAAAGCTTGTCAGTAACTGTGCTCACATTGTGGGTAGCTCCTCCAAAATAATATTGTTCTACAATAAAAAAATTGGTAGAGGATTTAATGGAGCCAAAACCAATAATGTGGAATTACACACGTTTTAGGCATCCTACCGACACGCAGAAATTTCAAGCAACAACAACTTGCTGTCTGCTCTCTTTCAACAACCCCTTGTCAGTAGTCATTTGGCCAGACAATTCCTGAAGAATCATTTTCTATCGTGAAATTTTATGTCTACTGGAAAAGGACAAAAAATAGCACCTTACTTATAAATAAACAATTTAAACAATGGCTTTACAGCAGGCTAAAATGTTACTTTTCATTTTCAAACAATTTTCACTGTGCTCACAGTAAAAATTTCAATACTGGCTTACAGTATAAAGTAATAAAATTCTCACGTAGTGAGATCAAAAGTCTGGAATTCTACTGAAAAATGCAGACCTACATCTAAAGTATGAATATTAAATCTTAGAGATTAAAGTCTTGATTTTCACTGAAAATTACTAACCTGCATCAAGAGAATTAAATTCATCGAAGAATCCTCCACCTTCCCAATCACCCACATCAAACTCCAGTGAAGTCTCCAAAGCACCATTGAAGCTAGCAGATATCATATGTTCATCATCTAAAGTTCCTTCTATCTCCTTTGCATACTGTTCTTCAAATTCATTATCACTAGTTATTGAAGACATTGAGCCTCTTTTGGCTTTGTTTTGTAAACTATCACTTTGAGATTTCCATGTATCACTGTTTGTCTCCAGCTGGGTTCTCTCCTTGTGTTTAGCTAAAAAATCTGTTGTTTTTGTATTTGTTGTGTCATCTGAGGTTTTAATTTCATTCAACATCATGTGGTCATTTCTCTCACCATTATTGGTTGCTATGGAAGTTGATAAATTTGCCAATGCTGACTTTATAACATCAGCAGCAAGAAATCCAATATAATCTTGAATTGCTTTTGATCGTTTAACGAGTGGAAGCAGGATCTCAACACTGTCTTCATCTAAACCAGTTTCCATTTGCTTGGTTTTTAACTTTGTATCCCTTTCTGGTGAGATTTCATTAAATTTGCCCTGAAATCTTAGACAGGATTCATGCAATGATTCTGTGATGACACTATGAACAAATCTATCACAGTTAGATTTCAATGTCTCCAGACCAAAATCGCTAAGCTTTTGTGCCATGATTTTAGTCTTGTCTTCAAGTGGCTGTGGTTTGTTTTCTTCTTCAGTAATTCTCTCAGACCAATCCCCAACTAAAAGCTGAGAAATCAGATTCTCAATGAACTGTTCACAATACTGCTCCAAAGCCAAGATCTCACTTTCATTTAGTGATAATCTACCCTCTCGTAGACCAGCTCGTACTTCCGGGTTTAATGAGCAGATCAAAGCCTCTTTAATTGTCATGTTGGTGGCCTCTTCACAGATTTCATTCAACAAGTCTAAATCAGGAGAACTCACTTCCTCAAAGTTTTTCGTATCTTCAGATTTGCTACCTTTGCTAACTATAGAGTCCACATCTTCTGTATTTGCCAAAGTTGTGCTTTCAAAAGTTGATTCACCATGATTCCTATAGTAATTAGAATTATCTTTACTTGATGAGAAATGTCCAGGACTAAACTCGTGTTTGATTGTATCATCAATTAAATCAGAGTCTTCTTGTAAAGATCCATGTGCAGTGGCCCATGTGCTGTCCCCTGTGGAACATTCACCCACTCTTTCAAGAGAAACTGTACTCTCAACTACATGTTGGTCCCTCTCTCCAAGGTAACTATCAGATGTCGGTGTTGCATTTATGTTTGACAAAGCAGATGTATACAATGACTTTGACACTTCTCCAGAGTTTTCCTGAGTAGAACTCCCAACAGGAGAGCTGGAACTTTGGTCACTGGTCAGAGTTCCATTTTCAGCAGCATCACACTGCAAAACAGGGGACAACGTGTCACCGTCAGTTGGACCATCTTCTTCAAAATGGGCAAAGGTTTTTGTAGGTGTACTGGTTCTTTGGTTTTCAGAGAAGTATTCAGCAGCTTGATCATCTTCCAACAGAAATGACTCATCTCCAGTGGTTAGACTGGCCTCCTCTTCCACATAACTATTGTTGGTCACTGGACCACTGTCTTGAGCTGCCTGAGTTATGGGATCCATTCCACAGCCTCTATGGAAATCCTCTGCATTATTCATAAACTGACAACTGCCAGGCAGATCCCTTAAAAATTGACAAAATTACAATCTTGATGTAATACAAACAAAATTATCTTCCTCACACATTAAGTTATTTATCCTTTTAGACAAATACTTATACTTAGGTTCCATAGTTCCATCATAGTGGTGCATAATGCATCCACAGCTGGTATTCTCCATGGTGTTCTCTATTTCTTTATCATAAGGTTTCTGTGATCAGCTGAGATTTTTGAGACTATCCAAGGCTGTGCTCAAGGAAAAATATTTAAGGGAGTCTGGTTCTCTGAACCTGCGAAATCAAGGCTGCCCAGCAAAGAATTTCTATTAAAAAGCTAAGACTCCCTAGTTGCCCAAGAGAAAAAGTGAGGCATCAGGGGCCACTGGGTGCTGCTAGAACACAGCCCTGTTATCAACCCAACCAAAACCTGGAAAAACATAGACTGTTCACATCCCCTATTTTTTCGTGAGATCATCTTACCGCCACAGGAATCTTGATTTTCAAATGTACCCAAGGGGCGGGCGTCGGGGATTATAGCTCGGGGGGAGGGGGGAGAAAAATGGAGGGACTGTAATAACATAACTGCAGCTCGCGTTCACAGAGCGCGTTGTACCAGCAACGCAGGCATTTGATTGGTCATTAGACAATAGATGTTAATTTGCGTTGACAACGGGTTTACTTTAAGATGCCGACATTGACAAGTCGATGACAAGTCGACTTTTCCATAAAACGTATGCTTTCATACCATAAACACAAGAAGGATTTTTGGTATTTTCATGAGGAAAATGTTTTCTTGTGCATGTTTGCTGATTTTATTTCGAGGAATGGACCAGAAACATTATAAAATCACTGTTTCGAAAGGAGGTATTTGTAAACTTGTGTAATCGATGCTAAATGTGTCTGGCATGTTTTTCATCACCAGCGGAGTTTCTTAATTAATGAATGGTAAAAGGCGTGAAATTCCTGCAATGCCTCCTGAACGCGAGCAGCAGTGATGTTGTTACAGTCCCTCTATTTTTCTTGCTTCCTCCCAAACCGTCCCCGCCCCATAAGTAGTTTTGACATTCATGAAAGATGGCAGCTCGTAACACAAAGCGCTCGATCTCAATGATCTTACGGAAAAATCGAGGACTGTGAACAGTCTAGGAAAAACAGTAAGAGAATGTATCCTGCCATGCTTTTCCCTCAACCACTTTTAGATTAGAGACACTAGCATGTCTTGTGTAGACTGTCACACTGTTTATGAGGGAAGTGTGTGTATTATAAGCAATCAATAAATTGTCCTCAGTTATTAACATCCTCATAAATACAAAGGCTTTCCTCTACATGTACTGTACATGGAGCACTTTCAGGTTCTTTTCTCATAGCAGGAATGTACTCCTATACCTAATCTTTGATTAATATATATTCCCAAGCCCCCTTTTTCATAACAGTTAATCTGTTAGGAGGAATTGTGTTAAACTATTTAATAAAGAGAATTCATCTTTAAGGTTAATCTTTTCTCTCTATCTGTACTGTGAACTCGCATTTTTTTTATTAATATTGTGTTTTTGATAATATGAGTAGTTCTATAGTTACATGTAATATTTGTGGAGTCATTAATAAAGTAAATAATTTCAAACAAAAATTACTTCTCTTATTTACCCCTACTGTAAAAAAATGTAGAGGACACCTCTATTAAGCCACCTAACAATTTAGGGTGTAATCTATGTTTATGGTACTTTGAAATTGTCAATTGTATAATAAAGAAATTACTGCAAAATACTGTATGTATATTCGCTTAGTCTCCAGGACCATCCAAAACATTTTGCAGTTGAGGGTGTCTGCTTAGTTATCCACAATCTCTCTCTTGCAACTGATGTTTGCGATGGTTTGAAGTTTTCAAATAGACCTTGTCACAGTTTTCGACGCCATCCTGACGAGTAGGCAAATACGTGAGAAACTACAGTGTTTGTATGAGAATCTAATATCGAATAATTGCCGTAAAACGGCTGTTCTGAAAAAAATATGAATTGTTAATTAAACCTTCACCCCTAAGGATTCTACTCAAAAAAAATTGAGGGCGTTCCATGCACTAGAAGACCTAAAACCACGTTTTTAAATTTTCTATACATTTGTCTGCAAGAAAGTCCTGGGAAAAATTACAGACAAATATATGGAAAATCTTAAGCAAACATCTGAAGAAACTTAAGCACAAGTATGACCCATAAAATTTTTTAGTACAGTCCTTTGCTAATTAGTTTACATTGATATTTTTTTCAGAACAGCCGTTTTACGGAAATTATTCGACATTAGATTCTCATACAAACACTGTAATTTCTCACACGTTTGCCTTCTCGTCAAGATGGCGTTGAAAACTGTGACAAGGTCTATTGCAGTCACTTAAAGGCTCTTGCACTGAAAACATTCAACAGCTTCTAATGAGCTGACAGGTCTCAAAGGAAAACTCCCATCAAACAAATAGCTAAGCCAGTTGTTGTATGACATGAATAACAATTTATTACACTCCCATAGTGTGTAACCATACCCCCCCCTTGGACATAGCATATTTAATTATAAACAGTAATAACTATACTATCAGAATATTTTAATGAAAGTGTCATAAAACATTAAGTTGCATTGCAAACTTGGCAAACAGAACTTTACCCTGCTATTGAGCTAAGTGCAAATAATTTAATATTCAAATCCTTCCTTTGTTAAATAAGATGATTACTCTCAATAAAGCAGCAATATAACTTATTATATATATTGGCCCTTTTAAAACACAGCATATTCTAACACAAAACAGATGAGAATATTATTCACAAAAAAAAAGAAAGAGAAGCTTCTGGCTTGACGATTTTATGTAAACATCACTAAAAAAGAATTTTACTGAACTGACACCAGGATTAAACCTCAGAATTGAGATTTGTAAAAAAGCTCTTTCCATCTAAATCGAGTAAATGCAATCATGAATGCAGCTGATATAAACAAGCCAATATTATCTTTCAGCCGTGACCAAACGTTATTTCCAACGCACGAAATTTGATGAAGGTTCGTAAAGGTAAGCTTAAGACTTGATTACAAAGTGACATCGAGAAATCCATCCTTGAGCCCTGGTTAATCAAGTTACAACAAGCCAATGCATGCCACGATTCGAAACCAAAGTCAGTTAGAGACGAGATTAAAACAACACCTTTACATCTTCAACTGAAATGCATTTCTTCAATTCACGTCAAAGAAATGGCTCAAAAGGACACGGCAATTACATGAAATTATGATTGACTTGCCTCGCACTCTGAAAAAAAAACTGACCAAGACTATAGTCAATTATTCGTCCCTGTTTTAGCCTTGTATTTGTTCGGACCTCATTTGCAAAGGAATAAAAAATATCTAACTTTCAGTAATTTTCTGTCAACTAAGAAATATGCGCCCTATCACAGATAGCTTATGTTTATCATAAACACAGGCTTACCGTATTCCTCGTGAGGTAAGAAAAACGGAAGAAGATCACTGTTCGTTGCACCCGCCATTTCTGTGACGAGTGAAAAGTAAAAATACACCGTAAATAAAATGTTTGACAAGCCCGTTAAGGATTCTGGGTAATTTGAATATACTTACCCCACCCTACTCCTTCCCTACTCCATGCTAACCGTAGCTGATATCCTACCCAACCTACCCTACCAATAGAATAATGCGCCTGCCCAACGAAAAAACCTCCACTTTGCTGAATAAGAAATCTGTGCTTAGCTACAAAAGGAAAACTCTGTTTTTCTACATAAGAACGTCTCATAACAAATTAACAACCGGAAGTGGACGCGTGACATGGGCCACTTTAAGTCCTTTAAGAGTTTAAGCAGGGACGTTTTTGAGCGACGCACGCCAACCGCAAATGGGTTTTTTGGACTCTTGAGCCGTGATTTTGAACACAGTTTTGGGCAAATATTCTCTTTAAGAGTAACGACATTTGGTAGCGTCAAGGCATATCGAAAGAGAAAAAGGCTCACTTCCGGTTGACATGCGTCGCTTAAATGAGGCCGTGACGATGTGCGAAGATCGCGTCCGTATCATCTGAAAAACACGAGTTATTTAAATTACTAAGCTGACAGCGCCTGCGAAGACAGATGCAAACAAAGACGGAAAGGAAAGTTAGTTACTTCCCAGAAACTGCTGCAAAACTTTGCACTCTACTGGTCTCGCTGGGAAGCTAATGAATATCTTAGAGTAAGGTAAGCTACGGTTTTTATATGATCATTCGTCGATGCACGTTCTACAGATCCAGAGTAAGCAACAATCTTTCAGCTGTCTCGAATATTGGTCAACAGTAACTGAGAATTCACAAAATGCGCATTAACGCGTACTCTTCATGCAAGAGAACTTGGAGACGCACACTTTATTTGCCACTTTCATGAATTCGTGCTTGTAATACTAAAATGGGAGATTAGACTGGGGTAACTTTCGCAAAAGAGAACTTCTGTCGGCAAATTTGAGGAAAAGTTGGTAAACACACATTTCTACATGAGAATTATGTGCTGAACACGAAAATTTTGTTTACCAAGGTTGGTTCCACCATTTAGACCTTGAAATCAGCCGTTAAGGTTAGTATTAATAAATTGTGACATGAAAACGAGGCTGCATGTTGTATGAGGATGCAGAGTACTCTCTAACGGTTAAAATTCGTTCAGATCAACAGGTGACTGATACAACTTATTACTTACAGTACCTCGCAGAAACCGTCTGAAAATCACGTGATTTTTCTAGTCACGTGACCATTGAAAACGGGGTTATAGGCTATTCAGAATTTTGACAAATTTGACGGCACAGTCAAAAAAGAAACAAAATTACCAATCCAGCAATTCGCTCCAATAGTTACAGCAGCTATAGAAATTTAATTTTCAGCTATTTCCTAAGATATTTACAGTACGTTTGCGATCTATATATTGCAGACACCTTACTTCCATTTTCAAGTATTGAATTTCTAGATGTTTGCAAAATCCTTGAAATAATTAACAAAAACTGCATTTTCTTAAAACTACTTTTAACTTTCACGCCCTAACCATTCTGGATACATGCTGTACTTATAACTAAGAAGGAAGGTCATAACATTCGATTGATTGCAGCCATTTTAGATGCGTCTGATGTCAGCTTCTGAAACATATTTAAGACCTAAATTGATATTGTAAACATCAGACATCCTACAGGACGAAAATTAAAAAAAACCCGTTATTAGTCCATAGACAATTATAAAACAAGAATAAAAATTTGTTAGAGAAGCTAAACGCTTTGTTCTGCTGAACTGTACCATTTACTGTCCTTGGTTTGCAATGACATTACCATCAACTTCATTTCTGCAATTGAACCTATTTGTTGAACATCCTGATTTGCAGCTACAGGTAATCATCTCGGTACAGCTTTCGGGTACAGGCTAGGGGCAAGAGTCATTAACTTAGGCACGAGCTTTCCGTCATCAGAATTAGTCCATCCCATGGTTTCTGGAAGTGGGAAGGTGGGGTTCGTTTTATGGGCTTGTCTCCATAACATTGCTTGAAAGCGTGCGCTAGTAATATGCCATCATGCTGCATCACTTGTGTGGGGAAGTGCCTCTGGGAATCTGCCCCAACCAAACAACGTCGCACGTGCTTTATCACATTCCTCTGCATTAGCAGCATTGTACACTGCAAATGAATTTTTCTACGGACTTCACAGTCGTGTCATCCAGGTCTCCATCTGCAAAACTTTCCAATAGCGTTTGGTGATGAGGTGATGAGCAAATGCCTTCCAGGCAGTTTTCTTGCTATGCTTAGCAAAGAAAGAGACCGTATCACAGCCTGTTAGCGCATGAAAAGGAAAGATGGCTTCCCTGTACCCATCAAATGCAACATCTATCCGGTCATAGTCCTTTCCACAGACAAGGGCAGCTTTCAAAAATCTATATACGAGATCGTCGAATTTGTTACACTCTGATGGTCTTCCTAGAGCCATGACTAATTCTTGACCGGCAATTAGTATTGTCGAACGTTCTGGGACTGGTGTGACCCGAGGATGTTCCATCTCACCCAAGACAGCAGCTCTATTATCACGGATTGATTTCCAGATTGTGGCTGACCATTGGTATCTGCGATAGCAAGCGAAACAGAGACTAACTCGTAGCTGAAGCAAATCTACTCTTCTACCAGCATCGTACGCTGTAATGATGCGCTGGAGGATCATTCTGTCAGTTTCGATAGCGGCAGACTTTTCTCTTTCTTTCTTTTCAGACTCATAAGGAGAAACAAATGTCACGGCTTTACTTTTGGGAAGAGGATCCCTAAGCTTCTTTTAATTCTCATCTTCGTTTGGGATCATAAGCCTTTCTTTAACAAAAGTGTCCAGTTGTTTCTGGCCGAGGCTGCCTGCTTTCAACAGAGATTCTCATCTATCTGTGTGGTTGCCACGTCCTTAGTAACCATGTTCTTTAATCTCTCAAGAACCGTTTCTTTTTATTGATTGACGTTGAAGATGTCAGTTTGCCTGATGTAGCAACAAGCCACAACAACACTGCGGCACGGTCATCTTTAGCTATATCTATTGATCGAGATATACTTCGTTAAAATTAGCAATTTCACGGAATGATACTTGCCCTCAGCCACAATTAGGTCATTCACACCCGACACACGCAAGGAAAGGTCGTGGTCACACTTTGCTCCAACAAGTATCCGCTGACTCATTTTAAACGTTGTCACTGAGAACAGTATTTGCTTTTTAAGCATTGACCCGTCTTAACAAAAAATACACAGTTCCCATTCGATAGAAGAGTTTTTGCTGCGGAGAGCTGAACTTGCAGCCATTTCTGGCAGTGGATGGGTATCCTTCGACGAATCAAGCGATTTCCTTAATCTACTTAATTATATCTTACCCTTATCAGTCTACTTTGCATAGCAGCTCTTGTGCCAGCTTAAATTCTCAGCTTTGTTTTGCTTCGATTGCCTCCAATATCGCGTCTGTTACATCTGTATTGTTTGTGTCTCCTAATTTTCTTTGTTCTTCAGAGGACTCTTTCAGTAACGCAGGCCTTGCTGTATTGCGTTAAAGACGATATCTTTTTTCGTTTCCTGGCATATAATGCATTTACTGAAGGAGAGTGTAAGGGCAGATCTCTTCCAACTTAGCCGCTTCTCCAACATTAAAAATTATGTAATCCACGAAAACAATCTTTCCATGCAACTCTCCATAATAAAAGTAACTCGAATGAGCAGAATGGTTTTTGGAATGAAACGTAGAGCCCGACTTTCGTTTTCTAGCCAGGGCCAACGCTTCATGCATTTATATGGGTTTGTTTGGTTTTTTTTGGCCCAGCAAAAAGGGTTTTTAAAAACAAGTTATCCATCCATCAAAAATCACAATGCTGGAGAAGTGACTTGCTTAAAGCTTTACTGTTAAAAAGTACTTAAAAGATCGACTACATAAAATTATTAATTAAATGGAGGAAAACGAAAAATAAAATTCAGCGGCTACCTTTCTGTTGAAACAAACATATGACACGCTGCACTGACTTTCGTTTCCTAGGCAAAGTCAAAGCTTCAAGCATTAAAATGGGTTTACTTATTTGATAATCTTCGTAGCAAAATAACATTTTTTACAAGTTTTCCATCCATTAACGTTGGGGTAGTGATTTGTTTTAAGCTATACATTGGTAAGAAGATGGACGATATAAAATCGTTGAATGAGGGAAACACAACGCAGAATAAAACTTGGCGCAACCTTTTTGCTGCCAGATCTATTTTTGTTTTAATGCTCGCACCAGATGTCACTAGCCCTGATGAAGACCTTTTGTACTAACTGAAATATATTCCTTATTAAAAATACCCTTGGCATAGTTCATCCTTAATCAAAACTGGTTTTATTTAAAAGAAAATGTTTCCTTCAGATAGTTATACGACGAACACACTCGTCAACTTCTTTCACTAGCGTCTCTGAATTTCCAAATAACTTTTTTTCAGGCTTCAACCGTCTATTAGTTTATTTCATAACAAAAAAAAAATTACAGTTAGCTAATTTGGGGCAATAATTTGAGTCAAATGTGGTTTTGAAAAGCGGGGAAAATTTTAGCCTCGTTTCCATGTCCAGAAATAAGCTCATTTTTTTCGAGGTCAGATTTTGTGGTTAAAAACTCAAAATCAAGCTTGGTAAACAAATTTTTCGTGTTCAGCACGTAATTTTCATCTAGAAAAAAGTATTTACCAACTTTTCCTCGAGTTTGCCGACAGAAGTTTTATTAGCGGCTTTTTACCAAAAGTTGTCCCAGTCTAGATCTTGAGCTTGTAGAACAAAAACAATCCCCGAGTCTACAAGTACCATTGTTCAATCACAGTGCCATGACAGTGCCGATACATTGTAACTACAAACTACATGTAAATGAAAAGAAGTTAAGTTAAAGTGAACTCACCTTTCATTAAGTTAAGTTAAAGCTTAAAATTTAATTTGACCATCTTGTATTTTCTTTCTTCCACGCAATCAAGGTTTTTCGCACGCATTAACTGAAAATGCACGAAAAACAAGTCCTTGCAAAACAACTTGAACTTGTTGTGCAGCCAAAATACTGACAGCTCATTGCGAGTAGGTGACAACCTGCGTGAAGCTCCCCGTGGGTTTCTGTCATTTTGGAGGTATATCTCTCTTGTTTTCAAGATGCAAGTGACACCCGGGGGGGGGGGCACTTGGGTATTTTTTGGGTGGGTATGTGCCGCCCGGGACTCCAAATTGGCACCCCGTTCTAAAAAAAATTTCCCCTAAAATTGATACCCCGTTCTAGAATTCGCCCTAAAACTGATACCCCGTTCTAGAAATGGGCCAATTTTTTATACTCCGTTCTAAGGTGCAAAGAGTACAACAGTTTGCTTGTTAACGCATGGAACCGTATTTTTAAAAGCAATCTGTCCTTGAATAATTTCAAATGGCTGCTTACAAAACTGGAGCTTTCGTGCGTTCGAAATATTATACCCCGTTCCAGAAAACGCCTCTGAAATTGATACCCCGTTCTAAATCAGGAGCTTCAAAATCACGACCCCGTTGGGCGGCACATACCAGTATAGGTAATGTATGGGAGTACCCCCCCCCCCCCGAAGTGACAGTTGGATCTATGACTCCTTTTACTGATCTCAGAAATGAACGAGAGTCACAGACACCTGATACAAGGAACTTTAAAAGATTAAAGTGTTGTATGTTAGATAAATAGACTGCGAGCAGTCTCATACTTTTCTTTTGGGTCAAAATAGGTCGAGAGCGCATGTGAGGTGCCCGGGAGAGGCTCCGCCCGAAAGGGGCTCAGCTAGTATATGAAAGGGTAGGGGTTTCACTAGTGGACGGTATATGAAAGTTAAGAGAAATCTGTCATTTTGGTCTTAAATGACTTAAAAGGGCTACAGAAGGATTTTATGGCTGTGAGAAGGTCGAGAAAAGTTTCTGGAGTTATGATTTATTTCTTGATCAAAAACGATTTCTTAAAACATAAGCAAGCGAATATTAACGTTAAAAGCCGACGTTTCGGCATCATCATGACACCCTTCTCAAGGCAAAATGAATAAATAATGCGAAGATTTGATTTCTATAGTCTCTACGAATTAGCATAATAACAAAGGATCACAAGTTCTTCAACTGAATACCTTTGCGCGAATCGAGTCCGTCTGCACGTATTTATTTATATTTTAAAAATAGTGCATTTACAGCAGTTAAAAGGGATGCAAAGGTCTGAAAAAGAGGTGAGAAGAAAGGTATGTGAAAGGGGTACAATTTTTAAAATGATGGTATACGAGGGGGGTATAGGGCATCAAGTATACGTCCGCGTGGACTGAGTAGTATCCATGCTACCTAGTCCTGAACTAATACTGTAATAGGCTTGTATCTTTACTTCCGCCTTTTTACATGTAAGGTGGGTCCGGGTCCCTCGGGTCGGCGGGGTCTGCAATATAGAACAAGAATATGATCGTCAAGCTCCCCAGTACTCCCAGTAACTGCAGAATATTTAACATAACAACATAAAAAATCTGTTTACTAATGTGATCTGACTGACACTCAGCTAAAAAGCTATGTATTTTACCGGAAACCTCACAATTGTAAGGATATAACGATCTTAATCCGAAAGAAAGAAAAGAAAAGAAAGAAAACGTGTGACCGAGTTTCACGCAATGATGACGATCCGATAGGCAATCGCTGATTAAATTAATTGTTTTCTCATCAGCTCCATATTTTCGCAGTTTGAGAACAATCAGATCAAAAATCCATAGAGACCTGCCCAGTTATCTTGAGTTTGTCCAGCTCTTTTCTCCATTGTTCCGTCAAGCTCAAAAGCGGCGCAGCAATGGAGCTAGCGTTATAATGCGAACACAAACTCAGTATGATAAAGGCCGTTAAAATGTGGACAAACTCCAGTATGAACAAGCCTTTCAACCCCCCCCGGGGGGGGGGCTCCCATATAAAAGTGACGGAGATGCTCGTCGTCTCGCTTTGGGGTGTAAATTGCAGATTTTGGTCTCACTTAGGGTGTTTGGGATGGAAATTTACTGTATTTGCCCGTTCAGGTATGGCTTGGTACTGTGCAGAAAGAAATTTACAGAAAAATGCCCCGACACTGACCACACAGAAATCTCCTTTAGGGGCCAGTTTAAGCTTGAGCCACACGCACATTGGTCTACCTTAGGTGTATAATTTGAATTTTTCGACGAGCATCCCCGCTCATTTCATATGGGAGTCCCCCCGCGGGCTTTCAAACAATAATTACTTTGATAAGGAAGGTGTCAATGTCCGATAATTTGACTTGGTCAAAGTTGCATTAGAGTCACTGCCTTACTTTCATTTTCACTAGAGTTACATTTGCTGTTTTCTTCATGTATCTCCAGAGAGAAATAACAGATATTGAAGTGTTTTGATTTCAATTTCAGTTCACGATCGATGGATTTAGTCTGCTAATGGTAAGTATTTCTTGGCCACAACCTTGATGCACGTTCACTGGTAAATGTCATAAATGTCTACAGCAGCTGTGAACTCAATAATTTAAAATATTATTGAGGAATGGAGCTCTAGACGATTGTAAAAGGTGCATATGCATATAGGTGACATCGACGATATGGAGACAACAGAAAAATTAACATATGTCCGGCCAAAACACCGCCCATCTGAGCAGCCGTGTCAGTGGCAGTAAGCTTGTGAATGTAGGTCGTCGACGGACAGAGAAGAAATCAGTTGGTTTTTTCTCTTATTGTAGTGTTCTAAGCACTTTCTGTTTCTGTTTTGGGTCAAATATAGAGCTTTAACTTTTAAACTAAAATAATCCCACGTTTGTCCGTAGGCTCTCACAGACGATCTTCCCACATGGGTACCGTACGCCTGCAGAAACTCTTTCTTGTCAGAAGACGCTTCGAAAGGGGCAACTAAATCTCTGTTAACTGACGATTTCTTTCAAGAAATCATTGGTTCACGAGGAACTGTAATTTCCTGGCAGCCTTTTGAAGTAAGAAAGACGTTGTTATGCACTCATGTATGGCAAACCTTCAGTGTGTGTCGGGAGTGGAGGCTTTCTTGCTATCGCATGGATTTGCAAATATAGGTCCTCCGTATCTCACGGGCAGGGAATTCAATTAATGCCAAACTTCCGCGTTACGACCGTTACAGATCATGTACTGCCCGGGCTGTCATAGAATATACATCTGTTGCCCGAGGTTGTTCCAGGAAATGCCAAATCCCCTGAATCTCTACCCCCACCCTTGGCGTTTAATTACAAAAGTGCATTATTAAGACCTTTAAAGTCACTCTAGGTATACTTTTGAGCATTCAACATCATAGAAAATCGGTGATTTTTTCGCCAGGTACCGCTGCAAAAAATAGGTCTGACCACCACCTGTAAGAGAAGTCAAGAGGATGACAGTTTTATCGGTCTCCATGGTTTCGAAATCGAGTACAGAACGAACTGTGGTAAGACTTTTGAAGTATGTGATCCTGATATACATAAAACGACGTAAACGAAGATACACCGAAATAGATATAGGTAGCAATAATCACACAGGTTACATTCCGGAATGTGTAAGGGTAATTAAATCTAGAACAATACTGAAAGCCAATCAATAGACTAAATTCCTCAATAAAGTACATAAGAGACAATGTTAACGTTACTTGGCGTTTACAACTTTCTGTCTTCATACCAAGTTTCAGTGCGGTTTGAGTGGTATATTACTAATAACAACTGACCTCTCTCTGTACTGTGTTTGACAATATTGTTTTAAAATAAACTTTAGATTTAAGGACGAGAACGCCACTACGAGTACCAGATTTGACCTAACGTTTTTTCGCGGCGTATTCTCAAAATATAGACTTCCCGGAAAGCTTCATTTGCTAACATTTGATATCTTGTTTTCGCCAGCACGACATGCTAAAACTCAGGGGCACCCAGCTACTGTTTTCTGTATAATATCTGTTCGGAGAAGCAAACATTGTCTAGAATTTTCTTTTGCTTGAGGACGGCTAAAAATTTACAGATAATCGTTCCATTCGCGTACAATTTTCGAAGCTTATCTAATAAATTCCCTATGATTTTCTGAAGTCTGATTGTTCATATTTTACTAACCAGTTTACACTAGTTTTTGTAGAAAAAGAAAACCTAAAATTTTCAGATTCTAAAATGTGACGGAGAGAGGAATCACAAAATTCTCTTTTTCGTAAAGCGTTAAATTGCACCTAAAATTTTCGGAAAAATAATACTGAAGCCCTTGTAATTTCGAAAAGACTCAAGATCTCCTAGGATGACCGAACAGATAAAAATTTTGTAGTGCTGCCTAGAGTGCATTTATAGAGATCTAAAAACACTCTGGATAGCCTAAAAAGTGTTTTCAACATATTTTGAAGGAAACCGTCGTTGGGTGCCCCTGAAAACTCGTAGTAGAATGACGACGGCTAATACATTTTCCCACCAAAATGACGCTGGTTCTCGCCCGAGCACTAGGTATTGATACTCGTAGTCGTACTCGTCTTGCCACCCGTCTTAGAATCTAAAGCTCTCTACTCTTTTCGCTTGTCCCGACTAAGTGTTAGGCTACTCAGGGAAGATTCAACCACAGCTTACTTACTTGTCTCCTGTTCTGCCATTTTTTTTTCTCACCATTTTCCAAAACTACAGAAGAAGGACCAAGAACAACCGCGACCAAAACGCTACGCGTCGTGGCCAAGTGCAAGCCAGTGGCGGAAAAATTTGTGAAAATTTTTGCAAATTGGATATGTCAACAACCAGGAGAGGTGAATCAGTACGCCGAGCTGTTCAAGCGTACGTCGTATTTTAGGTTAGTTTGTTGAGTTAATTATTATGTTTTATCAAGAGCATTATGGCTCTTGGTTTGATGCTACAAATTGAGGTACCGAGCTCGAAAAATATGCAAAATGCAGAACTAAGTATGGCAGTCCGTTTATTTCACGAAATCGGTTTTTTTAAGCGTAATCCTGTGGCGTGAGATTTTCGCGTGAAGACAAGGATTTTTCGCGTTTCTCACTATTTTCTCCGTTTTCATCCTTGCATGTTCCAGAACGGGGCGGATAATCCGCCCTGTTCCAGAACTTTCATTTGACCGCTCGCGCGTTCTTGGCCTACACAAAAATACAGGCTGTTTTGCAGTAAAAAAAAATGACTCTTTCTTCAATGTAGGCTAATGTGACCAGCGCCCTTTCGTAAACAAACGACCCGCGCCATCATTGGTCATTTGATCCTGGCAGTTATGGCAAAGATTATGTACATGCATTTAAAAGGTACTATATTTTGTTTTACATGAATTGAAGGAACTCAGATGTAAGGGAGATAAAAGTAATGAGTACGCAAGACCAAAGGTTTATGGACATCGCGCCAAAAGTTTACTACACCATATGTAACCCAGTCAAGGTATGCTGTGAATACCTACCCGCCTAGGCGTTATCTCTTACCCCATTGTCCCGCGCGAAGTCTAGGAAAGGGTAGTCTCTCTCGCAGACGCCACAGCGGGAGAGAAAAGTCCAGGCGACCGAGCCGAGAACGCCTAAGGACTAGGCTGGTGAATACCGTTGCCCGTTCCCCCACTTACAGCCCCGCTGTTATAGGGCTAGGCCCATTTCCCTGGAAGTAAAAAAAGACACATCCGAGTATAAGCCCCGGACATAAATCCCCTCTAGCTTGTACTGAAATTGATTCAATTTATTATGATGTTTTGAAACTTTTAAACATCAGTAAATGCAAAACGTCCTGAAAGCGTGTATATTTCTATCAGATCTGCTATGGCTTATTTTGAAGCGCTTTTTTTATTTCCGGTAAAAAGCCCCGTCGGATATAAACCTCTCCATCTGTACGCCCTCTTAAAACCCCTTAAGAAGATGTAAGGAGCAGTTAACAGTAATCCCACATTTCCTCCAGTAACTTTTAAGTGATATTGTTATATTGCAGGAATTGTTTCCCACCAGTGCGCTCTCTCATTGGTTACTTCGAGGTCAAATGACATCGAACAATGAAAATGTTTCTCGCCGAAATCTCTGAGCGGGCAACAGTGCAAAATCTTTGACGTCAGAGGGTAACGGCGCACTGTTACCGGCGAATGTTGACCGACGACCGCCGTTACAGCGAGGTCATGAATTTCCAGCTGACATTGAGATTCTCGGGATATAAAATTAACTGTTTCCCAGTCATTAAGTGTTTGATGTATAATTCTCTCTTTATTTTTCTTTCTTTACGGCAGGAACTTTTCGTTATAGTCATGGAAGATTTCACAGATCATGTGACTCACCTCAATACCGTCAATCATGCCCCGCAGGTTTGGGACCAGAAAGATATAAAGGTTTGAATTCCATTCAGTTGTGTTTTAACGCTGACTAGGTACGGTAAAACGGGCAAAAAAAATAAATAAACGTTCAACTTGTTTTGCAACATTGCTGCAAAACTGGTTGAAAAGCTTGCCTAGTCCCTATGCCTCTTACACGCGGCCGATGAGTTTCAGGTCTCGTGGACCGAGCGTGGTCCGATGGCTGTTTGTGTCGGATAGATCAGCCGAACAGGGACCAGGCAAATGAAAAGCTACGTTGCACGTTTTTACCACCCACGTTCAAACCGGTCCTGCAACAAATCACGTTTTTGCAGGTTGTGGAATACTGACTTCTGATTTGTTAAAATTACGTGGGAGTCACGCCATACACGGGATTTAAATCACTTGCTGTAAAACAAGTTTGCCTTGGGCCGGTAAAACGGGTAACATATCATGTACAGATTTTGTTGCCAAAATTAGAACTACTTTCAACTTTTTGCAACAACTTTTCGTAGCCTGCAACAACCTGATTTGTTGTAAAACAGTTTTGATTGGTGGGTGGTAAAACACGCAACATCGCCATTCAACTCGTTTTGCAGCAATGTTGCAAAGCAAGTTGCGTCTTCCTTGCCCGTTTTAGCGTGACTTTCGTTCGTGTTGGTGCTAGCAAATGGCATGGAAATACAGTACTCGCTATCCAGTTTTTTGAAACACTTCTAGGTGTCTGACAACGTATAACAAAAGTAAAAGTAAGAATAAAATAAAAGGAATCGGGCCTGTCCGGGAGTCGAACCCGGGACCTCTCGCACCCAAAGCGAGAATCATGCCACTAGACCAACAGGCCGACGACAGGATTCGTCGTTTTGCGTGATAGTCTTATAACTTGTTAAATGCCACCTGTCAGTCCCCTGAACTACCTGTACTTCCTTCTAATAACGCAAAACAGCATTTTTTTTCTGTTGATTTCCTCTTTATTGTTGTTTTTTTTTTTAAAAAGAAAGCATTTATTTGTTTGATTATACAGAAAGAATGGTGAAAAATTACAAATACAGCGCTCATCTAGATTGTAACACTAGCTCTGATGACGTATTCCGGTCCTTATCAAATCAATTTGTGAATTGTACATTTGGAGACATGATCAAACAGGCAAATCCAAGTACAGCAACAGTGTATTGATTTGGTATGATCGTTCCCCCCTTTATATAACCAGAATTTACCTCTGTCAAGTTTTCTGACTTGTAATTGGCTCAACAAGGTTTAACAAGTTATGTAGCATCTATGTACAGCTCTCATTTTCTCAGTGAAATAACAAAATTTCAAAATAGTGAAGAATTCTGAAAGTGAAAGTGAAGAATGAATTTCATATATACTTCACATCAGTGAAGAATTCTGTCCAAATTTTACTTAAATGATTCCCTCGTTGAAATTTCCTTTTAGTTATACAGGAAGAGTTTGGACTGGTCTAAATATAGCTCTGAGGCTGGGGCAATTGTCTTTTTTTGTAGGTAACTCTCTGAATTCGTCTCTCAAGTCGGTTCTAGGAACATTCTCTATAAAAAAGATGACTATCTTTTAGATAACGATCCATTTCTTTCTCAGACTGCTACATGACCATTTGCATGTTATTTATTCTCAGCTGTATTTTAATCGCTTGATTCTTTATTCAACCTTCAACCCCAAAGGTTGTGCTTCGAGATATCGCCCGGTTTCACAGCATCCATCTTGGTGATGTAGCCAGCCTCACCTCAGAATCATGGATGTGTGTGATCAGTGGTAGTGTTATAAAATCGTTGAAGGGGTTTTGGCGAGCTCTCTTACGTAACAGTCACATGACGTTTCCTGACATCTGGACACAGAACAGGTGACGGCAGAAAGCTGTTTCCATTCCGTAATATATGAACCTCTATATGGGTGGGTGCTGTGGATGTCGTTTTCGTCGTGCGTTTTATATCAAATCATTAGTTCTTGAAAGAAATCGCGAGAAAGCGTCCCATATCAAGAATTTTTTGCGTGATAACGCTACCAGCGAGCTCGAGCAACCACGATGATGACGGAATCGAGAAATTAAAAAGAAACAGGTTAAATAAGCAAAATAAAACTCCGAACGTGCAGCATACTTTTTGGTGTATTTCTTTGCCTTGATCTGCCGTTGATTCCGATCAAGTTATCGGGATCAGTGTGCCATATCAATAGCGATCATCAATAGCGTTCGTCGCGACTTTGATTTCGTCGGAAATACCCATAGAGTCTAAAACCTACAATAATCCTCTATCTTCAAAAACGTTAAAAAATGACCTTATGTTTTCTATTTTAGGACGCAACTTGTTGGCAGTTTTATTGACAACCTTGACCGCGTGTGGCAAGTTATCGAACCATTTCCTCGAACTCTGGTTCACTATGATTTTACTCCAAGAAATGTGTGTTTACGTAAGCAAGAAGCAACTAACGAAAGACACAATGACCACCTAATAACAACCAATAGATCAATATTCCGACAGTCTTGCATTTACGACTGGGAAATGGCAACAATTCATGTTCCTCAACATGACGTGGTTGAATTCCTCGCTTTTGTGCTCCCTGGAAAATGTGACGTCACGACTCGCACGAACTTAGTGCGTTTTTACCAAGAACAACTCGAAAACTTCAGTGGAAGAACTTTTGACAAGAATCAGTTCATGAACGTTTTTAAAGCAACGTGTTGTATCTATGCATTGCACCAGCTTTCGCTGAAGACTGTAACACACTCAGTGACTCGATTATCTTATTTCCAAAGAGCTGTTGAGTCACACATGGGGTATTTGGAGGAACTAGAAGCAAGTAGCTGTCTCGAGTTCCCATAAACTAGTCTCTTAATCAAAAGAGACCCACACTGACATTCCAGAGAGCAATCACGAAAATCACTCTGAAGATACTAGACAAGAAAATGCACGGTGCACGTGCGATGGTCCCCGTTGAAGGACGTTAACTCGTGTTTAAAGTAGGGGGGACAGGGAAGTCCAAACCTCTCGTTTTCTCTAATTTGCCATTCTCGCCTTCCACCCTTTTTTAAAGCCTTTTTCGATTGCGAAATATGAAGCATTGTTGCATAATTTACCTCTATTTCTTCCGCTTCCTGCCCTTTCAGAACTCACTCCTCCCGCTCTTCCGGCCTCTCTCTCGTCCCGTATACCTCCCGCTCCTATTCTCCCGCGCTTTCGCCCCCGTGTCTTCCCCTAACATACAGTGACTCCGTAAACTCTCGGAAACCTGTTCTTTCAAAATTTAAAATGAAACCCCAATAGAACGAACTGCAATTCAATGAACTAATACGATCTCGATAAAATGTCTCTTTATACCTTGCTTTACAGGAAAGAAACAATCAACTCAATTTCGATTTTTGAAATTCTTTTGCACAAAAGGCGTTTGAGTTTTTAAAAATAAGTTAACAACTTCGACAATGCAGGACGGTTTAAGGCGCAGTTGCCGTATATAAAGAAAAGATTATTAAACCGGCTGCCAGCTAGCATAGTGAACGAGGATTTGTACAAATAACTATAAAAATCCGCTACATTCCTAGACTGTGAGCAGTCTCTTGTTTTTCTTTTGAGTCAAAGTTGGTCGCGAGCGCGCGTGAGGTGGAAGGGGCTAGCGGTAAAGACGCGAGGAACGAAGGCGGAAGCCCGAAATAAAAAAGAAACTCCGGAGACTCTCCCTCTTTTTACCATCAATATAAATAATTTTGCTTTTTCACTCGCCGCGCATGGCTCTGAGAAAAGAAAGACGACCGCTCGCAGTCTACTACATTGCGCTACCTTGGGATACCTCACAAGGCACGCACACATCATGAATGAAATGTTCTTTTTTGTTCCTGTGATCGTAATGTGTTTCCTTGTGATCTGACTTTTTTTATGGCATTGCCATGGCAGACCATAGCAAATTTTAATCAAACTGTGTAGTACAGCGTCCAGGGGGCAAAACAAAAGGCTGGCTATAGCGAATCATATTCTCGGCGGGTATTTTGGACCAGTTACTTGGGTTGTTTACCATTTACCACAAATTACCGGAAATTCCTGTTGGGATGTAAATGGTAAACGTTTTTTTGGTTCGTCCCACTGGAAAATTTCCGGGACAAACGGAATTTCTGGAAAAAGTAGTCCCGTTTTCTCCGTTGGGACATTCCGAATGAAAATTCGTTTATCATTTACAAGTTTCTTGAGGTTTCGTGCTAGTTTCCCTAGTTTCACGTTGTAACTAGAATCCAGTCTAACGAAGCGCGACAATCCGGAAATTTTAGGCAAATGGTAAACGACACGAACGAAAATTCCCAACCAAAATTTTATAAATGGTAAACAACCCCGGTTACCACTTTTCTTTCTGCGCTCCACCACTTGTTGTTTGGGCCCCTGATTGTTTAGGACTCACTTACCAATTTCGTCTTTGCTCCTCTCGTTTTGGCCTTTTTTTTCAGCAACTTACGCACTGAACCCGCTTCATAGATAGCTGAGGAAACGACCGTCCAATCGTAAGTGGCGTCGCGAAAAGTCGGCTGTTTTCTACCCTTGCTAATGGCAGCGATGGCCCTGTATAAGAGGTGAAAAGGCAAGGCAAGACCGAAGGAAGATATATATGTATATACCATAGTCTGCAGAGGTTATTGTTTTTATTGAACTTCAAATCCATCCTGGACGGGCTCGATGCAAAACGAAGGGGACGAAGGAAAAAAACAGAAAAAAAAAAAACGCTTGGAAACGAGGCTGCAACGGGCGATGACGTCACACGTTGCTGGCGGTTGATTCAAATCAAGTTTTGCCTGCGGCAAGAAGTTTTTGTAACTTTAGCTAAAATATTTTAAAGATTTCAAAAAGATAGCGTCCTCAAGTTGACAGCTGCATATAATGAATGAACGTAAGAAATTATGCCGCCCTAGCAGTGACAATGATCTGAGTAGAGAACCTTTCAAGGCAACAAAAATTTGGAACGAACTCATCGAACATCTGCGAACGAGCGTCGAACAGCGTCGAAGAAGGTGGAAGTTTCAGTACTACGAAAATTGTTTTCGTGGTGGTGATGTGGTTGAAGTTCTCCACACTTACGTCCAAAGCAATCCTGATTTGTCTAAGGATGCTACTCGCAGCCAAGTGCGTTCTCTCTGTCAGATTCTGCTGGAGAAAAAGGTCATCGAGTGTGTAACTTCAGATGGCGGCAGCGGCAAATCAAAGAGAGACAGCTTTGAGGATGGAAACAAGTTGTACAGATTTTCGTCCGGTCCATTTGAGCATGTTACTTCTTCTCCTTCTCAGGCTGAGAGGAAGATAAATAGAAGAAGAAGTTTGCTAGGAAGAAGCGACAAAAGAATAACGAGGAGGATGTCGTTAAATTTTACTCCCAGGGCGCAAAAGAGATTAGCTGATATTTTGTTAATGCCATCATCCACTTTGCAGTCTCCTGAAGTTCATTGTTCGAGTTCGCTAGAAGTACCGAAGAAGCGAAGAAGACTCAGTTTGGACGCTGGGCTTGGTATAAGGTATCAAAGCAAGGACCGGCTAAAATTTATGTTTATATTTTTTTTGTCATAGCATTTATATTCTGATTTTTGCATAAATGCTAAAATCATCAGACATTTACATGTTTTTATATATAATAAACTTCTACGCTCAGGCTGCATTTTCAACACTCTGAAGGCTCGGAAAATCTGAAAATTTTGAGCAATAGTACGTTTTTTAGATGAACAGAGAAGAAAAAGACGAACAGAAATGGTTGTTTAACACGTGTTCACAAAATCAAACTGGTCAAGTTGCAGACTGAAAGGCAAGATCCCTTTCAGCATACATGTATTTCACCATAAAATAGTTTATCTATTTATTCATCTATTTATTCATAACGGCGTAAAGTCAATTACTGCACCGTACCATGCCATTCGGGTCTACGTCCTGTTCCTTCTGTTTTCAAACAACAGTGTAGGTTATTTTGCCGCCCGCATTCAATTTTGCATTCCCCTTTGAATTGATAGGGAAGGGTGCAGGAGACTGAAAGACCCACTGCTTACCATCACCACCCAATAAATAGCTGATACAAGGTCAAAATAGTAGACAGCATTGTCATGAGAAAAAAAAACATTCGTGTGACTAAATTGTTCTAAAAAACAAGGCTGAATAAAAATTAGATAAACAGTAATTATCATCCATGAGAGAAGAAGTATTTAAAACAGAGAGGAGGGGTTTCATGAATTTTTGTGTATGATGTAGGATGATCCAGTGCATCACCTGAAATTGCATCATCTCTTTTAAAAACAGAAAGAACAAGCTGGCTCTTCAGTCTGATACAACGTCTCATCACAGTAATGACAGTGAGATTTGGTTTGAAGTTGCATTATCTGAACTCCTACAGCTCACAGATGTTCCATTTCTGGAGGATATACTGACCCCACCATTGACACATGATGGCCTGGGAGTGATAGTCATATCAAATAATATTCCAGGATCATGTGTTGAAAATTTGCAGATGAAACAGAATGCTGATAAAGAAAATAACAGTTCAGAATCATGCAATGTTTGGGTAACACCAGGGATGGAATGCATTCATTTGCAGAGAGAACACCCATTGCCACAGCGTGCCGACACAGGCTTTTTAAACACAGTAAATATCAAAGAGATGGAGATCCAGCAGATCCTTGCAGAGTATTACGGATCACTTCTTGATTCACTCATTCCCTCAAACTTTGCAGACTTAGTTGATGGCATAATTTCTGCACTGGCTAACGACTGCTCCAAAGTTGTTACATTTCTGCCACTTTTGGCACTGATGCTACCAACAAGCCAGCAAGAACACCTCAAAAAGTTGTTAAACTTCATAGGGAGGTCTGTGGACACAAAGAGTGGACGATTTATAGTCAAGAAGTTCATGGGAGCTATCTTACCAAAGACCATTCAAAATAAGGTACATAATCTTTTCTTTTATTCTGTAGTTGTGGGTGAAAAAAGTCAAAATGCAGCTGAGTACCAATTACATGTGTAAGACAAGCATTTAACAACAGCGCAGACAAAGTCATGCACAGAATAGCCTAATAGCCAGCACTGTCTTGTGTGTGTTCTCGTCATCTACCCCGATACATGCAACACAGCAATGCAAATGGAATCACAAGAACAAAGTCATATCATCTTCATTTCCATGTAGTGCCTCTGTGGTTTAGCCTCCTCACGTACATATTCACTGAACAATTCACTATACTGAAGAAATGTCGTGGGAAATTTGAATGCTTGATCTACAAAATGTTTTTTATCCAGGAAAAGAAACCCAAACTGAACACTCAATCAGACTCAATAAAAGCGAAACTATTTAGTACCTAATTAACACTCACTACATTCCACATTGTAGTTTTTAATCACGTGCAACGAGACTTCTCACGCATTCTTAATATATAAAGAACTTTTAACAATCTAATTTTTTAGAATTTGAAAATGATGAGCGAATCATCGAAATGTCATTCAAAATTTTTATCACGCAGATTTCCTTTGAAAATCTTCACAGCCATTTTTGGGAGCATTGCGTGACATCCTAAAAATGGCTGCAGAGGAGACTAAGTTAGAAAAGGCCACACCATTTGTCCTTCCCCTCCATACAAACAGTAAGATTATAGTCAGGTTCCATGCTAACCACCCTATTTTTGCCTGTGCTCTGGGAACCCATTTACTGGCTGCTTTATTGACTACTTACTACACATTTTAACACAATTGTTTTTCCATTTCCAGGATGCTGGCCAGCAACTAGTTTTGTCCATGATAAAACATCAGAAACAGATGTTTACAACACCTGCTCATCTCAAGGACTATTTCAAGAGAAATATGTCTTGCACTCAAAGGGGAATGTGTCCACTCCTACAGTCAAAGATTTGTCACCAGATATCAGCTTTGGAGTTCAAACACCAAAAGCAATTTTCAACCAACCAATCTTTGGGTGAACTAATGACTTTCATTATTGACAATTTGCAAATGACGCTTAAAGAAAAGGAAGAAAGGCTGAAACTTTTCCAGAAACACCACTATGATATTTTTATACAACAGTTCCCCACTGGACAATTGTAAGTAAATTTGTCATGTGACAAACGAAGCTCACTGTAAGGCTGAATTCACATTGTGATTTAAGTTTGATCCAATGCGTTCCACGTCATCATAATAGTCATTAATTTATGAGTATTTTAACCTTGACTGGTCAGCTTCTTACCAAAACATCTGCCTTAGTCTTGTAAACAGTAGACAAGACAGGCAGTGGCAACAATTCAATCTTTGACCTGCCTAAGAGGGAAAGAGGATTACTTAGTTACATGACTTTCCCTGCTTGAAAGAAGTTATGGAGTATTGGTGCCTAATTTGTGAGTTCAAGCAACATTTTGGCATTTTCATCATAATTTTTCATATTTTTGAAGACGTGAATCATGATTGAAATTAATTGCATTTACACTTATTAAATGTGGGTATTTAATTTTTCATATTTTTCATGCATGCATCAAGCATGTTTTTTAAGGTATTTAAATTATTTTTACATTAATAATATATTGCAAAACATTTTTAAGAATCATTTATTGTGAGGTTTGTTTTGCCTGTAAATAGCCTACTGTGTGAATATTGACTATTGACTATACGCACATTTTTGAAATTCTGACTGGCAGCCAGCCAATTTAGTAATAAATTATTGGCAAAGTGATAGTAATAAATTATTATGAGGTTGTATTTTTATGCGAAATCCACAGGATCTACCATTAAAAAGTAAACTAAGTTGCATAACTCTACCATACAGTCGAACTTCTACGTGTGACCTAACCTCCCTTAAGTAGCCACGAATAAAGTGCTGGCAGCCGGCTGAAAAACCAGCTACTTGGAGGTTTGAGCCGTCTACTTTTTGGAGAAATAGGGTACAGTGAGAGAGTGAAAGCCTGAAATTGCCTACAGCACTCAGTTATCAAGCCGCCTACGTTTACATTATAGCTGTCTTATAATGAGAACCCTGCAATCCAAACCACCAAATTTTTTCAGTCAAAGTCCTTTCGTTGGAATTTCTCATAAACAACTACCTTTCGTAAGCAACCACAGTCTCAGCTTGGGGTGCGTGATACTTTTTATACCTTCCATTGCTTTATAACCTCTTGTCAGTGACCGCTTGACACACAGCCTCATCTCCATGCAAAGTATTACGAAGGACTTTTAGTGACAACGTGGAACTACACATATCGTAACCTGCATGCAATAATTAAGTTCCTGTACAAACAGATGTGTCCAGACCTTTGTGTTATGTTCCACACACAACTGGTCTATTATGATTAGAGGACAAAATCATGCAATAATTTCGTCCCTGTAGTCTTCATGGACCTTTGATGCGCCATAAAAATGACCTGAGTGATCTTGGATCATAAATCCTGATCTGGATAATCCCAAAGTTTCCACTCATTGCTGGAAAATTTTGACCAAATTTAATAGACATTGCCGATATGTTTGTTCTAGGAAGTTACCACAAATTCTTAGAAATACCATACTCCCAGTGCTGTAATATCAACAGTACAGTGTTGCTATAGTAAAGAACATTCATTTGGTTGAAATGAAAAAAGAGTGATTTTATTTTGCCTATGAAGTTACCTATTTGGATAATACACCATTTCACTCCCTAGTATTACATGTATGTCATTATATTATTTTTAACTAACTGAGTACATTGTGTCTTTATTAATAGTCACATTACTATACAAAAAGTACTTTGTTTCACCAAACAAATTCAATGTACACAGACAGCTGCTTACAAATTGGACATCTTTTGTTAGTAATGATTTGAACTTTGAATTATTTTCCATGATAGGTACAAGACGAATTAGGATCTTGATTGTTAATATCAATAGGAAGATTGCAATTTACCACAAAAAATTACAAAAAGCACCATATGGTTCATGAACCATTAAGTATACAATGTTATCATGGACATTATTTTTTTTTTTGGTGTGCCAATCAAGAGTTTCTGTCAGAATGAAATTATGGTTCTCAAAAGGACCGAGAGCTTTCAAGAAAATAGGTTGCACAAATCTTTCTACAAGAACTTACGACTTGAAACAACATAATTATGTACTTAATGCTAACTAACGTTGGTTGCATCTAAGCGTGGACACTAGACAAAAAAACGTTATATAAATGGGGTTCAAGACATGACGTGTTTTGCCACCAAACATTGAAGTTTGACACCCGTTTAGTTAAAGCAAACTGTCGCAATAAAGGTAAGTCGCTTATAATTATGTTTAACTTTTTGATCAGCATGTTCTGCTCATACTTCATTTTTCTCAACTTTCAGGCATATTTCTCGCTCAGAAACAGCACAGTTGCCTTCAGAAATTATCCTTAATGTTTAAAAATTCTTGCAAAGAATATTTTGTTGAGTGAAAACAAATCAAGTCGACAACAGCCACCTACTCCAAACTTTGAATGTTTGGTGGCAAAACATATCATGTTTGCACCCAAGTAGAACATTATTTTAAAAATGTTTAATCCTCACATGTACACGCTTAGATGCAACTGATGGTATAAACTGTCAAAACATTTCAGTCTTATATTACTGACTGTCCAAACAGGAAAAAAAAGGTGGGTCAGCAGTGACCAGCTGTAGCACAATACTGAAGATCTAAACAAATAGGTGATTGGCAGTTTAAATATAAACCACCATACAAATCTGGAATGTAAAAAGTATTGAGACTAAGCTTCTCCTCCCAGCACCGGGAGTAGGTATAACTTTCAACAATAAAGAACAAATCATGTTGTTCCTGGATGCATCTCAGGGCAAAATGGCAGGAGGGTGAGTGAGGGTGGAGGTACAAAGAATAGTTTTCAGCTTGCAATTTTTCACCTGAAAGTATGTTTTGCTTTGAGTTGCATAAAAGTGAAGAGCATAAAAATCAAACTGTGGTATATTCTGGAATTTCATCCATTAGTTGTTCAATATACAAAGTAGTAACTGACCACAGTATTAACAATCAAGTACATTCAGTTCTAGAGGAAAATGAACAGTAAGCTATATTTAGAAATCTATTCCACTTACAATAGTACCCCGCTGGGGTGCATGCAATCTTGTTACCAGGGTCCTCTCCTACCCGAGAACCCTTGGAATGAGGTTTTGGGGTGCATGCACTGAGCAAAAAAAAAAAATTGAAAAAAATGAATTGCTATGCTTAAAACGGACAAAAAATATCATTTATGTGAAAATAAATCAAACCCTTGTGAAGTTTATCACAAGGGCTTTAATACAATTTCATTTTCAAAACCCTACTGATAGTCAACATGAAAAAGTCCTACTGTAATCATTCTAACGCACAATCCTGCAAAAAATATGTTACAATAATTCATCTTAACACCAGGGTTGTCGAAAGTAGCCGGCTGACGGCAAAAATTGCTGCCTACTTGGTTAGTATTGGCCGGCTACTCTGCTTGGCATTTCTTTACGGATGGCGTTTTTTAAATAAAATATACCCGGACTGGCTGCTTACTTTGACAACTAAGCTGTTTACTTCAAAACTTTCTGACAACCCTGCTTAACACCGTCTACTCATTCCAGGGTAGCCAGACTAGGTCCTACAGAATTGATTTTGTTTTACTTTGCAATGATCAGTGTTTCCTCCTGCTTTCAGTTGCTGGGTTTATCGTCATGAGTATAAATTTTAAGAGCTCTTTCTTTGTGTAAAAGTCTGCCAACTCTTGAACTAGAGCTGTTGCTCCTGAAATAAACAGTAAGAATAATATTAATTTCCTTCTGATTCTGGTTTTCAAAGTTTAGTGAACATCAGAATTAGCTCTTTTTGTTTCAAGAGAGCTGATAAGTATCAGACCTTTTCCCCAGTTATTTTATTTTTAAATTGATATTATTATACACTCAGTTGAAACTCCCAAATATTAGCCTGCGTCACAGGCGCAACCAATCCTCTGGTTAAGTCCGTCTCTGAGCCAGCCCTGAAATCCTTGTTTTGGGCCCAATCTTTGTACCAGGACTTGACAATGTGCCATCATTGGCCTGTTAAAAAAGCCATTGTCGATTTGCCAATCAGATTGAAGGGAAATTCAAATCTCAGGTATGGTAATTCATTGAGTCTGATGGGGCCCCAGAACAAGGATCTTGGCACCTCTTTGCAGATGTTACTAGTTGGGGTTTGAACACATTTGCAACACAAGCCACTAAAAACAGACACCCTTGAGAAACAGAATATGTGTTTCTAGCTGGAGCTGGCCCAAGGCTGTGCTCTAAGAAAAACTGAAGGGAGGCCAGTGCTCTGAAACTGAAACTGAGAAATTCAGGGCGCTTAGCGAAAAACTAAGATGTGTAAACTGTTTAAGCACCAAAAGTAAGGCACCAGGGGTCACCAGGTGCTGCTAGAGCTCAGCCCTGTGGAGACTAACAGGAATGACCCTACTGTCATCAAGGGGCCACCAGGTGCCACTAGAGCACAGCCCCTGTGGAGACTAACAGGAATGACCCTACTGTCATCAGGGGCCACCAGGTGCTACTACAGCACAGCTCCTGTGGAGACCAACAGGAATGGCCCTACTCATCTCTAGGATTTATTAACAGAAGGGCGGTAGCTTATGGGAGCTTGTGAAAATTCACACTAAAATATTGTACTAACAAAAGAACAATACAGTGTGACCATCGTTATTGTTGTTTACCTGTTTCTTTCATCGTCTTATTATACAATAATATTCATTCACAGGAGAATAAAAACCAAAAATAGTTTTCCTCTTAATATTAAATTTGTGTCTGCTCACAGAAATACAAAAATGTAGTGTCTATTGTATGGAAGTTCAAACAGGTGTTTTTTTTACGGTTGACCGACAGCACTCTGCTTATGGGAGCATCTGTTAGACAGCATTGATTGTATTTGCATTGTTGTTTAAAGTTTCCTTGAAGAATATGTTTGGGAAAATTGTTATTAATAACTTTTGCTGATGACTGGGCACTGCTTTATCAACAAAGTAACTCCTGGAGATGGATCACAAAAACTAAGCATAAAATATTGCTGTCTTGCTGGGTAGATGATGCCATTTAACTTTTAGGGGCCCAACCCAAGGATGAATCACAGAAAGAAACTTCAAAAAGTTAGCAAAAATCACAAGCTTTAGACTGACCAAACTACACTGTTTTAAAACAGGAAGACTCACTTGGCATTTTCTTTTTTCATGATTTCCTGTTTCTTTTCTTCTGATATTTCCATTAGATCTTCTGTTTTATCTCTGCAAAAATGAGAGGTAAATTCTAGATTCCAGTAACACATAGTAGATTATAGTAGTCGATAACCATGTCTTGTTTTTCCACCTGTCTCATATGCACAGGAAAAGGACAAAAAATTACAGCAGAGCTTATAGGAAACTGAAAAAAAATGCGAAAGTTGCCACCAAACAACAGACTACCACAAAATACTGGGCTGGTGTTTTATTTGTAACTTTCCATCATCGTTTCGCTCTTTTCTATCATTGTGGCAAATAATAGAACGATTTTCGTATGACCTTGAAAAATGGTTTTGGTAAGTGTTCGTTTTTTGTTTTATCAGCCAATGGATGAAAAGATCAAAACATCGACTCTTTGTTTTCCCGCCAAAGAAAACCCTAATATGGAGATGCCTTTGCTCGATTGGCCAATCGTGTTGCAGTATGACGTGAAAGTAAAGTATTGATTGATTTCTAGAAAGTTCTCGGGCATGAAGTTTTTTCACCTGAGCGTTCGCTTAACCAACTAAAAGCCACGCGCGTTTGTATCTGTTCGATAAACCAATCAAATCGCTCTATTTCTGTTCGTTTGTTGTTTCTGTTTTGTTCGCTCGTTTTCGTTTCAAGGTCATACGAAAATCACTCTAAGGCTGCTACAGTTTCTGTTGGTGCTCTAATCCACCAATGGGAACACCCGGGACCTATAATGATGATGACAATGATAATGACAGCGTGAAGTTGGGTAAATTTTTAAAATGTGGGGGGATGAAAATGGTCTAATGAATGTGCAACCTCAAAATTGGAGGATCACGATTTTCATTTCCAGAGCCCCCTCCCTTAGATCTTTAGTAAAGTGTTCAGGTTATTCACAGTGAGGTTGATTAACCACATTCTTAAAGGAATGCACGGAAACATTAATTTTTGTACTCTCTGCATGCCATCAGAATTCTGGAGCAAGTGGAAAGCTACTCTGAATTGTTTGTCTTTTGGGCAACGTTACTGAATGCTACAATGCAATAAGTGCCCCCAAAAGCAATTTCAGGTCGAGTCTGTTACGTTGGTAATCTTTACACACCTGTAAAATACCACTGCTCCATCGTCATTGATAAATAAAGGACTAGACCCAAGAGATGTCAAGTCAGCTGTCCAACCAAAATCATTTCCATGAATTTCAAGGACTGGTGCATCACAAGGGAACTGTCCACGGCCCTGGAAACCAGAAGCTAGTGACTATGTACTATAACTGAATGACTATGAATTATAACTGGATGCAGAGGAAATCTGAATTCAAACCTCCAGGTTTATTGCAACACTGACTTCCTTTCTGCAGTCAAACAGTGATAATATTTTTAATATCAACAGTAATTTTTCCGTTGACTACATATATGGGGACCTGGACCCAAGTTTGTATCATTTAATGAAAATTAACACAAATTTTGACTCAACACATCATACATAATATAGCTAGATGGTGAATTTTAAGCTCTGTAAATGAATGTACAAGATGTGGTAATCAGCACAACACGATCATGGAACAAAGAAAAAGTTTTTGCCTAGTTCATACCTTGCAAAGCTCTAAATTTTCCTCTGGAATGCCACTAAGTGTACTCATCTGACAAAAGTAAAGATTTTATTAGTCACAAAATAAAAGAAAGTGTTTATATTAATAAATCATTAATCCAATAAAGAGTATTGTTACCGCTTCCTTTAAATGTTCAACCAAGCTCTCCTTCAGAACAACTTCTTTTGGAGGGTCAATTGTTAACGTAGAAGGATGCCAATGTCTAACATACAATGACAGTTGATCTGCTGAGGTCATTCTTTCAGGACCTGATGGTTAGAATGTAGTAACTGGCAGTAAATATGCACATCATAGCCCAGGTTTCACTACTGCATGCTAGCGAGGAAAGCTGAAACATAAATTGTAAGCAAAAGGGAAGCTGCATCTATATGTCTATCTATTTCGGGTGCACCCGCGCTGATTTTACAAATCTGTCCCACTCCCGTCTGTTGGCCATGACAGATGCAAGATCCTGCCTCGAAAGACTGGTGTCACTTTCTAGGTTGGTCAATAAACATTGTTGGTTGTTGTTGGGTGCCCCCTTTGAGTGTCTGCCATGTTTTGGTTCCCAAAGAAGTAGCTGGGAAACAGTCTCATTCTTGCTTCTTCAACAGTGGCCACTAAACTGCAGCCAACGTATCTGGAGACTTGCTGAAATTGGAGGCAGGATTCCTATGCAGAAGCTGCATAAGAATATGAACACCTTTTGTTCTCCTTAGTTGTTTTAATATGCTTATGCCATTATTCCCAGTAAGGAATGGACATGTTAAAAAAAGGCATCACCACAAGCACATTAAGTAACAAAGAAATACACTCATCAAGAAACCGCTCTTTCCCATTGATAAATTAGATTTATTCCTTGGTGCCAACATTACTCTACCCTAGGGGAATTATATGATTCTGAATCTGCTGCCTTATAGTTATCAAGCTTATATTGTAAACGCAAACATCCTTGTGCTAATACCAGCATGAATTGACAAAATGAAGTACACTACAAGTGATTACAGTGATCTGATAACTTGATAAAGAGATTGACAGACCTTCTAGTATTTCCAGAAACACTTCAAAGCTTGCATATACTTGGATATTTTCTTCAAATACTTGGCTGTCAACATAGACTCTTCCAGGATTTTTCCAGTTTTTTCTTCTCATTCTGAGACTAAAATTCATAAATCATAAAGACTTACATTAAATGAGACTTTCTTATGAATGAAATTCTTAACAGTGGACCAAACACCATGGAAATTAGGAAATTAACAATAAAACGTTTGTTAAATTCTCTAGCAATCTATTGAAGTTACAGTGGAACCTCAATATCAAAAAGGCCTAAGGGACTGGCAAAATATGTTTGCTATAGAGGTTTCGTTATATTGAGGTTCCTTTTCACATACCCTACTCTGCTATTTCTGGGGCAAAGAATACATTTGTCACACCAAGGACTTTGTTAAATAGATAGAGGTTTGCTATATCAAGGTTTCACGGTACTGTAACAGGAAAATGAGTCGAGATATTATTTAATACTGCATAAGAAGAAAAAAGAGGACAAGTAGTGACATACGTCAAGCCATGCCGAGAAATTGAGATAAATTTGATGGTATCATGTGCAGTTGGTTTGATGGTCAATATCTTGAACAGGTATATTTTCCCACTAATCCACATTTAAAACAAACTAATAACTAATAAAACATACTTTTCAACTGGTACATCAATGCCACATCTTTTACAGATCTCTGGTAGCAAAAGTTCTTTGCAGGTTTTTACTGACATCCCGTCACTTGCTATCCAGTCACAAAAGTATTTGAAAGGCTGAAAGACGAAACATGTATGTCCTTTATATAATAAGTATTATTAATAATAATATTATGACAATCACCTGATTTTCCTGGTAGACATTTCATTCTCTATAGATCAGTGACCAATTTAACCCTATACAAAATCAACACAAGATAGCAGATCCAATAGTGGCATGCATTCATAATCATGAACATAATTCTTTAAATAAATAATTTTGCACAAAGTTGGAATTATGTTCACGGTTAATTTAATTTGTTTTGTTTAACATAAGAACTCACTTTGCTTTATAGTTACAAAAACTCAGTTTCCTAAGTTTTCCACTAATTACATCAAAATTTTCTCTATAGAAAAAACGTGGTCTTGAGTGATTATAATGGTAGCCATCACACCATGAATTTTTCAAATATTTTAAAGGGGGTCAGTAAATTACCCCAGGCCAGGCCATGATCTCCTCCACTCCACCACAAAGATTTAGTTTTGATTAGAGTTGAAACAAGGCTTCTTACAAAGCAAACAGTATGCCCAGAAATCAATGGAATAATAATTATGTTACTCTTTCCTGAGCATACTGTCTGCCTTTTAAGAAAGTTTATTTCAACCCTATTTTATTTAATAAGGTTTGAAAATAAACTTACCTCCTTTTCAGCTGGAGTCAGCAAAAATATTTTCAGTTGATGCTCCCCTTTCTTGAGAGCACGGCCATATTTGACTCGCAGCTACAATGGAAAATAATGTCCATAGTAATAATAGTAATGATAATAATAATAATAATAATAATAATAATAATAACGACAATGACAACAACAGTAGTACTAGTATGATAATTATGCTCTTACAGATTGTCATTGGCAAGTTCTTGAATTCAATGAATGAAATCCCATCAAAAATAAATATGTACAGTACACACAATATTAAAGAAACAGGGAACATACCTTAGAGTCATCAGCAAAGTTTGTCAAAGAATCTGACAAATGGCTGTATTCAATTTCTTGGTTATTTGAGTAAACTCTATAAACCTGAGAATAGTGTAATATTATTATTCATTCAAAATATATCCCAATTCTGATTGGCTAAAAGCACACGCATAATTCACAATAACCAGTTACTGATGACCAAATTTGGAAGAATTTTGTGTTTCACAACAAGATGACGTAAAAAATGCAGCCCGCTACAGGTTAAGGCACCATTAACGAGAAGACCTGGGGACAAGGTTGAGTTGTTTTGGTTGTGAACATTTCAACAGTTGCAGACATTTCACTCGTTTGAAGAGTAAGAACTACAGCTGGAACTAGGCGAAATAATAGCTAAAAACATGGCTAAAACAGCAAGAAGACAACTCGGAGGGTGACATCTGTTATTTGGAGAATATTTGTGGAGCTGGACAAATATCGAAGATGAACTTAACATCGATGCAGGTAAGCATGTTTTAGCTATGTTTTTAAACTAGGAATTATTTCAGTTGAATGAATAATAAAGCAATTAATGAATTTGGAGGGAATTAATGCAATTAATGCAATTAATAAAGCAATTAATGAACTTGGAGGGTGTTATCCACCTCAGCCAATAACAAACACCCTCCTCGATCTTCTTAATTCTTCATATCCTACTCAGCCCCATTCATTAATTATTGCTAAATATTATTACTGGAGTTTGAGTGAGCAAGGTTTTACTCTACTTGCTTCACAAGAAGGAATTTTAATTACCAAACAACTTACCCTAAAAAATTCAGGAGAGCACTGTACATCATTTTGTAGAATTTCTTTCAGTTTTTCAAGTGTGATTCTCTTGTCAATAGAAAAAAGTTTTTCTAATGGTAAGAAAAGAAAGATAGAAGTCCCATTAAACAAAGAATGTATCCATAAGGTTATCTAACCTTTTAGCTCATATAATATAATTTTTTGACATGCAAATTATTCCACATACAGTAGTCTCCTTACATTTCTAAATAATAGCAATAGAACTACACATTATAAGAAAATAATTTGCATAATAATTTGATTACTATTAGTCCACTAAAAAAGGTCAAGTTGAGGAACATGACAATTATTGTCATTAGCGACAAGGTTTAGCTGCATAGTTTGGCAGCCCATATTGATTCTTTAAACCTTTCAGTACTGTAATAATCATTGCACAAAGTGTCATTTACTGTTATATTTTATCTCATCTGGCGACCATTTTATAATTTTACAGCACCAAAAGGTGACTTCTTTCAATTTGAGCTTGGTTCAATGGGTTGATTTTGAAAAAAAAAATTGCCTGTGTCAGTGAGCTGGTATACATATATATATATATGGTCCGTTTACCACAAACGTAAGAGGATTGAAAAGCTGATGTTTTTAGCATTAGCCCTTGGTCTGAGCAAATTAGTTTACTGATCTGACAAAAGGCTGACCCTCAAAGTGTTAGCTTATTTTCATATTTTCAAACAAACCTGCAAATAACTACATGTAAAAAAAACTGTTAACAAGCTCACATTTCTAGGAAATGAGAGGCACTAGGCAAAGATTTGGCTAAACTTTCAATAATAAAACCAGAAAGCTGGTATACACCTGTTTTATGAATATTACCTTTTCCCTTTTCATTTTTGTCACCGTCAGCAGCAGCCTCACATATATATCTACTTGTACTCTCTAAATGTAAATAAATAAATGTTATCAGAGTTGTCAGAAAGTTTTGAAGTAGATGGCTAAGTTGTCAAAGTAAGCAGCCAGTCCAGGGATATTTTATTTAAAAAACGCCATCCGTAGAGAAATGCCAAGCAGAGTAGCCGGCTGATACTAACCAAGTAGGCGCGATTATTGCAGGCAGTTGGCTACTTTTGACAACCCTGGTAATAACCATATCACGGTTACATCATAACATGATAGCCACCAACTCACTAGAGCAAAATCTTTACTTCTTTTGTTTTCCACTAGCCTATTCATTAAAAAATTAATTATTGTTCATTGAGAAAAGTTGGTTTACTGACCCCTAAGGCTCCTTTTAAGACTACAAAAAAAAAGGTGGAAAATTTTGTTCCGTCAGAAAAACTCGTGGTAAACCAACCTGACGGTTTCTTGGAAGGATCAGGCAAAAAAACACAGAGCTGAATGGTGTGCTGATAAACATCCAACACTTTGTACAGCTGAGACTTTTCAAAGGAGAGACCTTCCTCCAGTGATGATGTCTCAACAAACACCTACGAGTACAAATAAAATCATTAAAAACATATTATCTCGGATGACTCAAACGAGGTCCCATTTCTCCTGGATTTTACCCCACTTTTCAGTCATTTTTACTCAGGTAGCTCAAATTCAGAAAACTAAAATTCTCCGCCAACTCAAACATCATACCACAGTGGTGGTGTCGCAAAATGGTGGCTGTTTTCTCAGGTTTCAGTGCTTTTGTCACTCCACCATCCTTGACCTCAAACAAACAAAACCCCTAAATTTTAACGTTTAAAAAATCTTCATGCAATAAAAAATTACAATAATTATTTTCTAAGATTATCTTCCATACATCCATGCATTGATTTCCATCCTTGTTGTCCCTAAAGTGATACATTAGCCCACAATCCAGCTTCTTGAAAGGTGATAAGCTTTAATCTAGGGTTAAAATTTAATCCTGCACGATTGCTTACAACTGTTATTTTGGGTTAACACAACTAGGCTTTTGAAGAAAAAAGTGGAATAATACCTCATGAGCCCCAGTTACACAAAACCCTGGATTAGTGTAAACCGGCATTCCAGGAACTCAGCCCAGATAAATAATCACCTTTTGATCAGAAGTGATTACCGGTAATACAAAAAATATATTCATCTGTCAATTGAATAATACAATAATAATAATATTATTGTTCAACAGTTTACCTTGTTAGATTTGAAGAATCCAAGGTCTTTTAATACTTTACTGGGGTTGTTCAGCAACTTAAGTTCACTGTATGTTCCTTCAAACACTACTCTCATAGTTTCTAAGGGAAGGCTAAATTTCTAAGGAAAAAGAAATGCATTTTTCATTATTTTAAGTTTTATCTTCCACTCTGACCTTTTTGCTGAAGATCAACGCTAACAATGGCTCTAGTACATCCCTAAAAAATACAACAATGTGTGACAATGATGCAACGATGACATCATTTTTAGTTACAATAAACAGAATCCTTCAGTTTGTTGTTTTCTTGTGCAAATTAGAGCTATTGTTGTTTAAACCTCAGCAGGATTGACAAATTTCAGTAAGAAAGCAAAAACAAAATGAATTCTGGTAGTTGTAGTCAAGTGTCATCATCATGAAAAAGGCCTGTTCCTTATTACCTCATGAATGAGACTGTAGAGGTCTTTCACAGTCCAGCTTAGCAGTGGTCGTACATTAGTGGGTGGAGCAACTTTTTCTTTTTCAAGATCAACAACATGAACTTTGACAGTTACTCCTATAGAGATAAGAGACAATTTACTGACGTTGACATACGATGTTCATCCTTTGCAGTCAGAGTAACCAGAATGTCATAGGTTCCACTCTGATTAGGAGTACTCAAAATTAATTATTTACTTCCATGTCGCCTATATAACTGACTGAAAACATCTTTTGTTGCAGTTATAGCAGCCAGTTGTAGGATACGCGGTTACAAGTACTACGTAATATTCCATTATGGTTTTCTTACAGCTGACCTGAATTGTCAAGAACGTTTCAGGATTTTCGGTTTTTCTGTGAAGTCAATCAAACTGTTACCGTAGCATCCACGGTGTTTGTCAAATAATATAGGCAGCAATAATGAGCAGAACGTTGGCAGGAACATACCGATTTGCTTTCACCCTCCCATTTCTGTGTTTCTTCTGGATTTGGAAGCTCTATAGGAAAAGTCTAAACTTGCCATGTTTCAGTATAAAGAAGATTAAAAAAATTCAGAGCTAAGGTAATTTAAATTACTCTGCTTTTCAAAAACACACGACCAAACTCTGAAGTTCAAAAGCAATGAACCTAGAAACACACAAAACGGATCCAAATCCACCAATCACAAATCACAAACCATGACCTTTTGTTTCCTAAGAGGTCCACTAAGATGTGAAGGCGAGAAAGCGCCGATTCTTCTGAGTTTGATTGACGTGGCAGAAACACCCAAAGACATTTTTGACATTGCAGGTCGCGTGATATCTGAAACAGCTGTAATTATAAACCATAAATAAAATATTATCCTTTTCAAAATTTGGTAACTTAATTTGATTGTAAGATTAACAAATAAAGACCTCAGTCAGCCAGCCTCAGTGACCTCAACCAAATGTTCAAATTAATTTTAGCAGGAAGACCGCCTCTTGTTTGGTAACCTACCAAGGTTATGTTTAGGTTACAGGCTGGAGGGAGGAAACAAACAGTTCAAAACTACAAAACTGACATCAGGAAGTCCCTACAAGTAGTATGCATCCTCACAAAACTTTACAAGAGGTGGTCTTCAAGCATTGGTATAGAATTTCCACCAAAGTAAATTTAAATTTTAAGCTGACGTCACTGAAAATGGTCTTAAGACATTTATCTGAAGATGTTTTGGAAAAAAAAAAGAACTCTTTCACACAGATATAGATATTAAGTACAAAATTGTAACAGCCAGGACTCAGTCAGATCAGCTAGTTTTACATAGTCACCAGTTGACAAAGGTTACTAACCACCATGTTTGTATACAGAAAATTTTTCATGGGGCTTTCTTGTTTCAAGGAGGAGGTCAAACATGTAGGACTGCTTCACTCCACAGAGGACCTTTCCCATTGGATCATTCTGCAATTGGCAAAAACAATATTTATGACAATACTGCTAGTGCCTGGAAAAAATTAGCTAGTAAAATCCACGTAAAATTTGGATAAAATATGCATTGATTTTCTTGGTACAATCACTCATTTTTTTGAAAACATTCTTGGCCCGTTTGTCCTAAAACTTTTGCTGAAAAAGGCCTAGTTTGGGCATCCACAAAAAATAAAGTTTGACTTTTGGGTTTAAACAAGACATGGCTGCCTTGTCAATTACCTTTGCTTTCTTTCTTCACTGCTTGTTACACTTTTCTTGCACGGTTTTGTTATTTTACATTCTGGTGTGACAGGTTTTTGGAAAAACTTTTAAGGATTCTAAGAGTGCATGAAGGAAGTGGTTTTTCATTGGATTTTTCAGGTCAATTTACTTAACATGTTCTTTTTTTGCATATTTCTCCAACCTGTTGTGACGGAATCGTGGATGGTTTGAAAGATCTCTTCAATTGTACCAGTTACATGACAAAGTGGTACCGTGGACAAAGATACTAATGGGCGGAAATTAGGGACTCCGCCTTATAACCATGGCCACTCAAATCCACCACTTATGATGGCCACCTCATTGGTAAGACCAAACTCTTATGGTCTGATAATAGCTACATTACAAGGGTCCTTGCCCCTATCTTAAAGGTCAGAAGAAATCAACTCTGACACTCACCTCTTCTCCATCAAATGACCTTTCAATGTAGTCATAGTATTCATCATACTTCACAATTCTGCACTGTTCAACAGGAAGTATCTTGCCCAGAAGGAAAAGCTAGTCATAGAAAAATAACAGTTCACTGACATTATTAAAAAACCACTTTGAATCCACTGCAACAAACCTTTAGAACAACTTGTACTGAATATACTTGCATTTCTTTATCTATGGCTAGAATACAACAAAGAACACATGTTCTAACATTCTGTCTTGAGAAGGGAAAAATGTGACCTTGATTTGCAGTTCTGCTGAGAGGGTTATATTTTCATACTCTCAAGGCTGTGCTCTAAGGTAAATTGAAGGGAACCCAGTGCTCTGAACCTGTAAAATCTAGGATGCTCAGCGTATGATTTGTATGATAAGGCTAAGATTTTGTAGTCACCCAAGTGCAAAAGTAGGGCTCCAGGGGTCATTGGAAGCCCAAACACAGCCCTGATTCTGTACATTATTAATATGCTGCTGACCACTTTAAATTCAACTTCAAGTATAAGAAGTGCAAAAATTTTAAGGTTAAGCACTGCAAGTTCCTCTAGTATAAAATTTTGTTAAAATATTAAAACACCATGAAAATACATGTATGGTGAAAATACATGTTCCTGCCTTCTAACTTCAGGAGTCCTTTTTGGGAGGGGTTCTTCACTAAGAGGAAATTCACTAATTTAGAACAACTGACAAACTGCTAGGTGTTAAGTTCAAGGGAGGTGTCTATCTTAGAGAGGCATCTGTCAGGGAGAGTGGTACTGTACAATGGTAACTCTCTCTCACCTTATGTGCAATGGCTACCGCCTCATTCAGTGTGCAATCCTTATGAATTTCTAATCTTTGTTCTGACATTGTCCTCCTGATTGGATGTTCACAAAAAATCTTTATCTGAAGGAATAAAAAAAAGCAAGCAGATCAGATAATAAAACCATCATCAAATTTCATTTTCTAAAATTTTGACAAACAAATAGCATCATGTGAAAGCACATGCAAAGAGCTCTCATTTGAATGGTCACATCATAGGATTTCATCCACAGACTCAAAAAGTTAGAGTCACCTTACAAAACTTCGTCAAGTACTAGGGAAGTGAAAGGGTTTAAGAACAGGATTCACTAGCCCGATTGCAAAATCCACTAGCCCTGGGCTATCAGACACAACTTTCTTTGCATGCTGCAAAGAATTCTGGGACTGTCACTAGGGACAGGGAAAAAAAAACTGGCCAATAGCTGACTGGCACATCCCCAGTAATGATCCCTGAAACCACTGCAGGACACATTTGAGCTCCAGTTCTCTTCTTGTTTCCAAAGAGGTGAATTATTGTCGGGCAAACAATTGAACACAGGAAGAGCAGACTCAGGTGTATGTATCAGACAATAACTGAGGGGTAAGTGTCAAAGACATAGCTCTTTATAAATAACTCAAGGATTCTTTCTCCCTGAAAAGGGAAATAATTATGTGGCCTTTTTTGGCATTCAACATTGATAATCAAGGCTTAAAAGAGGAAGATTCCCAAGAGAATTTTCTGTGGAATGCCAGAGGGCATCAGGTCTTAGTGACAACCCTGAGAATCATGCAACATCTTATCTAGCTGTACCTTGCACATGGACCTTTCCATTTCTCTTCTCTTTCTTTCCACTTCTTCCAAATGCCTCAAATTGTGAACTAACTCTATTATGTGTGCAGGCATGTCGTGTTGCTCCAGGAATTTAGCATTTCTTTCTGGAGCAACCTGCCTGTACATCAGCATGTAGGCATTGGTAGAACTGCAATGATTATTAGAGAGAAACATTAGTAGATGTTATCCAAATGCATTACTGAACATAATTATATTATCAGGCCCCTGTTGTTCAAACGTTGGATACCGCAATCCACCGGATAAATCTCTATCCAGCGGATAGCGTAATCGATTTCTGTAATACTTATCTGCTGGATAATTATTTATCTGGTGGATAGCGCTATCCAGCGTTTGAACAACCGGGGCCAGAACTTGAAAGGGCTGCGGAACCAGACTGCATAATCTCAGGTCCGAAAATGTGAATATTAATAACGTTACACAAAGAAACACTGGATAAATTATTGTTAACAGCATGATTGCATAACACAATATTGGTTATAAAATCCAGTATATCTAATAATATAATAATAATAATAATAATAATAATAATAATAAGCTTTAATTATCCATCTTAAAAAAATATATATACCATGGATTTACATAATTAAAGTGAAAAAACATATACTATGAAATGCTCTTGGGTGACTATTCTAAATATAAAAAAAGTAAGTAAAAATATACAGATCATAAAAGGAGTCTTGCAGCTCTTGCTATAAATGAATTAGTATGTCTTCGCGTTCCTGACTTTGGTATTGCTACTGAACCTGGTTTGGATCTTAAGTTCTAGCCGTGGCTGTTATTTGGCTTAGTGAGAAAAATTTGATTTGGGGGGTTAATATCATTCACAGTTCTTTCTAATTCACCCTCGCTACCTGTCCTCTAACGTTGGAGGAGATGTTCCACTGAACTGTAAATAAACACTTCATATGTGCAAACAGTTTTTACTTTAATGAATAATTAAAGTGAGTAAACACTTAAGAAGGAGCTACTTGACACCAAATTTATACTTAATATAAACCTCTTACTTGCTAAATGTATGAACAAAAAAAAAATCAAGAAATTACTGCTGGATAGAAATTTTTTGTTATTAATTAAGCACCTTGAATAAGCTGATGAATAATAATATTTTGAAGATTCCAGTCCACCATAGATACGTTCAATGTCATCATCATAAACCTGGTAGATGTAAGACAACACATAATTCCTTATTTAATGTATAGTCTCCCACACAGATGCTCTTTTGGGTTTTTCATTTTCCAATATTATTTCTGTTATGTGGGACTTTGACACTCAATCATTCTGTAGTCATTGTTGTTTATTGTTAAAGAGGGTCAAAGGTCTTTGGAGTTCCTTCAGGTGAAACTTAGGGTTTAATTGCTGCACCAAAAAAATGCTAGTTTGACAGAGTGCATTCGTGAAATTTGTAATGGAGGGTTCCAAAAAAAAAAGATATCCCATTGGTACACTGATATTAATATCCTTCGCTGAAAGACTAGCTTAAACTAGAAGTGTCTTGCAGACCCTTGCTAAACTCAATGTGCCACTCAAGCTCTGCTAGGCAGGGTTAAGAACTACAGCAACAGGGTGACAAGCTGAAAGTTTTCTTGTTGTGGGGGCTGATCCTACTCCTTCTTCTCTTGTCTTCAGAAACCAGTCCTTTGATCCATCGGTGGCAAAGCGCCGTTAATAATTGCGGGTTTTGCCCTGGTAAGTGTGCAAAGAAAGTAGTGTCCGATAGCCCGGGGCTGGTGGATTTTACTATCGGGCTAGTGAATTCTGTTTTTAACTTGCCCGACAAGCAAGTGATGTTTTTGAGAAATTTGAATAACAGAAGAACTGTGAAATCAATTCTGCTAGTCAAAAAGTTTTTGGGGCTAGTTGAAATGACGTATGGGCTAGTAAAATTAATGCTAGCTCGCTCCAGCTTGCCCAAATGGCAAGCTGTAAAAATGATCTTCTTTGCACCCTGCCTGGTGCAACATGAATTCAATAGTCGATTTTAGAGAAAAAAGGTAACGATTTGACAGTAAAAAGCCAAACTGAAAACCAAACTTACCCTTGATACACTCTGGTCATTGAAGCAGTACCACTGCCCATTTGTAAAGGACCTACATGTATGAATAGAAAAATAAACCCAAATCTACATGAAATCAATTCTGAGGGTAACAATGAGGATGCCGAAATGCTGTGACTTTACATACAAAAATAATAATTAGACTAAATTAATATTCCAAAGGGCACAAAAACCCTACTTGTAGGCTAAGATAGGCTGCTGTTCTTTTTTATTTTTCAAGAAAGGGGAGTTAGATTAGTCTAGGTCCCCTTTATTTTGTAAATTGCTGTTTAGTTTATGAAACAATAATTTGTAAGTCTTACTTGATATAAGCATAGTAGTGTCCTCCTGTGGCACTCCCAGAGTGGATCATAATAGAGAACAATTCATACCAGTAGGGACCCTGATAAGTCAAAATTCAAAAGTTTAAAGGTACAACAATGGCACTGTGCAACTTTAATTGAGAGGAATGACTACTGATGAATACTTGAATTTCATATACCTTATTATAGAAAATTAACGATGCACATAGACAAAGTGAAGAAAATTTATGTTACACAAAATTAATGCAAATTTTCCAACAGTTACGTGTACATACATCAAATTAACGAGGAATTTTCAAATACAATGTGCGCCAAACTTTATTTTACGCAAATTTGCTGTAATACAAACTTCTCAACGTACATATATCTAAAGGAAAAAACATAAATGTAAATGGACATTTCAAGAAGAAAGACTGAAGAAGTTAGGTATCCCCTGGGAGAAACAGATCAATACGAAGACCAGTCGAAAGACATTTTGAACTCAATAATCTTAAAGAAGAACTGTCAGTGACTCCGAGGCGTTGATAGAGAACTATGAGCAGATGAGGTTTTGTTATTGAAATAAAGGTGCTGTAAAACAATGATCTAAAACAGTGTGATTTAAATTAACATCGACGTAAATTAAGATGTGTTAAATTAACATGATTTTTTTAAAATCGCGTTAATAAAGTGCATCGTTAATTTCCCATAATAAGGTATTAATAGAATCATGGAATGAAGAAATAAGTATAAAGGAGATCATCACAGAAAAAGATGCAAATTATGAACTTGTGCAAAGAAAGCCTGAAAATTCATGCTTGCTGGGATTCAAACCCTCAACTCTGTGATACCGGTGCAGGACTAGAAAAAACCAACATTTTTTTATTGTGACCAATGCTGGAAAAGAAAAACCAACAATGTGACAAGACTTAAAGACCATGATTATAATACTGGAAAGACATCTATCACCATCTCAATCCCACTCACAAATATTAATTCCTCCTGCCTGACACTGTTGGCAGAGCAACAGTAGATCTTATTCGGAGGCCAGGAATTTGATTCCCACAAAGTGAGGGATGTATTCTTTTGCCTCATCTAATTGCGGCCTTCACTAAGGATAATGCTTGACAGGACTTATGGAATATTTCTAGCACTTGAATTTTCACTTCAGAATTAATTCTGACAGATCTGGGGCCTCAGAATACTCTGCTAAGCTACAGCCACAAAAGGGGCAGAACCATGACCTCCAGTCCATCTACAGAGGACATCGAACTTACAATTCATTTCAACTCCTTCAGAAGCTTCTGAGATGAAGGCAGAAGCCTGCAAGTTTCTTAACCCTTTAAGCCTCCATATTCACATACAAATTCTCCAAACTGGTCTCTATACATTTGCCTGATCTAGTTTACTTATTACATCCTTGCGAACTTTCTTAAATTGGAAAATAAATGGTTAGTTGTTGTTGAAAAGTGCCATTTGCTGTAACAGCAATTAATGGATCAGAATCAAAATACAAACCTTCATAGTGTGAGCCAGACCACTGTTAAGCAAGTCTTCAGTTAGTTCCACTTCTGTCGTTTCTGAAGTCCCATCCGCTGAGTCAATTCCTCCACTTGCATTGTCAACATCTTCTTCTTCAGTGGACATGCCATTATCAGAGCAACCTTCACTCACCCCACTGTCTGTCTCTGTACTGCTGGGGGAATCCCCCTTCAGGCTGGTATCTTCGTCTGCACCATTCTTACTCAAACAAAAAAATACGAATAAAAACTATTTAAGTATTTTTGCATCTCTGGTGTTCATAATGATGGGTATGAAAGTTTAATATAAGCTTGGTTTGTCTGGGAGGCGGTGGAGCTAATCATTGATAATGCAGTGGATGTAGTGGGCTGCTCTATAGCCACTATTTACCACTGTATTAACCCTTTAAGCCTCAATATCCACATACAAATTCTCCAGACTGATCTCCATACATTTCCTTTAAGAATGAGTTGAAAGAATTTGACAAAAGATCACAGCACTTTCTCTTTGGTGATCATTTTATTAATTCTCATAAGCTTCTTCTTGATTGTCCATAAATATTGTTGGGAGGAAATTAATGTTGGTCCATCTTGGGACTTGAAGGGTTAAGAGAAGGAAACTGGACTGAGTTAGCTTTTGTAAAGACTTCTGGGATCATTTCTGGGGATGCGCCAGTCAGCTATTGGCCAGTTTTTTTCCCTGTCGCCACAGGGGCGGATCCAGGATTTTTTTCAGGAGGGGGTGCACTCGTCTCTTGCTCTACTTCAACACCAATAAACCACATAGTTTTTTTCCAGAATACCAGTTGTATTAGAAAACCGCAGGTCATCTCGGGGTGCACCGCCTGCACCCTCCCTCTGGATCCGCCCCTGCACCAGTAACAGTCCCAGAAGTCTTTGCAAATTTCACTTGGCCCAGGTGCCCTCTTCATTTCTAAAGTGGCAAATAACATCATGTTTGCATGTGCATTAGACCACAAAATCTTAAGGGCCGGAATAAAGAATAAACGATTCTATACCTCTTCATTCTCCTCACTGATGAAACTTCTTAAGTTGAGGTATTTTGGAAATGTCATCCTATTGACGCAACGAAAGGCACAGAAAATGTTATTACAGGGACAGAAATCAATCCTGTCAGTTTAAAAAGTTAATATTTTTAAACTGATAGGATTAGAAAAATGTATTTATAAATTTATCTATTTCTTCTCCCAATAAAAATGTTAAATTCAGTCATTTTCAGTTTGAAATTGCAATTTCTTCCTTCAAGCGCTTGACATTATAAGCCTTTTAGGAAACCCCGTACAATGTTCACTACATGCATTTTCAATTTGACCACAAAAATTACAATAGTTTGGGTAGTGGCAGGTAATAAATTAGAAACATTTTTGAAATGTTTGCCTTCAGGCGATCCCACCGCCAATTGCAGTTAAATATGTTAAATTCAGTCACTTTAAGTTTGAAATTGCAATTTGTTCCTTACAAGGGCTTGACATTATGAGCCTTTTTGGAATCCCCTTACAATGTTCACCACATGTATTTTCACTGTGATCAAATACCTAGGTCACAACATGTCTTGGAGAAATAGGGGGTTCTTAAGGGTAGCTTTTTTAAATATGTAATGGGAGACATAACTGAGAGTTTGTAGTTGAGGTAGTAATGCAGCAGAAAATATGTTTTGTTTGTGGCTAGTTGTTTACAGGCACATCAGTCATAAAAAAAAGAAGCATACCACAATCAGAAAGTAAACTATGCTGTAGTTTGCTATTAACAGTATGACTCAAAAGAAGTAAACTCAAGTACTAGGAAATTATTAATCCAGCGAGTGGTCAAAGCAAAAGAGACACTGACTACTTGGAGTAGGACACACAGGTTGTTTACTGCACAAACCAGTTGGTTCACAGTTTGGGCAAATGGTAGGCAAAATTTCAGACTGGCAAATTTTGTCACGGAATCACGTTTACCATTTCTACAAATCAGTTCCCTTTACCAAAAAATGACTGTGAAGGCCTGATACTGGTATCAAGATGCGACTTCACAAATGGAACACAAATTTCTCTTTGGAACATTCTACCCAGAAAAAACAGAACTACCTTTTCAGATGTTCAGGCTGTTACATTATGCCTAAGAATGTTCCGCTGGAACAAACCAAAACGTCATGTTCCATTCACTTTCACATTGGATTTTATGGAAAAGTTTTGTTAAAGGTAAACAACCACTGTTTCCATTAGGCCATGCTGCAGTCAGCCCTTTAACTGACCTGTCATTTAGCTTGACTCTGTGAAGTGTGTTGTAGTCAAATGCAAACCTCTTCAGTTGTAAAGTAAGCAGGTAAGGGAAAGAGATGAACTTTAAACCCTGTGATTTAAAAATGGTGGTGTTAATTTCTAAGCAATAATTTAACAGTCATGGTCATGAGTAGAGTTGACTCTCTCTTAACAAACACCTCTTAAAGATGGACACCTCATTCGGAAATTTGGGCACCCATAGTTGGTCCATGCCTTTCTTCATTTATTTCACTGGCATCTCTCTAAGAGGGAAACTTAGTGCCGTTCTCTAAGGTGTCCGTCTTAGCAAGAGACTGTATACTGTACACAGTTAACCCTTTAAGTCGCAAAAGTGACAAACATCAATTTTCTCCTAAGAATATCAATACACAAATCAAGAGAAAAGGTTGTGAGAGTTAATGAAATAATCACCTTAGAAGAGAAAATGCTTTGATCTTCTACCAAATTCTCTCAACTTATTCCTTATGGAAATGTATAGAGATCAGTTTGGAGAATTTGTATGTGCATATTGGGGCTTAAAAGGGTTAAAGCCAATGATATTAAACAGAATTAACAATATTAATTCAGTACTTGCCTTGTGGGCATCACACTTTTTGTTGCACTTCTCACAGAAATACTGAAGATATGAAAAACAGAAAAAAAATCACTCTAATTATGTTGTAATAGCTAAGTATTAATTATACTATACGGTTAACTACGCATAAACTCTAAAATTTTACAGGGAATCACAAAAGCCAAGGAGCATAATTTATTGTATGATATCTTGCACCTGATTTGCACCTTCCAGGGTTTCAGCAACAACAAATTCTTCCAAAGCAGTTTCCTGAGGAATTAAATTTTAACATTTTAAAAACAAGCTGTTGACATCACTTTACTTAATTTACTTAATGTATCACACTACAAAGTAATTACAAAATTAAACTGCATCATTAATACATGTGGTTTCACATTGCATAATCCTTAAAATGGCTGTGAATATAAAGGATTTGTATGGGAATTCAATAAATAGTCTTCATCAGAAATAGTAAAATTTTTAAGTTATTGCCTTGTCACTGGTTTAAACTTAGAGGCTGTTTCCTCAACAACCACTACTTATTAAATAAATTCCCAGAGCATTTAAAACATAAGCAGTGAGCTACAAACTTAACCTTGTCCCAGAAAATTACTCACAATGGCAGTCCTAGACTTACCACACTGCCTAAGCCTTGCTTAGATCCAAAAGGCCTGATTGCCAGTGGAATATCTAGATATGCGTCAGTCCGTGCACTTTCATGACTACACTAGGGAATCAATCAAAAATATAGAAGGAGCCAATTAATATTACGCCTCAAATTTTATGTTAAAAGCAAACTTTAATATGCTTTTTACATTTTTAGTTAAAGCTCAGGGGCCAGTTTCTTGAAAGGCCCGGAAACTTTTTGGGCCCGAAGGCAAATTTTAAAATCCAAACCAATTGAATAGTAGCACCATCCCTAGCCCATAAACCAGTCCATTTTGCTTCGTTGACTGATAGTTTCGTTTCATTTTCTTCAAAATTATTGAAAATTTGACTTCAATGTAACCGCGGCAAACACAAAGCAGCTTTCTGGGCCTGAAAAGTTACCGGGACTTTCGAGAAACAGGCCCCAGGCCTTCAAATAATCATTTTACTCAGCAAAATAAATATAATCATTGTTAAGATTTGTGTCAGACAAAGAAGGTTACTGTTAATGCATAGATGTGTGTGTTCATAACTCACTGAAAATCTGAACAATTATCTTGCCCCAATACCCACATCCAGGGTTGTCACTAAGGGCCTGCAAAAGCCGTGAATGTCCCCCGGGCAACTATGAGCGCCACCCCTGGCTATTTTCATAGAAACAAAAGGAATATAAAACCAAAGGAACTTCACAGTTGTTTATTTAATTCCCTATCTACTAATTGCCTACACTGGTGTGCAACCTGAAATCTTGGTGACAGCCTGGCACATCTACTTACCATTAAAAAAATAAAGCCGAGTAAAACCCAGTTAAAACACGATAAAATAAAATAGAACAAATCTGTCAATTTCTTGTCCAAAAAATTTACTTTGCCTTGTGCGTCGTTTAATGAATTTACATGTAAAGGTATTCCGTACTTAAGGACATCAGTCAGTAAAACAATGTTTTGGACACTTTTCTCCATTTTGGCTGTATGGCGGCCATAAAAAGAATTGACTCTAAGCAGCTTTTTCTACATATTTTTCTACATGGTTTGGAGTGGAAAAGTGGTAATGGCAGTTTTTATCAATCTTACCTGTTGACATTTAACATAGTCTTTGAGTTTTCCTTGATAAAGTTTGTTAATAAGATCATCCTAGAGGAAAAGCAAAAAGTTTAATTTAATCCGTGATAATACAAATTAATACTTCATAAACTGCAAGATGTGGACTTTTCGCAGTTACATCAATTTTTTTAACAAAGGCACTGTGATCTTTGTTCAGGGATCCATGATTAGTATTTTTTTCGAAGTCCTATATTCAGGGGATATGAGGACTTTTTATGCATTTTGATTGACTGCTCAATAGTTTGTGTGCTGTAGTACTTGTCTGAATGATGTCCTGGTGGTCTTGGACAACCTGACAGCCGCTAATACGGAGCCCTGGTTTGTCGATTTTTTCTTATTCCAAAAGTGGGTGTTATTAAGTTTACTTGCCAATTATCCTTAAGAAAAATTTTCCTCTGCTCATACTGCTACATTGTATAATAATTGCTATAATTAATTTGTAATGTATCATAATTTTTTGTACAAATTTTGAAACAATTTACACAAAACTTAAACCATGTAAACAGAAAAGAAAAGCACATCAGAGAGAGATGTAATAAGCTGTAGGCTGAGTCAGCCTAACACTCTTTGAACTACATGTAAGGTCATATCATGAGTTGGACAAGTTCTACGGACAACAGACCTGATCGGTGTTTTTGAACTTGCTTTCCAATGCATCAAACATGACTCTACACAACTCTTGTACATCATGTTGCTGCCAAGCTGAAAATAAGCACATCTCAACTTAGAGGGGATTCAAGCAAAGACAGTCACTGGTCCCTGGTCTACCACTGCCTATATATAGGGCCTCTTTCTGCTGTTTGTGTCAAGATCTTACTAATCTTATAAGATTACTGTGGTGTCTTTTAGCCACCTATTCAAACATTGGCAGTGGTTTATGGAAAAAGTTATTGAAAACCCCAATGCATTTAACCATGAAACATTAAGAGTCAGTTGGGAACATGAGGTACAATACTTTGGGAGTCTGTTGATAAAATCCTATAGTGTGACTATGCAAAGAATGTTTCTTTGCCACTGTTTCATTTTTTGGTATTTTTACAAGTTGAAGATAAAATCACATTGTGATTCTTATTTTAGGTGGTCACGGAAGTTAACTCAACCCATTTCATTCATTAATGTAGCTGAATACAACACTGAAAGGGTGTAAGACCTTGTTCAAAAGATTCTCATAGACAAACAGCACTATAGAAAATTAATATGTCATTCATAAAACAAAATCCAAACTCGCTTAAATTTCATGGAAGCTAAAAATTGATGTACATGTATACAAGTAACTATGGTCCCCCTACGGATCAAGTTTTATTTCCTTGCTTTTTTATAATAATATTAATGATGATAATAGTAATAATAAGTAATGGTAACAGGACTGAGTGGAGTCCAATTCGGTCTGTAATCATACGAGTGATTAACAAAATCGGATGACCGTGTAGCGGGAGTCCGATTTGTTTAATCACGAGTATGATTACAGACCGAATTGGACGACACGAAGTTCTGTTACCAATTAATCATAACTTTAACAAAATTAGTGATATAATAGGCTATTTTTAAATCAAAACACAAGAAATTTGAAATTTTGTTTTGCTAGCAGTGAAAAAAAAGCCATTTAAGCGCGCGCGTGATGGCGCGTACTGTCCAATTACTTAGGTATGACGCGCACTGTCCTATAAAACTGTCCAATTAAGGCTGAAATCAGGGCAGTTGATAGCCAATCAGATTTGAGAATTTTGTTATAGTTATGATTATAATAATAATAATAACAATAATAATAATAATAACAATAATAATGGTCAATTATTCTTTACCTTCACTACTGTCCCATCCAAAGCTTTTCGTCACATCAGTTGTCTCCACAGCCCTCTTAGAACTTGTCTGAAAATATTTTTGAGAAAGAGAAACATTTAATATATATGCAATATTTTATTTTGCAATCACAGATTGTACATTTGAGCTAGTTCACAGATCAACCACATGATATTTTTTATGTCTACAACAATTATTCACACTACCTTGGGTACAACTTTACTAGCAACTACGGCCATAATATAGTATCAACAATTTAGCTTCATTTTCTAGTTATACAATGAGAGGTGTTCCCAAACACTTCAGCATGGACCATCTCAAACTACCATAAATTAATTACTAAATGAAATTTACAGTATGAGGCTCGAAATTTGGGACTTCAAGAAGGGGGTGGGAAGAAAAATCCTTTCTGTGGGGAGATATGGACATTTTCTGGAACTACTGTGCACAATGTTGGATCATCTGGACTCATGCTAGTAAAATCTCACACCTCTGGCACACACTAGGTGCACAAATGTCCCACTACAGTCACAAGCTTTGTAACGTTAAATGTTAAAATACCTGTAAATGAAGGAAAAGTTTCTGAAGCTGATAGGGGATGCTTTTAGCTCCTTCATCTTCACTGCCATTAAATTCCCACCTATGCATAATTTTGCAGTAATACTTAATAATATTCTCAAAAACAGTTCATTCTTGAGATGTCATTTATGCTTGGTTATTGTATAATAATAATAATAATTTATTATTATATTACAATAACCAAGCATAAAGTTGACGTAGCCTGCAAAAAATTATGTATAATATTAGAGATATGTTGTGATTGTAATACATGTAGTTTAGTTTAGGTGCACAGGTTGTCTAACTTGTCTAGAAATATTATTATTACTATTAATAACCAAAGGTTAGGAAGTGCGGGCGACAACAATCACAGGTCCAAACGGTCATTTGCTCCAACGCTATGCTCTGCCAATGTTTCAGTTAACAGAGTGGTCAAAACACGCATGGATCAGATTACGCAGAGTAGAAGGTGGAAACGCATGTGATCAAATTGCATTTTGTGTATTCCATCTTTTCTTGGTGGAAGTCCAAACAAATGCTGGCTACATACATGCGATGCATGCATAATAACAACCTGGGCCCAGTTGCTCGAAGCATGGTTAGCGTTAACCAGCGTTTAATACCTTGACAACGTATTGGTTTTGATACTGCTTAACCAATGGTTAAAGCTAACCATGCTTCGAGCAACTCAGCCCTGGAGATTAGGATTGCTGGCAACAAGAGGAGCCCACAACAATTATTATAGACTCATGCGATGTTCCCCTAATTTCTTACTTTAACTTTTCTTTGTTATCATTTTTGTGTCTTTAATTTGAGTCACTTATATTCTGTGTACTTGTTCCTACTATTTACACAAATTTCCTATGTTGTTGAAATTAATGTGGTTTATTCAGTTATTGTGTTTGCAATATTGTTTTGAATATTATAAGAATGGGGAGCCAAACAAAATAATCTTAGTTTACTCAGCCTAAAACACCAAAGTTATATCCTTAAAACTAATGGTAAACATGAACAGCAAACGAGAAAAATGTATTGGAAAAATATATAAAATTGAAAAATAAAAGTGAAAAATGTGCCTTGGTGGCTGAGCAGTTGGCAGGTCAAACTTACGCTCTGTAGGTTGGGAGTTTAAACCTTGTACTTATATGTATTATGTTGCTTCCTTAAACAAGAAACATTATTTCATTTTATCTTTCTTCACCCAGATTTACAAATAGGCACCAGCAACATGCTAAGTGCTTAAAAGCAGCACTGTGAGTCTTACTCACTCATTTACATTTGTTGATGGTCCCGGGCTTGAATACTCTCAACACTGTTTTGCAGAAAAGAACCAACCTGTATATTGCATTCCTGAACTCTGGAGTCATGAAAAGTGTCTGAAGAAGACTGTTAAGATAGCATGTCATTGCCTGGTTGACAAGACCAACAAACCCTACAATGGAGAGCAGATAAAAAAATCAGACACTCTTGATACATGTATAAGTTGCTTTTACCTGTTTAGACGGTGTACAGAAGGAGGAGCAACATTAAATGCTTTCCAGTCAAACAAATGCAAAGTTCAATCGCAGAATTATACAAACCTGTTTCAGACTTTGTTGATGTATAGCTGTCACTTGAGGAATATGATGAGTATGAGGGGTTTGAACTACTCTGGAACAAGTTGCTGACACTGTCAGCAAGTATATCCTCTGTGCTTTCCTGAAAGTCAACAAAGAGAAATACATGTTATTAAGGTGGAGTTGAGGTTGATTTCACAGAACCATTAGGGACCTTAAGCAAGGACGACAATGACGGCAGTGAAAACGCCAGTAAAAAGATGAATTTGCGTTCTTTCAAACTTAATCGCATCTATTTGGACCTGCTTAATATGTCAAATACAGGCGACTTTTCCGGGAGTTAAATTCTTAAGAATTTTATTCAGGTTCAAAAAGATGAAAGAAAATGATATTCGGCATTGTATGTCCACATCCTCCATAAATCGTCAAATTAGGAGGTTTCACGTTGTAGTCATGCAGTGGACGTCAAAGAAATGTACTAAAAAGCTTGACGCACGTGCACAGCTGTTGTTTTAATCATTAAACCTATTGTTTTTTTGAAGTCATCGTTGTTGTCGTTGTCGTAGTTGCTTAAGCTCCCAATTGTCTCATAACGACAGCTTATTTTGAGAAACAATACTCCATGTTAGAATTCACTGGTATCTTGAGTTGGGAGGTACATGCACATGTATTTATGCTGAATCTGTTGGTGGAACGCAGGTTTGCTTAGTGGAGAGTCTGAGTTTAAAGCTAAGCCCAACCGCTAACAAGGGTCTTTAGTGGGTCTATGTTACAATAGCTGTTTTAGGTCAATTCTGCTCTACAATCATTACTTAGTATCTTTACTAATACCCAACATGCTCCTGTAGATTTCAGGAAAAGATGTCGCAAAAATATCTAATCAGGTAACCATGATAAGTTTTTGTTGAATTTTGAAAGTACAACATTAACATTTAAGAAAATCAGCCTAATTCTTTCAAGTTTCAATCTATATCCATCCTTACCATCTGTGGAAACAGATGACAGGAAACAGTTTAATGCCTTTAAATATTGTCCTTAACAATAAACTGGAGCACTATTTTTAGAATACTATTCAAATGATGTAAAGATGTGTTTACATGTATTTAGCTTTTAAAAAGATAGAAAACAATGTGACATACAGTAAAAACCTGCAACTAAGAACCTACATTTTTAGGAGTTAGCCTAAACTGGTTCTTATATAAATGGTAGTTAACAGAATTTTAGGCTATTTAGGTTCTTAAAATGGGTTCTTAATCCTGGAGAAAAAAACAATGCATAATGGTGTGCTGAGGCTACATATTGCTTAGTATGCTTTGTAAGTCTACCTATCTTGCACTCATTTTTCCTTAAAAAACATTTTTACAACAATGGCAATCTGCTTTTTTTGCTTCAAATATGATTCTTGCAATACAGCTGTAATGTACTAGTATGATTTTAGAAATAAGAACCTGTTTTAAATTTCTAAGGCTAAATAGCTTCTTGTTTATAGGGGGTATAAATGACCAATTTTAGGCTAACAGGTTCTTAATTTTTAGGTTCTTAGTTGCGGGTTTTTACTGTAGCCTGTTTAAAACACTAGTAAGATCATACTGACTATAAAAGACTTTTTCTCAGGTCTAGTGATTGCATCATCAGACACTGACATTAAGTTATAGGTGTTATCTCCTCTATCTTTCTTTTTTTGTTAATTTAAAGGGGACATGAACTAACCCACAAATATACTATTAAAAAAAAATTCCCATAAGGGGCATCTTCCTAGTGGTGCAGTCTACTTCTAACACTAATATCAATTCACAAATCACACACACATATATATATATACTAGGGTATCTAAAAGATAGTAATGCTGCGGCACATTCTGTTGATACTGGCATTAGTGAGGCAGTGAGACTTAAGAGAATCAAAAATGACATTGAATGTCCTATTTACATGTTGGAAAGTACTAGAAAAATTACTATCAGTCTATAGAAAGAACTCGTGGGAACGCTGTTTAGAAAATGATCAAGTGGTTATCAACTCTGGTTTTCCCACAGTAAATTGTAGGAAATAATAGAAATTCAGATCGTTTATCCATATATTTAATATACAGTGCACGATATTTTCTCTGGAAACACACTACTTTTCTTGCTGTTTGTTGCATTTTATTAAGTAACAGTGATTTACCTATATATTTATAGAAAACAACAACACAAAAAACGGAAAAAAAAGAAAGAAGGAATAAATAACTCAGTAGCACTCGAACCCGGCACCTTCGACTTGACGCGACTACACCTAACCACTACACCACAGAGACTGGTTCCGTAGTCTGTAGGAAAAGTCTTTCATTTTATTCCTTTTCCATGAAACTTCCGCCGGCAAGATGATCGCCAGCCGCATTAACTGCGCTACTAACAGTGAAAAAACAATGTAAACGCATATTCCATGGCAATAAATGAATGAAAGAACATAATTATGCTTTTCAAAACGCCGATACACGTCCTCGTCTGTAAAGTAGGACACAAAACATATGTTTTGTTATCTCGATTTCCGCTGTTATTTTGAAGCGAATGGTCAAAATCACATCCATTTTCGGCTCATACAGTTTCTTAAGAATAGCATTGCATGAGATTTTCTCACTTTCACATCACCTTCTAGCAAGCTGGAATTTGTATATCCCCCGTGTTGCAGAGTCGAAGAGCAAATGCTCATCTTCTCATCACGTTTAACACCTGGATGAGTCAAAAAAGGCTCTTGAATTGAAATCCAATCCCCAAGTCAACCATCATACTCATATGAAAGACTCCCACATGTCTTAAAATTTGGTAAGACCTCTAACCGTGCTGTAGAAAATTTACCACAAAGAAAACTCTAAGTCTGAGCAGCGAACGATGCACTCTCTCACCCACCGAACTTCCCCATGTTTTTATTTGAGTTGTTCGTGGCGCAATGCACTCTGGTTAAATGCAATGCATTGTGGTAAAAAGTGTGGTTAAATGCAATGCATTGTGGTAAAAAGTGATGAATTTGAGAATTTGTTGCCCCTTATATATTTCCTTTAAATCCTGATTATGTTGCTGCTCGCTCCCTTCCGTCGCTCCGCAGCAATCACAGGTTGGGTGGGTTAGAGTATCAAAGCTTGGTAAAAGACTGATAGTGTCGTGGGTGGATTAAGGGGTGGTCCCAGCAGACGACACCCTATTTATCTGTGAAATTTTATAGTATTGTAAAGGAATTCTCAGTATATTAAATAGTGTCTATATTGCTGGCAAGTGTCCTGGACCCCTCCCCAATCTTTTTCCGAATTTTATAGATCCATCCACCCCCTACAAAAGCTAGTGGAATGTATGGTTATCACATTACAACTGGTCCTTAGAAACTGAAAAGCCATCAGCATGGATCTGAAAGATTTCATGTCTCTTCCATTATTAATTTCTCTTACATATGACAGTAACAGTAAGACAGACTGTATCAGGGAAAATCGGGCTCAACACACAAGTGTTTATATAGTAGCTATGATTTCCTGGCTGGAAAACTGTATGCTACACAATAGTTTATTGACAAATTCATCTACTACTAATGAAAACTTACCATTACTGAAAACAAGAAAAACCCAAGACAACACAAAACAGAGACAATCTAAGAGAATGTTCTCAAAAAAGGCTCTCTTGAGATATAAATTACACAAAACTGGAAAATTTGCTTTAATTTGGCAGGTTCTATCATTTGATCAGTTTTGTTCTGTCTGCTGGTGTCTGCCGGCATAGTCTCTACTACACACAATGTGCATGTCAATTTCCCATGAAGAGAGCAGAAATATTACTTGACGTTAAAACTGAATGAAAACTTTACCACTAAGCTAGGATTAAGATACGGTTTTAAAGTTTTAACCCCAAAGTATCATTTGCTAATGAAATCTTTTGTTGGCACCTGACAGTTAAATAATAGAAGTCTTAGTTCCAACAAATTTTTAACTATTTAAGGCTCAATGGAATGAACCGTGCTTAACATTATTTATTCTCCAATAATTTAGAAGTCTTTCAGAAACTCTTTTTATGATTTCCAGGAAAATTTGACACATTGTCGTTACTATGTAGATTTGAAGGTCTTAAACTATTAAAGGATATAGACTAAAAAGCTTAAGTTGTTGTACTAAGCTTAAAATAGAAATAATATACGGTGAGTCTAACTAAACTGATAGTTCGAGAAATCAAAGCCTCCCTCTGAAGAAATCAATATAATTAACATCGATTGATAAGATGTTTTTGTTTGGCAACGCGTAGTAAACGGCTGCTAATTCACCAACCTTGCTTTTCCTTGGTTGCACTCCATCTTTATCTTTTAGTAAGAAATTGTTCTTTTTTCCATTCGATGCCAAACCAACTTCTTGCAATGATTTGTTCTTTTCCGCCTTGAGAACAACTTCATCCTCGCTGCTTCCTCCTCCGGCCGTATTACACCACACTAGGAGAAAAGAGTCCTCTTCATAGTTAACTTGCTTAGCTACATGAGAATAAAGTTCGTGTACTGGTGTGGAAGCTGGCAAATTAACCGTGTGAGTGCAGTGTTTCCAGTTCGCTGTCGTCTCATCCTTCACAATACATAGCACTGTCGGTTCATCGGCAGGACTCGCATTATTAACAGAAACTACCTCTTTGGAAGTTGCATTGACCATTCCTGGTCCCAAAAATCCTCTGAAGAATATCAATAGCTATTTTCGGGAACAGAACGACGACTTCCTTTTAACAATTCACTCTGTTCAAACTGAGAAAGAGATCCTTCGAGCTGGAGTGAAGTGAAATCACGTTAAAGTACCCAGTAGGGGAGGGATAGGGAACGTACGTAACAAGAGAAAAAATGCTCCTCGGTGAAAACTAAGTGGATTAAAGTTTTCCTAGATGATAAAAAGTTTAGAACAAAAATACTGACTTCCTTTGACGGATGAAATAGTTCTACGAAAGGAATGGACATGTGACTTTATTAAATAACGGTGTCGCATCCTCTAGAGGAAAGTTGAAATACTACCCCCTGATCACCGTGCGCATGTCTTTTTTGCTAACCCAGTAGCTTCTTAACCGCGGGCACAATACCCGGCCCTTTCTCTTCGCGTCGTCCCCACGATACGGAACAAGCTACGGGCAAAACGGTTTGAGATATTCATTAGAGAAATACATAAAAAAGGTGTCCCCAACTCGCTCAGTTTTTCCGCCGTAATTCCATAATTTTCTCTCGTTTCCTCCGTTTTTTTCTCCAGGTCTTTCCCTGCCTTTCGCTCCTCTTTTTACCATGCCACAAAATGCGCCCCAAAAGGGGCCCTATCGCTACCTATGTTGTTCTTACCCCTTCGGGTATTCCCGATCCCCTGCCTTTTTTCTTCGTGTTTTCCTTTATTTTCACCAGGAGTTCATTATCTTTTCAGCCCAAAGCTTGGCCCAGAAATAAAGGTTACAGGGCCGGAAGACTAGATACCTGTAGGAAGTAGCCTGTTCCAGGCGTTACTATCGCGGGTCTACTCAGGAAATGGTACGGTGTCATTAAACTCGGCTAGCTACCTTCTGAAATACTCAGTTGCACGTGGCTGCTGAGAGTGAGCGAAATTTGTTCCGGAGACACCGGATAGGAAAGAAGAGGGAAATATTTAACAGGAAAATCAAGCGAAAACATTAGAACATAGAGCGAAAAAGATAAGAAAAAATGGTGAATCAGGAAAAATGCCTGATAAAAAGATCGATGAAAACCGGGGAAAACAGAACTGGAAAAGAGAAGGGAAACCCAAGCCTTCAATCGTTTTGCTTTCTCCCGCCCCATGCGAATCTCGGTCGTTTCGCCTACAACTGATGAGGTCGATAAGGTCGACTTCGCCTACATAGAGAAAGTAAGCACACGACGACTAATTATGTACATTTTCCCTTTCCTTTCTACTGTTGGTTGAGCTGGGGAGGTGGGGAACGTTAATTCCGGTTTGATCGGAAATATCGTTTTCGCTGCTACCGCTGTCGTCGTTACTAAAGCTCAAACGATGAGGGGACATAAAAAACGACGCGGGACTTTTTCTATAGTTAGTGTAGTTTCGCCGGCCATTCAAGCTTGATCGAGAATATTCATCAGGGCTTATTGGGAGGTGGGGAGGGGAGTCGATCCTATTCTAGAGTCTAACAGAGTCAGAGAGGTAAAAGCTATACCCTTTGGGCGGGAAAGGATTTACGGTCGTTACGAGTCGTTTCGTCAACTTCCTGTTACCAAACGTCTTAAGTCGTTTGGCGCTAACGTGTTAAGTCAGTTCCCTAACTTCTTTAACCAAAATCAATGGCTTAAAAATAACGAGTTATACTCATGTGTATCGGACTTCAACGTATCATACTGAAAGAACGCGGTATATAGAAATTCCGGGACGGCAGCGGAACGACGCATAGGCCAAACGACAAGACACCGTGAGACAAACTCGTCCCAGGGGATATTGGACTAACATTTGGGATAGGTGAATCATAGATGAGCGCTGAGGGTCTGAAAGCCTGACCCTGCTGGTTTAGGACAAAAAATTCCTAAAATACATATACCAATTTCAGCACTAAAGCACACTCACGTAACAACGCCGCGGTATATGGCCAGTGCAGTAAAATACATACCCTGTTTAGGAGGCAACACCCTCAATTTTATTACCCGGTTTAGGACAAAGGAGGAAGTACACGCCGTCAGTATTAATTTCTTTTTCATCCGTTCAGTTTGTGGGGAATGAAACTGAGCAAAAAGTCTTGCTGTTGGTTCCTTTGATTCTCCAACAAACTCCTTTTTAGCTTTTTCTCAAGTTGAAGTACAAGCAAAATTTATCTTGCAAATCAAATCAATCGTGAAGGCAATAGACCTTTTCACGGTTTTTTCAACTACTGACATGGACAAGTTAGGGAAATCCGTCGACACTGACTGGAGAGAGCACCTTAATATTAGTCAAACTGCCTTATTTGAAAGTGATACGTCTTAAGTGAGCAAAGATATATTTCCGCAACAGTTGCGAAAATTTACAGACGTTTCTATGGTGAGGGGCAAGTTATTACAAACGTCTCTAAATTAAGTTCGCGACGTTGAGGAGCTATATCTACGGTCAAACTAGGCAATTTTACTACTTTTAAGGCGCTCTTTTCAGTGGTGTCGATGGATTGTCCCTAACTTGTTTATGTCAAAAGTTGAAAAAAAAAAAAAAAAAAAAAAAACAGTGAAAAGGTCTACTATACCCAGATGACACTAACGCGAAATTGTATATCTTGTTTAGGACAGATTCACACCAAATTTCTAGGACAGAGCTTGCCTTGTCGCTGTACGGCGTCTCTCCAGGCCCTCTCGTTCAATGCATTTCGGTGACGTATCCGAGACCAACGGCCGGGAGACTTAGAGCTAGAGAGGTCAAAAACCATACCCTGTCCAGCAGCACATCCCCGAATAGGCTATAAAAGGGAGAGCCCCCCTGCGGAACATACCCCTATCCCCTCGAGGCCACAATCCCCCACAAAGAGTTATTGGACAGTACATGATTGCCTACATGAACCACCTACTCGTGACACTGTGAAATGTTGAGTGATGTACACGAGGGGTTAGATCTTCCCTCTGAACCTATCGATTTTGGCGTTGTGCGGGGAAAATACGAATTTTACCATTATAAAATCGATGGAGTGGATGACAGGGTAAGCTTGTAATTATGTTAGTGTGCTGGGAAATTTATAGCGGTCAAGCATATTTCAGTTTAAACCGACATTCGACAAAGAAAGTCAGGCGGTTTGTAGGGTTGCAAAGGGGAAAGGATAACTTTGACAAACCCTTGGAATTCTTCAGACATCCTAGGATCTATATGATCTTGTCCTTTAAAAACAGTTTCACTATTAGGCATTTCCAGTGGAGGACAGGGGTACTCCCTTAACCCCTCAGGTGCCAAGAGAATTTCTAAATTGATTACCAAAGGGAGAACACTTTGATCTTAAACCAATTTCTTTCAACTATTCTTAAAAGAAATGTATGGAGGTCAGTCTGGAGAATTTGCATGTGGATCTTGAAGTGTAAGAGGGGATTAGGAGGAAGGAAAAAATAGGGGATTTCATACTTTTCTTCCTCTCCACACAGGCTATTTTATTGCTAGAGAAGGGACAGAGGGTCACTTAAAAGGGGTACCTTATTGTCACTTAATTTAATGAGTATTAAATTTTGCAAATTTTAATACTCATGTAATCTAATACTGGCGAAGATTAAAATCGCAAAATTTAATACCAGACATATACATCTCCGTAAAATAACGAAATTCAAGTTGTTGCTAAATTAGTTATTCCAGCATGTCTTTTATTCAAGTTTAGGAGTTTTTTGTTTAATTTTTGTCCATCAGCCTTCCATAGCATCACTCTCACTGTCAGAACTGTAACTATTTGTGGTTACCTTTTTAGACTTTTGAAAACCTTATGCTTTTGTTATGTTTAACTTCATTTGTTTTCAATTGCCTTTCTTTGCAGTTGTTTATGATAAAATTATTAATTCTGTTGTTACTGTTCGGAGGTCAAAGCTTCCTTTACATGTTAAAGAATAAAAAAATCCCAAAATTTAATACACTCTAATTTTACCTTTTCCTAAAAAGCACAAAATTAAACAGTTGTGAAATATGGCTCGTGAGTTTTTGCAAAATTTGATACTCGCCAAATTGAATGAGAATAAGGGTAGTGTGCCTCAAGTTGTGGCTCAGAACCTTGATCACAGTGTAATCTCTAATACTTTAGGGTTGGGGCTGTGGCTATAGGACGCTTCAGACTATCTGTTCCTGGGTCCATCATTCACTGAAAAGCCAAAAAAAGGTTTCAACAGTACCAAACCTTCAAGAAATACGGCAGACATTGGTGACTGTCGGTGACAAACCATGTTCTTTTGTTGGCTCAAGGGAATGGATCGGCTCTGTAGAAGCCTGTCTATGCGTGGATCAAATTTTTGGGGTGTGTTTGTTGGTTGTATTTCATTTTATTTTCACACATTGGTGTTGCAATCTTTTGCTAGTTACAACTTTTTGTGTAGTGTTCAACTAATGTCCACATGAAATGCTGTTTATTGGGACAGAAGACTCGTGCAAGGTGGTTCCCTTGATAGGCTCCCAGGGTTAGTATGTCCCTCGAAGACTTTACTTTTTAAAGGAGCACAAAGTATCGTGGGTTCTTATCCATAACCTTCAAATTGACAAGGAAGGATGAAAGAGACAAGGCCACTATCTTTGCTGCTCAATTTAAATGATACAATCATGATCTATGACAAGGTCATAGCCAGCATCAACTTAATATGTTTTTGATATTATTAGAGACCTTATATATTAAGAGACACCATTTCCTTGTCTGCTTATGGGTAAATTACCCATAGCCATAGCTGTAAATACAGTTAGATTGCCCCTTACCCTGGAGAAACAGGTAGGCTACTGGGTAAAATGGTGATACTATTGTGATATGTTGGAAATTATGATTGCCTTTTATAAAACTAGGTCACAAACATGCTCACCTACCTGTACCTATAGGCAGAAATGGTGTATCTTAAGGTCCCTTTAATGTAACTTGTACATAAGGAAGTTGTAAGTTTTCTGTGTACAAGATGCCACAGCTCTTGCAAGTTTTTATGGAATTTCTTGGAACGTTAATTTAATCCTAGTCTTGTAATTTTATAAAAGTCTAAGAGTTAAAAATATCAATAAGTGTTGAATGAATAAATAAATAAATAAAGGTTGTCTACTGGCCCATCCTGCAGGTCCAGCTCCTTGAATGACCTCCATTTTCAGGGCAAGACTCTTTAATAATTGATTGTCATCCGAACGCTTGTTGATCTAAATGGACACCTGCTTGAACTTTGTCCTGCCGTATTTAGTAGTTTTACCATAAATCCAATAGCACTAATATTTGTGTCTAATTATTATAATATTGTTATAAAGAAAATAATGTGTTGTTTTAGGTTTGTAGCAAAATAGTGCACGTCAGTGGAGGAGATTGTGTTGAGCAGGATGCTGCGTTGATTCTCCTGGAACACTTCAAACACTTTGGGTCACCTGTTATGATAGGTTGGTAGCTAGATGTCCTGTTTCTCTTGCTTGAAACACCCCGGTTAAAGTATGGCCATTCTTCAGTACACCTCAGACATTCTGAAGAAGTATCTTTCAAGTTACCCTATTGAGATGGACAGTGTTTAGTTCTCCTACATAGGTAGCCACATTCATTCTTCTCCCCATCAGCTATCTTGCCTTGCAGCTTGAAGTACTGAGAAGACTAGTGCAGGATAGCCACCCTGGCCAGTTTTTTATGTTTTCTGCAAAATCTAAAATCATTGGTCAACATTACTGTATTTAAGATATCTAATCTGATTGGCTGTAAGCAGCCAGCCCTGATGTCCATGTATGGGAGGGGGAGTGGTTGGGGTGGGGAGAGTGGGGCTCAAACCTCCCGCCTCCCATACCGCCACCACCTGGCTAGCTCAGTTGGGAGAGTCAGTTGGGAGAGCGCCGGTCTGCCGAGCGGGAGGTCGAGGGGTTCAAACCCTGGCTAGACCAACACTCAGGGTCTTTAAATAACTGAGAAGAAAGTGCTGCCTTTGTACGACATCTGCAAATGGTTAGACTTTCTAGTCCTCTCGGATAAGGACAAAAAACTGTAGGTCCCGTCTCACAGCGCTTTCACTGATTTGTTCTTGTGGGACATAAAAGAATCCACATCACTATTCGAACAGAGTAGGGCTTGTAGACCTGGTGGTGTGGCCATGCAACCTTTACGGGTTGTGGGATTGGGTAGGGATGGCACCTAGCACGAGACCTGAGTCCCATTCGTGCACATTCCCTCTGGGCAGGCCTGTGTCCAGAAAAGCTGATAAATAAATAAATAAATAAATACCTTGCTTTCCTAGCTTCTGTCTCTCTTTTTGATTGGCTTCCTCCCTGTAGCCCTTTTTTGATTGCAAGAGATTAAGCATAATTGTTGCATTATTCTTATTTATACATATTTCCCCTGCTTTCCAACCTTTTAGAAATCCCACCTCCCAATCTTTCTTCTTCTGCCACCTGTACCCCTCCCTCCCCCATTCTCCCGGCTTTCCACCCCCTGTCCCCGACGTGTATTGGGCAGGACACGTACATGTCATCAAGCTTCCCGTGATGCTACTAACAGTGACTGTTGTATACTGTTATGTACTTTAATGGGTTCTTCTGTTATGGAGTTTAGTTGCAGTCTTTTTATTTATTATTGGCAATCTTGACGGTCTTGTTCAGCTTTTCTAAAAATTTATAAAACTTTGAAACTATCAATATGTTTTCCTGGCAGTTTGTTGTTGTTATGTTATAAAATAATTATGTGATAGAATTCTGCTCATCCAAGTACCAGTACAAGTACAGTAACGTTTAATATGATTTGTTGACCTGTCTGCTAACTTAAGATATGGTATTTTCTTTTGTTTGCTTGACAGGTGGTGATATAGACGCATCCTCAAAGACACTGCTTGGAGTGTGCAAAACAAGTAAAGGCTTTTACTTCCTTATTGCAGTAAGTTAAGATTTGGAAAACCTAGCTCTCTTGATCTTAAATACTTAGGGTCGGTTATTTAAACAAAGTCTAACTTAATCTGGGGTTTAGCAAATCTTTGGACCTCCAAATCTCTTCCTTAGTGGGTTATTTTAAGAAAATAAATGATTTTCTGGTCTACTCAACATACTTTCATAAAACTGTTAACAAAACGGTTGGGCAAATTGAAAATAGCTTAGAATGCGGTTTTGTTAAACACTAGCTAAACTAGGTTTAAATAACTGGCCCTTAATGTTTAAAAACATTCATACTGTCATGAATAGAAACATAATCCATGCAAATTTCGGTTTACTCATTCACGTTAGAGTCAGTAAACTATATGGATATGTGTTTTTGTGTTGGGGCCAGTCAGTACTCCTTGATCCAGTCAGAACTTGCTAAAAATTTGACGTAAGATGGAAAATTTTGTGTGTTTTCCTCTTATTCATCTGCAAAATTCTCATGTTCACATTCTTGTTTTAAAGCTGGTATGGAGCATCATTAGTGGAACTCTGAAACCTGTAGAATAATATTAATGATAACTAAGATTCATATTAGATATAGCATACAAACTGAACCATCGTCAGTATTTTTTTTTGTAATCCTATGGTACACTAAATGCCAGGCCTGGGTTGTTCAAAAGCTGGATAGCGCTATTCACCGGATAAATCACTATTCAGCGGATAAGTGTTACGGAAATCAATTACGCTATCTGCGGGATAATGGTTTATCCAGTGGATTGCGCTATCCGACGTTTGAACAACTGGGGCCAGAACTAAAAACCTTATTGGGTGCATTGTAACCAATAATCATTTTTTCAAGTAAATTTCACTTTTCTAGACTAAAACATTTACTTCTTAATCAACTCAGATGGAAGAACTCAAACACTTTAACTTCAAATGTGTAGTCCCTGGGGTACAGTCAACCCTGCTTTATGGACACCCACTTAATATGGACAGTTTGTTTTGTTCTTGGGGAAAGAAAGCCATTTTTCTCTAAATTCAACCTGTTTAATACGGACACCCCTTCAATGCGGCCCCCTTAGTGTCCCTATTAAGAGGGTTTGCACTACTGTACAATATTAGCTCTTCTGGCTATACTGTATTTATTTGAATAAGCGCCCAACCTCGAATTAGCGCCCACCTCAAATAAGTGCCCATCCTAAAGGCAGAAAAAGTTAATAAGGGCTCACCCTTGACTAAGCAACCACCCCCACCCCCTCCTCCTCCTCCCAATCAAACTGAAATAAGCACCCACCCCCACCCCACCCACTTGTGTGGCAATGAGATTGAAATTGAGATTGATTAAGTAGTAATAAGAGACTTCCTCAAGGATGGAGTTTTGTTCGGAGTATTTTACAGAAACCTAGCTTGCTTTGTTACTTCTTCACGTTTTGTTATTAGCATGTATTGTTTTGTTGCAAAATAAACATACTACACTTGTTAAAAATGGTGAAAATTTAATAAGCACCGTACCCAGCCTGGAATAAGTGCCCACCTCAAATAAGCAACCACTCTCAAGGTCCAAAATTTAATAAGCGCCCAGCAGGGCGGTTAATCAAATAAATAAGGTATATATTTGTGAGTTTGTCCCTCACCTGTTGGAATTTTGGATAATAAACTGATTTATGGTTGTATGTTGTTTCATGTTTAGGACCCTCATTTCTGTGGCAAGGCTGACAAGGCAATGCTTCAAGATCATGGCTGGGTGCAGTGGAAGTCTCTGAGTGATGTGTTCAAGGTTGATTCTTTTTATAACTTCTGTCTGCCCCAGTTAAGATCTGAAACAGGTGGCTGACTTATACTGCATTCACTGTATGTAAACAGCTCTTAAATTAATTGACGCATTGCACATTAGCCTGTTTCCTGGTCGTGGTTTCTCTCCACTCTGTGGAGAGAAGTGACAACCAGATATACATCTGCATTCGCAGGCTAATTGCCCATAATCTAATAGTATTTTCTGAGATTGACAACATTTTCAGTCGATTGTGGCTTAAGTTTTATTTAAGTGTCCATAAATGGCAATCTTTATTTTGAACAGCGTCAATAGAGGGTTGAAACTTAAAAGGTGATTTTATCAGCCTTTTTGCATGGCAAAGTCAGTTTACCACCATAATAATTTTAATAGAATGTTCACGTGTTGAAAAATCTAATCCAATCCAATACAATAAACTATTGCAAGTCTCCTAAAATTTAAGAGACTTGCAATAGTTTATTGTATTGGATTGGATTAGATTTTTCAACACGTGAACATTCTATTAATATTATTATTATTTATTATTATTTAATGGTGTCTTCTGATCCAGTTTACAAGTGAGACAAAGAACAATGCTATACTTATGCCTAGAAAAACTGCAAAAAAGTCAAAGTAAAGGCTTTACTCTGGTGAAAGGCTTGAAACCTCTCAGCTTTTTAATCTTTTGAAAGTGATGAATTGACTACATCAACTCAGCTTTCCTTTAAAGCCCCAATATCTGCATACAAATTCTCCTCACTGATCTCTGTACTTTTCCTTAAAGAATTAATTAGGAGAATTTAATAAAAGATCAATGAAAGCAGTTTCCCTTTGCAATCATTTTATTTATTCTTATAGCCTTTTCATTTGACTGTGTATTGATAATGTTAACTTTAGGAATTTCTGGGTGGGGATGTGCTGCTGGGACCCTGGAACCCTTAACCTATACCAGAGCTAGTTCAGCTAAATTTTGCTACCCTATACTAGAGTAAACTCCCCAAGTCCCCCTATCCTTGAGTAGCTGTTTCCCTAGTCTAGACAAAATCTTCAGCCAACTGACCAGTTTCCTGAGAAATGATACCCTATTCTATCTACACCCTAATGTTCTGATTTATATACCCTATCCTGGAGTAAACTGCTTGAAAACCATACCCCATACCCTTCACAGTGGCACATACCTATACCACATACCTACCCCGGGGCTGTGTCACGAAATTCAGCTAAATTAGGAAATTACAAAATGCCCGTTAAATTAAGAGAAGCATAAAAATAACCACTTAAAACTCTATAGGAAGGCTAAAATAACATAACAGATGCCACGGATGGGCAAAACTTAAGAAGACTGAAACGGATTGAAATTAGGGTTTTTGAAAACTGTTCAGCCTAACAGTTTTTCAAGGTTGATCCCTGCTGTTTGCAACTTCAAAAATAATGCTCAGGAGACATATTTGTTTGTCTCGGATCTCTGATTTTGTCATTTACATGTAATTTCTTTGCTTACTTTAAGTTCCATAACGATTGAGGGCGAGTAATTGGCAAAATAAAACAAAATGAACTGGACTGTTGTGAAAATATTATTATTGATGTTTGTCAATCTTGGACTTGAGGGGTCAATAAAAAAAAATTCGAACTAAGAACTTAATCAATCAATCCTATCATTGACATGATTTGCTGCAAGAAGTATCTAGGAAGGGATAGGGAATAACTTGGAGAGGAATGTAACTGTACAAACGACACTTACACAGGGTTTTCCAGGAAGTTTGAGCCGTAGAAAGAGAACAACATTAAGTAACTAGCAGGACTATGTAGGGGTAGGTATGCGAAGAGGGCAACCCCTTTTTCATTGGAAAAGTCCTAGGGCCTCTCCTGGGAAAAATTTGATTGAGCGGGGGGAGGGGGGTGCTAAAAAGTGCATTTCATTGCATTTTGAGTGGTCAGGGAAAGAAATTTAGTCATGAGGGTAGTCTGTTACACAGCCGTTTTTAGCGCCGTCACGCAACGGGGAGGAGCGTTGCGTGACGACACTAAAAACGGCTGTGTAACAGACTACCATGAGGGTGACACCTTTATTTACCCACATTTGCATCAACAGAACCAAAGTGTTGGGACCCGAAATAATGTGGAATACAATGGGTTTATTGTCCCGCTTAAAAAAAATTATTTTCTGTTAGTAGCCGGTGCCCCACATCAAAACTACTGTATCCGAGTTTTCATTAGCTATGGCCCTACCCCTAATTTAGGGCCTGTTTACATGGAGTGGGGGACCCCGGTCTAGTGGGGTTGGTTTCTTTTGTTTTCACGCTCTGGGGGACACAAAACAAAAGAAACTTACCCCACTAGACCGGGGTCCCCCACTCCATGTAAACAGGGTCTTACTCTCCTTTGCCTATACAGACAATTAAAACACCTGTTTCTCAAATATGACGAATTTATTGCATCCTACTTTACATATATAAAGTTCAACCAAAGGCACTAGTGAAACGAAAGCTTAGAAATTCAAGCGTACTCTATTACAAAACCAAGAACCCTTTTGAAGCGAAAATTGTTGGAAAATTAGTTTTCAGCTGCTCTAATACACCATAAAAGTAAAATCTCAGGAGGATCGATAGTTTTGTAGTTTGAATTCTAGTGACGCCATGTGAAACCAACATATTGTTGCAGTAATTCTTTTTATAAAGAGAAAAAAAGTAATATTTAATTAAGTGTTCGTTAAGATCCTCCACGACGATTTTGCGTATAGAAAAATGAATAATTTTGTGGTTAAAAAATAAAACGATAATGTGCCAAGAAATTGTAATTAAGTGAAATTACGTTAAAAACTGTCTTGCGGTTGTTGATTGAAACTGTTATCTGCTGGGCCATGTGAAATTTGTCTGTTTGAGTGAAGTTTTCAGTTATTGCTTTTGGCAGCGTGTTTTTGTTGCAGTGTTACTTGGTAGTTGTTTGCAGTGCACCGAATTTTGCAACGAAATTTGTTTACATGTTACATTTTCCGTTCTCTTATCAGCTTAAGCAAATTTAGGTTACGCAGTTTGAGTCTCTTTTTCATCGCATCTCTACTTCGGTATAATGGAAGATGCCGTTTTGTTTCCGTTGGCTCTTCTTCTTCCTCTTCTTCTTCCTCCTCTTCTTCTTCCTCTTCCTCACCTTCCTTTTCTTCTTCCTCTTCTTTTTCTTTTCCCTCTTCCTCCTCCTCCTCTTCCTCTTCCTCGCCTTCCTTTTCTTCTTCCTCCTCTTCTTCTTTGCCCTCTTCCTCTTCCTCTTCTTCCTTTTCCTCTCCTTCCTTTTCTTCTTCCTCTTCTTCTTTTTCGCCTTCTTCTTCCTCTTCTTCTTCCTCCTCCTCACCTTCTTCTTCTTCTTCTTTCTCTTCTTCCGCGCCTTCCTTCTCCTCCTCCTCTTCCTCTTCCTCACCTTCATTTTCTTCCTCCTCTTCTTTTTCTTTACCTTCTTCTTCCTCTTCTTCTTCCTCCTCTTCGCCTTCTTCTTCTTCTTCTTCTTCCTCTTTCTCTTCTTCCTCCGTGGAACCATCCTCTCCCTTTTCCTCTTCTTCTTCTTTGCCCTCTTCCTCCTCTTCTTCTTCCTCTTCCTCACCAGCCTTTTCTTCTTCCTCTTCTTCTTCTTTGCCCGCTTCCTCCTCCTCTTCCTCCTCTTCCTCGCCTTCCTTTTCTTCTTCCTCCTCCTCTTCTTTGCCTGCTTCCTCTTCTTCTTCTTCCTCTTCCTTGCCTTCCTTTTCTTCTTCTTCCTCCTCTTCTTCGCCCTCTTCCTTCTCCTCTTCTTCCTCTTCCTCACCAGCCTTTTCTTCTTCCTCCTCTTCTTCTTTGCCCGCCTCTTCCTCCTCTTCTTCCTCTTCCTCACCAGCCTTTTCTTCTTCCTCCTCTTCTTCTTTGCCCGCTTCCTCCTCCTCTTCTTCCTCTTCCTCACCTGGTTTTTCTTCTTCCTCCTCTTCTTCTTCGTCCTCTATCAGCTTTTGCAGATTTCTCTCAAGAAGTTGGTGTTCAGCAATCAGTTTGAATAATTCAGAATCTGGCTGCGACAGGGTCTGCCTTTTGATTGGAATGTAACTACGTTGACGGAAATCCCGAGTCAAAGGGCTTCTTTTTGCGTCTTCATAACGATCGGAGTAAGCTAGGATACATAACCAAATAGTATGTTACGTGTTTGTTTGGATGCAAGTGTTTCGATTTTTTATTAAGTGGCTTGATTTTAAAACAGTGCTAAAATCATCTGAAATGTTTAAGACATTTCCCTCTCCCTACCTGAAGCACCCACCCACCCGTAAACCAGTTAAACATCATCAGAGAAACATGACATTCGTTGAAGTGTCCTGTACGTGTACATAATTTCAAAAGTACCTTGAATTAACGAAGCTGTTTAAAACGCAACTAGGATAAATATTGTTTCACACTTGAGTACTTGAGTTGCGCTTCAGCAAATAGACCCTCCCGGTCTCCCACCCCCACAGAAGGTTTTGCACACTTCGTTTTTGCAATTAAAAATTATGTGTCATAAAACTTTAAAATAAACCATTACCTCTTGGCGCACCCTTTCAAGGACAGTGTTGCATGTAGTGTAAGGGGTGGTAAAAGCATTGAGCTCAGTTTATAAGCCCAGTTTGAAGCAGAGCGATGCGCAAATTATATACCGTAAAATTACGAAAATAGGCCTCTCCATGTATAAGCCCCTCCAAATATAAGCCCCCCCCAAAATCGTAACGCAAAAAACCCTCCGGTAAATCGCCCCTCCGAATATAAGACCCCCGGAGGGCTTGTACTTGGAATTTGCCCTCGAATACAAAGTAAAACAAAGCAAAAATGGTAAATTTCCTTCTCACTACAGGCTAGCGCAATCGATTTTGAAACGCAAATTTCCCTCCATACATAAGCCCCTCCGAATAGAAGCCCCTCCAAAGAAAGGGCCCCTTAAGCAAAACCTGTATAAAGCTTAGTACTTAAACTTTGTCTCGGGAAGGACATTTCAACAGTGACAATTGTTTACTTAGTAAGGATAAATTTTGGAACATTTGTGGTAATCAATTTTTCAAAAATCCTCCAAATCTCTGGTAGGGAAAGAAGCTTTTGCTTGCCATGATATTGCGCTCAAATTGTTCAGAAAATAAGAATTTTCAGATACCTTCACTACTTTGCTTGCTTCGCTGCAGGGGTTGACAAGGGTGTAACTTGAATCGAGAATTTAAGAGGTAGCTTAAAAAATTGATCCCAAAAAAATTCAATGCGAGTAAAAACTTACCGGCTCTATTTCTTGGAAAAGCGTTGATGATTTCAAGGAAGACGATAAGAAAAACTGCAATTCCGACGAGGCGATTCATCTTGGAGTTTGCTTGTCGAATGTGAAGTTGACACTGGGTGGACGCCAAACGACTGAGAATAAAAAGTCAATCCTTCAAAGCTGTGTTATTGTTTTATACTCGTACTTGCATCTTCCATGCATGACAGAAAAAGCGTCCATTGTTTAAAGGGCATCATGGGCGAACAATAAAGAAAAAAGCCGAATTTAGCTAGACGCTGAGTTGGTTTTAAATTAAAACACGTCTTTTTTCCTTGGGTAGGCATGCATAAAAAACTTGGACAAGACTCTGTTTTTCTGCGTTTTCCAGAACAAATCCTTTGGGCGAATTTGACAAGAACACGATTGATAAAATCAATTATGCAGTGAATTTAACGAATTTTATTTCTTATATAGTGTCGTTGCTTTGAAGTACACGCGCCTCTGTGCACTAACTTGTTTTTAACCCATGCAAATAAATGAAATCATCCCAGGCTAATGAGCCATAAAAATCGCATTGGCAGATTTGTGGCTTGTGTTTTTACGCAACTTAGTGTCATAATTTGATAATATGTAAATTTGGAATATGCTGGTCTTTTTTAGCCGAAGTCACTAGTTATCACGACCGGAAATATACAGTCTTGAAAAGAAACTGGTTTCTTTGCTGGTTATATTAGTTCTGGTCTTATAGTAAGGTCGGTAAGGTTTTCGATTCGTTGAACAGAGTTAAAACTTAAAAACCCTCTTTGCTTGTAAAAGGGTGTTTTCAGAGGGTGTTTTTCTATAAATAAATGCTATTGCTGAGGTCACTGAAGCAACCAATCATGTGAGACGACACTTTGAAAGTTGGTGCGAAGTTTGAAAAGAACAACGAAAGATTTTGGGACGCTGGGGGATAAGAAATAATAAATTTTTTCGAAAAAAGAAAACCGAGATTAAAATGCCCTAGTAACAGCCAGTTCACAGTCATCCGGTCATTCCATTCTCCTTTTTCCCTTTTTGTTCGTTTCATTTGGTTGATTTTCATTTATTACATTCACCATAAACTTCCGACATGGTCAGTAAACAATCTATTGCCCACGCAGATAACAACAGATCGGAATTTAATTGAAAATAAACAAAATAAGTAAAAAAAAAGCCTTCTTACTCTACAAGCCACATTAAGCTTAACGTTTTACGATTTTCTGCGAAAGGGTCTGAATTCCATACGTATCTTGCACTTTCATTATGGTTCTTAAATTCTTTTCCGCGCCCTTTTTTTTACATGACTGCCTACAATGTTTCAGAGAGACGCTTTGTACAGAGGTTATGCTTTATTCGTCTATTCAAGTTTTAGATTCAGTCATCCATGCAAAGACGCCTCTTAGCAAATAATTAGATTATAGTGTGTCTTAATGCTTGTATACCCACAGTGTTTGGGGCACGAATAAGCACGAAAAAAGCCGTATGATTTTGGACATAGTGAGTCTTTTCTTTTTGAACCGTTTTTTAAAAAGTTCACTAGTGTATTCCTTTTGTATACCAATTAAAAAAAGGTTTTCCAGCCAGCTTCAGAAAATTCTAGGTCTTCTGCTATTTTTCTGGCTGTTTATAATTGTATACGAGATACAATAAGATGCATCTCATTAGTAGCCAATCGCGTCCTCTGACTAAAGGCATTTTCAATTAATTTTGAACCATTTTTTAAGAAGTTCACTAAAGTATTCTTTTTGATGTTTATAGCGATAAAAAAGTTCTCTGGCCAGCTTCAATTTTCTGGCTGTTTATAATTGTATACGAGATACAATAAGATGCATCTCATTAGTAGCCAATCGCGTCCTCTGACTAAAGGCATTTTCAATTAATTTTCAACCATTTTTTAAGAAGTTCACTAAAGTATTCTTTTTGATGTTTATAGCGATAAAAAAGTTCTCTGGCCAGCTTCAATTTTCTGGCTGTTTATAATTGTATACGAGATACATGTAGATACATCTCATTAGTAGCCAATCGCGTCCTCTGACTAAAGGCATTTTCAATTTAATACTGCTAATAATGCTAACGCTAATAATAATGATAATAATTTTGGGCAGGAAATTGCAACTGAAGATTCCCTTGCAATATGTTCATACGTCGTAAATGCGACAATAATCGATGTAAAATAAATGTAATGGTAGAATGCTTTGTTTCAAGATTATTACTGATTTGAAGTCATAAAAGCAAGTTGATCACAGACTATCATAGGATCCCATTGTTCTGCATACCATTTCGAATTGCAGGTCTGACTACTTCATACGTATGGGGCGGCACCAAATGTAAACATAGTATTTACACAACAGTTTCGCTATACTTTGACTGCTTTTTAACAAATAGCTCCGGAGTCGTCTTGCATTTTGTAAATAGCACATTCAAAGACATTTGCGATTTATAAATCACAGGTACCTAACCTATTCGCTGCTTCATAAACTAGCTTTGCGATCGCAAGACACTTAACTTTGCAATTTATAAATCGCAAAATGCAAGATACTTCGCATTACAAATCCAAAGATGTCTGACTTTGCGATTTGTAAATTGCAAGATACCTCAACTTCGTGATTTATAAATCGCAAGATACCTATATACCGTAACGCTCGTTGGCTATTTTGTCTTAATCTTTGCTGTTTATAAGCAATATCTTAACAATGCATGCATAGACTCGACTGAATGCTTCTTTTGTAAATGAAGCAATCAGTGTTCGATATATTTGACCAAAATACCACGACACTTCACATTAAAGGATATTTATTTTTCACTTACTTTTTAATTTGGGGAACTGAATGGTTTTTCTTAGGCTTAAGAGTTCTTTAGCAGTTTTTTAAACAACATCTCTTCAGTTTCTAAACAATTGGAGTGCTAACAAATTATAATTGACAAGAGATTTCTATATTTAATCAGGATGCACATCAGTAATCAGTGTTTTCTTTTTGTGGATCGCGTCCGTGAACTTTGCTATTGTGCGTAAAGGAAATATCTGGACTGAAATATGTTTCACTAAATAATTGACTTCGTTTTGAAACATTTTTTCGTTTGAGTACTTTTCTTTTTAGATGCGTACACAACTTCATATTAATTCCCATTTTTTCGTTGTTTATTTAAGCTAGCAGACGCTGAAACCAGTT